TTTTTTTGAACAGTCAATCATTCGACAATAGATTATATATCTAATCATAAATAGATAGATAATAAACAATATATATATATATTTATACAATAGAATAATGGAAGGAAATAAAAAGAGACAAGCAGATAATAGAGGTTTAATAGTTGTAGATAATAATTCAAATAATAATAGTAAAAAAGTAAAGAATGAGTTAGCTTTAAGACAAACAGATTCAACCTCTAAAGAGATTATACTAGGGACAGAAAGAACATCGAAATTAAAGAGTCCTATTATGCAGTTATCTGGTCATAAAGTAAGTTTATCTATTTAGGTAGTTAGAAATCAAAAAACATACAACATTCATTAACAATGTTTAATTAGGGTGAAGTGTTTACAGTTAAATTCAATTCAACAGGTACTGCAATTGCATCTGGTTCTTTTGATAAAGAAATATGTATGTATTAACTATTGAGTAACAATGATGATGATAAACTTACTGTTAAAATGTATATAATACTTATTAACTATGTTATATTTTAAATACATACATATGTAAATAATAGTTTTATGGGGTGTATATGAAGATTGTATTAATTATCAGGTTTTGAAAGGTCATAAGGGAAGTGTGACGGAGCTACATTGGGATAGAGATGGTGAGCAGTTGTATTCGGTTTGTACAGATAAATCGGTTGGCATTTGGGATGTGAAGGAGGGTCGCTTGATAAAGAGAATCAGAGAGCATCACGCTTTCGTAAACAGTTGTTGTCCGGTGCGAAGAGGACCACCCTTGGTTGCGACTGCCTCCGACGATTGTAGTGCACGTGTCTTTGACACGAGAAAACGTCATAGCGTTCAGACATTCCAGCACAAGTACCCGGTGACAGCGGTGTGCTTCTCCGATGCCAGCGACCAGGTGATCACCGGTGGCATCGACAATGTGGTGCGCGTCTACGACATTAGAAACAACGAGAGCGAACTGATGATCCTTCAAGGTCACAGCGATACGGTAACGGGATTGTCGGTCAGTCCCGACGGATCGCATCTCCTCTCAAACTCGATGGACAACACACTGAAGGTGTGGGACATCCGGCCGTTCGCACCAAACAACCGTTGCGTCAAGTCGCTCATCGGTGCGCAGCACGGTATCGATAAGAATCTACTGAAGTGCGCTTGGTCACCCGATGGTAGCAAGGTCACCGCAGGTTCATCGGATAGCTTAGTTTACGTATGGGATGTTTCGAGTGGCAAGATTTTATATAGACTACCTGGTCACACCGGTGTCGTCAACCAAGTTGAATTCCATCCAAACGAACCAATCATTGCTTCATGCTCAGCAGATAAAACAATATTTTTAGGTGAGATAAAACCATAATCTATCGAATAAAATATGTTTCGTTGACGTAATAGCAAAGAAAACACAACGAAAAACACTTATTTTTTTTATCTTATTTTTTTTTTTTTAGTTTTTAAAAATCCTTGATGCGGCACTAAATGCGTTCTGAGAAAACAAAAAGATTGCGCCCAATGGGGGGCTCGAACCCCCGACCACAAGGTTAAAAGCCTTGCGCTCTACCGACTGAGCTAACTGGGCTCTGATGCGAGTCAAAGTGAAAAAATTAATTCGAAATATTAGCCAAACAATTTTAAATTCTTCATTTATTTTCTCAATAAAACCCACTGCTCAAGTGTCAGTTGAAGTTGATATCACCTGTATTGTCACCTAAAAAATTAAATTGAAATTATTTCAACTTTACTAACTAGAAATATATTATAATAGAATTAATTAAACTTTCCATATTTGACAATCATACTTTTCTTTATTAATCAATATTGGTCAACTTTAAAAAAATCAAAAAAGTGAGATTTCTGTTCAAAAAAAAAAAAGGAAATTCATTTTTAAAATGTTTAATTAATTTGATCATCTTTGTTTTGTAGTTCTCTTTATTTATATATATATTTACTTTTCTCTCTTTGTACAAAGTAGAAATAAAACAATTATTTATAGGTATAAGTTATGACATCTAATTTCAATGTAGTAATAACAAATAGTAACTTTGAAAAGGAGATTAGTAAATTCGAGCATGCATTACAAGGTGCCTCTTTTATCTCAATAGATACAGAGTTCTCTGGACTTGGATATAGTAAGAATTTAAAGTTAAAGTAAGTTACTAGTTATATTGATTGAAATAGATATTCAACCAACCTCAAATATACTAATTCAATGTTATCAAACTACCCTTTTTACCCCAAAACAAAAGTAATGTACAAGATAGATATAACTTTGTTGCAAAGTTAGTGAAGAGTAGATCTTTATTACAGCTTGGTATTGCAATCTTTACCGAGAAAGAAACAACAACAAAAACAGCAGCAATAACATCATCATCTGAATCAATAGAACAACGATCGCTAACAAGCTCACCAACAATCACAGAGCTATCATCCATTTCAATAAGTAATAGCAACAAACTTGATGATTTTGAAATTGATAATGACTATAACGATGATAATAACAATAACAATAATGATAATCAAGATGTAATACTGAATGAAAATAAAAAGAGATCATTAAATAGCATTGAAAATGATAAACAACAATGTCAGCAACATCAACATCAACATCAACAACAAGCAATTCAACACTTTCGTTATGAAGTTAGAATGTTTACGTTTCTTTGTCTGAATCAATCTGAATTTCAAGTGTTTCCAACATCAATGACTTTTCTGGCACAACATGGATTCGACTTTAACAAACTGTTTTTAGATGGAATACATTTAGTAACTACCAAAAAAGTAAATCAAATCAAACAAAATCAAAATAATCTATATAGATCAATGACCACCATCGTATCGCTTATACTTATAAAAATGTCTTTTTTGTTATGATAATTATTATCAAATAGCACGCAGACCTTCCACCTTCAAGCAAACAACGAAGAATTATAGATTTACTTTCTAAACATCAACAGCCTCTAGTGATACACAATGGATTCTATGATTTACTATTCCTATTTCAAAGCTTTATCGACGATCTACCAGATCAACTGAATGTTTTCATTGCGAAACTAACAAAAGTTTTTCCAAAAATGTATGTAATAGATAGATTAAATTTCACTATTATTAATACTAACTTTTATAATTATAATCATTTTTTTTAAACAAACATATCTTAGATATGACACAAAGTTTTTATCGGAATACAAAGTTACAGAGAATAGATCATATTTACAATATTTATTTATGAAATAGTAAGATATCAGCAATCTTTTTTATAAACTATTAATTTTCATTCACCAAATAACTAATATACAACTCATTCATTCATTCATTTCAATCCTTTTATCTATTTATTTTTTAGTGAACGAAGTAATTATCAGAGATTTATTTCAAATCAATCATATGTTACATGCGACCAAGTGGTTGGATTTGATCAAGATATTCAAAGGGAACCGTTGATCAACGTGAAATCTTCGAATTCAAAACAATACGATGGAACGAAAATATGTTCTGATTTTGCTGTAACTAATCATTTCATCATTATATCTATTTCTATAATTAATTAATTTGTTACTAATACAACCAACCATTTTTAATTAATTATATCATTAATAGAATCATGGATATTGTAAAAATGGAATCAATTGTAAATTATCACATGATATCAATATCATTTTAGATGAAGATGAAAAGAGAAAGTCAATGAAACCAAGCACACCAACTAAAAACAACAACAACAACAATAGTAACAGTGGTAATAAAACCAATTCTCCAGCTACCAAAAAACAGAAACAAGATAACTCTAAAATCAATTCTCCTAACAAGTCAACAGCAACCACTACTACCATCACAATATCAACCGGAACTACACTTGGTGCTCCACTATCAACTCCCTCCGATATAGAAGAGGGAGAACAACCAATGGATAAAGAAGAAAAAGAAAAAGAAAAAGAAAAGTAGAAGAATTAGAAAGCAATAATATAGAATCCAATACTTTAGAATCTAAAAACAATCACACTAATAACAACCATTTAGATACCATTGAAATTAGTTCTACAACCAATAATAATAATAATATAGATATTAATAATATACAACAACAACAACAACAACCATCCCAATCTCAACAAGCACATTCAGCAGGCTACGACTCAGCAATGACAGGATTTATCTTTGCATACTACCAAAAATTTTACCACCAATGAGCGAAATCGATAATCGAATCTATCTCACTGGAAAGAATGTTCCACTTTTATTGAAAAAGTCGAACTATGCTTAATCAAATATATAAAAATTATCACATAAATATATACTTTAATTAATTTGTTGTTGCTATTATTATTAGTATTCGAAAGTAGTAGAATTAAGAATCTTTAATTAAATTCCAATTCAATTTGATTCGAATCGACTCTGTCTGTCAATCTTAATTGGATTAATCTAATCTATCTATCAATCTATTAATAACCAACTAAAAGATGTAGATTTAATATAAATCATTTTTATTATCATGATTTTATATCATTGAAAATAATTATTGATAACCGGATAAAAAATACGATTATGTAAAGTTGACTCCTGTTAGCTGTTATTCTTATCTTTAAATAAACTATTTTAGCTTTATGTGTGTATACACACACAATAGATGATGACAATTATAACAATTATTATTATTATTTTATTTATTTTATTTTTGGAATTGATTTCATATCTGTCGGAGTGAGTGTGAGTGAGTGTGAGTGTGTGATTAAGTATAAGTTTTTATAACTACTACTACTTATTGTGGTTGTGATATGATCATGTTTTAATTGTGTGTATATGTGTATGTGTAAGTGTGTATGTGAAACAAGAATTTGGGTTTGACTGCTTATTTATTTGATTGATGGATTGATTGATTGATTAACTTGATTGTTGTGTGTTTACCTAACTCTCAATGTTAGTTTTATTGTTGTTATAATTAATGAAAGTGAATGAATGAATTTTGAAAAGTAACTTTATCCTAACCTATTCATTCTATCCAACCCAATAATAATAATAATAATATAATATATTGATAAATAATGCTAAATAAACAAAACATTAAAAGTTTAAGTATTAGTTTGTTTAGTACTTAAGTAAAGAGTTTATAATAATATTATTTTAGATTTTCAATTGAATTATAACATAATACTACTATTCTTCTACTGTATGTCAGGTATGAACAACAAAACAATAACAATAACAACAACAACAATAATAAGATTCGAAATCTAATCTATATAACGCTATAAATAACCTAATAAGAAAATTGTTGGTTACATTCATTCCTTTCATTTCTTTTCCTTCCTTTTAATCTTCGTGTGTTTGAACAAACAACCAACTTTTAAAACAAAGATGTCCTAGGTATTCATTCATTCCATCAATTTCATTATTGGTATTATCATCGTTATGATGATCATCATACAATAGATTAATTGAATTGATGGAATTACTTTCTGTTGTCTTTTGCTATTTTTTGCTACTTTTTGTGGACCTGTGCAAAAAAAAACCAAACCATTACGCACATTACTTGCAAAACCAAATCCTGTCAAAATCTCATCGTTATAAGAATTTAAAAGTTTGAAAAGTTTTTTTAAAACAAATCTCATAATTATGGTGTGTTGGCTGAGACAAATACACCTTTGTGAAAGTATTTTTTTTTGTTTTTTTTTTTTTGTCAAATTTTTTTTTTATTCCATTTTTTTTTTTGACAGTCAAATTTTTTTGTGACATTTGTTCCTCCCTCCAAAAAAAAAATAAAAAATAATAGATAAATAATAATAATATTACCTTTTTTTGTGGTAACAAATAACTTTTTAACTAAAACAAACAACTTAACTTAACTTTTACTTACTTTGTAAAACCAAGCAAATAAGTTAAGATTGACAACTGTAGAATCAAAATCAACAACAATAATAATAACAAAAACAAAATAATAATAATAGATAGATAGATAGCCTACTACATATTACTTTGAATTAAATTATTAAATTCAAACAATACCAATAACAATAATTAATTTCATATCTATATATATATATATTCAATTTTTATTTATTAGTTGTAGTTCTAGTCTTATTTTAGTTATTAGATTTTAGTTAGCATAATATTTATATATTGTTGAAACACTATTTAAATTTATTGCAATTATATTTATATTTATTTATTTTTTTAAAAAAATCATTGCAAAGATAACTAATATATAATTATAACCTAACATAAAATATATTAATTTGTTTTTTTTTAATTTTTGTAATATTTTTTTAATTTTGCAAAAAAAAAAACAAAAAAAAATAGTAGCAGTTACACATCAAACAGATTAGATTAGTTAAATTAGTGATCAATCACAATCAATCAATTACTAAATTATTATTATTATATGATATATTAAAAGTTAAAGACACAGTGTTTTAGTTGTTTACTCTTTCTCTTTAAATTATTCTCTCTATTTTTATTTTTTTATTTTATTTTATTTTATTTTTGATTTCTGTTTAAAACAAAGTCACGATATTGTTTGTCTTGTTGTGAACGATATTTAGAGGAATCAAAAGTATAATATTAAATAATCAATAAGAAGAAAGAAAGAAAGAATAATCAACAAGAATAAGAGTGTACGATATCGACATAACTAATAACACACACACATACAAAAGCTTCAAAGATTGATTGTTTAGTTTCACCAAACATGAGGAGATTCTTTTCAAATCTATTTAGAAAGAGGAATCAACAGCAGCAGCAACAACAACAGGACACCAAACATAATAATAACAACAATAACAATAATAATCATAACAATAGCGCTGCCTCTGGAAATAATGCTGCCGGTGTCAATAATAACAATAATAACAACAATCAACATAGAAAGAATGAATCTCCCTCATCGCCAACACACAATAGCTCTACACCAAGCTCAACGTCGCCACCTGCCATCATTGTAACCAACAACCAACATGACAACCATCACCACCAACATAACAACAACAACAACAATAATAATAATAACAACACTAAGCCTACAACATTCACACCGGGAATCACTCCGAAAACCAGTACTCCCAACACTCAGACACCACCTGACAGTCCGAGAACTAAAGTGTCAACCAACGACACCAGCATCTACTTGAACGGCGCTCACAAAGACACAAACAAACATAGAAAGAGTAATGGTGGAGAATACACTCCTCTAGACTATCATGATGCATCTCCAAAAGTTGATCATAGTAATTTACCAAAGAGAAAGGTAAGTTGAATTTTTCTAAAAAACCAATATTTATAATCAACATTTTTATTAATCTTTTTTTTGTGTCATTATTTATTCTATTTAAAATTTCAAAGGCATCTGGACCACCTGAAATTTTACCCGAAGAGATTGAATACGATTTAAAGAATGATTTCTTGGGTCAAGGTTCTTTTGGTTCCGTCTACAAAGGACGTTGTCGTGGACAAGAGGTAGCTGTCAAAGTACCTAGAAAACAAAAGTTGAATTTATATGAATTGACAAGTTTTAGACATGAAGTAAAGATTATGAGGTAATTATTATTATTTTATTATTATTGTTAATCTGATAGATATAGATATAGGTACTAACTCCTCAATTATGTATTATATAGTAAAATATTTCATCCAAATGTAGTATTATTTTTAGGTGCCTGTACACAAGCAGGTAAAATGCAAATTGTTACAGAGTTGTGTCAAACGGATTTAGAGAGATTGCTTCACAACGACAGAACCAAACAAGAGTTTAGTTTATTTAGAAGAATGCAGATGGCAAAGGATGCAGCGTTGGGAATGAATTGGTTGCATGGTATCACCAGAATCGTACACAACGACTTAAAGACTGCGAATCTTTTGATCGACAGTAATCTCAGAGTGAAAGTAACTGATTTTGGTTTTAGTCAAATTAAGGAGGGTGAAGAGTTTCAAGATAAAGCTGCAAAAGGAACTCGTAAGTTGGCTATTGTTAATTATCATAATAATTTAGTTTAAATATTAATTCTCTTTTCATTCATTCCTTTTTTTTTATTAATCATTATTAACTAACTATTAGCATTATGGATGGCACCGGAAGTTATGATGGGTAATCCATATAATGAGAAAGCAGATGTCTATAGTTTTGGTATTATTCTCTGGGAGATTTTGACAAAGGAAGCACCATATTCACATCATAAGGACTATGATATATTCTTTAATGCGGTTTGCAATGAAAAGGAGAGACCACCCATCCCACTCGATACACTGCCAAGTCTGAAACATTTGATTCTCAGCTGTTGGGATCACAATCCAGCGGCACGTCCGTTTTTCCCTGAAATTCTTTTCCGTCTCAACGAGATCTTGGTCGACTGTGCAATCGAGTTTGACGAAGGTCGACGCTACTGGAAGGAACACTTTTTAGTGCCAAAGCAAGAGCTGCAGGAGGAAGTCGAATGGATCGACTTTGAAAAATCATTGAAATCCGTACTACAAACTCCAGGTCTCGACTATTCCGCACTCAAAGAACTGTTGGTTCAACAATCACATCAAACCGTTCAGAAAACAAAACATGTAGTTACAATGGAGCGATTCGATAAAGTTATGAAATGGTTTGGTTCTTTCTTTGAACCACAAATCGGTGCTGAAATTATTAATAACGTAACTATCTAAAAAAGAATAATATTAACAAGCTTTTCCGAATACTAATCGTTAATTATTATATTATTATTATTACTATTATTTGTAGATTAATAAACTTTCAGGAAAGATGTGGTTCCATGGAGATATTTCACGTGAGCAAGCAACTGCTAGATTGTTAAAGGAATCCGATGGATCGTTTTTAATTCGTCTTAGCTCAACTGAACCCAAATCATGTCCATTTACATTGTCAATGAAGAATGATCAACATCGTAGAATTCAACTCATCGATGACAACAGCTCCACTGGATTCAAAATTCAAGGTAAAACTGCTGTATATAACAGTCTTATTGAACTGGTCGAGAAGTGTTCTGATTATCCATTGACTAAAGCTTGTCCAAAACATGGTCAAGAAGTATTTAACCCATATGATCCTTTCAGCGAAGAGTAAATAGTAATAACATAAAACAAAAAAAAAAGTAACAAAAACAATACAAATAATATTAATTTAATAAACATAGATAATTATTATACAATCAACAAACAGTCTTTTTTTTTTTTTTTTTGGTAAAAATATTAATATTGTTTGTTTTTTTGTTCTCTAAAGTTTTAAAAGACAGATTAAAGTTGGGGAACGTTCCCCAATGCATCTGACTGAATCGCTAATACAACTTGTTGATATGGGCAGATGATGTGATGAATCAAATTAATCCTCATCCATTTGTAGGAACAATAAATATTTATAACTCACTAACCGAATTAAATACTAACTGTTTGATGTATCAATAAATAAATGATATATCTATATTTTACTAATATATTCACAACTTCAAAAAATTAGATTTTTTTCCTTTTTTTTTTTTTTAATCTATATTTTATCACAAATAATCAGAGATAGTTTTTGTAAAATGAGGTATTAATACAAGATATTAATTGTCTTGATCCTTTGGGTAACTTTTATGAGCAGAGAAAAATATATTTTAAATCAGATAGAATATCATATAATATCATGTTCAACCGATTGTTTTTTTACCAACACAAAAATCTGTAATTGAAAAAAACCGGTTTTGAACCTTATCTTTGCACCCAATCATGAAAAATAAAAAACGTGATGGGCTAAATAGTTGCGACTCCCCAATAAATTTTTATCTATTTATAAATTTTCAAGTCAACAAAAAGTGTTAAAAAAACACAAAACAACAAATAAGTGCACTAGATAATTATTATAAAATTGATAAAACAATTTCTCAAGAAACTAAACTAAACTAAACATAGAATTTATCAATTTATCGTTTGAAATTATATTAGAATAATTCTATTTACTGGTAGGCAATACAAATTCATACCAATATAATCATTAATGTTTTATATTGTCAGTGTTAACTATTATTGAGGGATTCATCGTACGATTAAATGAAAGGTCTTTTTTCAATTGAAGAATCAAAAAAAAAAAATAAGAGTTGATAGAGACACCAGACTTTTTTTTATTTATTAAATATTTATAAAGATCGAAATCAAGTTTCAAACAACACTGACTTGTTTTTTGGAAATTTTACAGTATCAAAAACAGCCCATCACACCTTTGTTTGTCTTGAAAACCCAAAAAGAATTTCCTTAGTTAGATTGTGTGTGGGTGTGTTGTTGATCAGGAAGCGCTACAAAATATGAAGCATGATTGATAGTTTTATCTAGTTTTTCTCATTTCTCAGTAAATAAGTTGTTGATTGGCGCCAATATGATATACAAAATATTGTCAAAAACTCGTGGGTGCTTAGATGTTACCCCCTCACTGTGCTGAGGGGAGACCAAGATATTGAAACAACGACAACTGTTTCACACATTTTTATTTATAAATAAGTGTTGTTGTTGTTTTTTTTTGGCAAGCCCTCACTCTCATCAAAACTAAAAATATACCCCACCTTTATCATAAAAACGTCCTTGAAAAATTTCTTCTAATTGGGAATAATAGATTTTATTGAAAAATTTTAAGACAAAACCGCATAAAATAAAGTGATTTTTATGCATTGAAATCAAAACACAAGATTTTTTTAGTTTTCAAAGATCAGAACACTCCTTTTTAGAGTAATATTTTTTTTTTTCTTTAAAGATTTTTAAATTTAATTTATTTTTTTTTTCAATTATTTTTTTTTTTTTAGTCATCCAGCTCATCAACAAAGCTTTATCAACAACAAATTTTTTCTTTGTAATTCATATCTACTCTAATATATACTTATAAATAAAATAAAATGTCTGGAGATTGGGAACACGGTTGTAAGTATTTTATATCTTAAAACTATAAATATATTTTTTTTGAATCAATTTCAAAAAAAAGAAAATTTGAAAAAAAAAACGTTTACTGATCAATTCTTTTTTTTATTATTATTATTATCAATTTTATAACAATATAGTATGCTCATGTTGTGAAGATACTCACGTCTGCTGTATCTCATACTTATGGCCAAATTTGCAATTGATGCAACAAAGGTAAGATCAACTGATAATATCTGATTTATTTAAAAGATTTACGTAAATCTAACTTTTTTTTTCATAATATTTTGTTTTTTTATTTAATTTATTTTAGAGCCACCATCGAGGGTCGTCAATGTGAATTCATCGATTGTCTCTGTGCCACTTTCTGTTTCCCATGCGCTGCATGCCACGTTAGACATCAAATCACTGAGAAGCACGGTATTGATGAAAACATCATCATGAACATCCTCTCTGTCTGCTGTTGCACTCTCTGTGCCATCACCCAACACACCCGTCAACTCCAAGCTAAGGGTGAGAAGCCATCTGGTATTTTCATGGCTTAAATTATTTTTTGTAAACAATTTTCCAAATAAAATTAATCTAAAATATTTATAGATTATAAATATAAATTAAAAATCAACTAAAATTAAATTTCTTAATTTTTTTTATTCATTATTTAAATAATAATAGTAAGACAAAATAAAATACTTTAATCTATGTCAAATGGGAGTTTTTCTTTCAATTAAACTTCAATCCAAAATTGTCTATTGACCAAAAAATTGTGACCGAAAATCCAATTTCTTTATCACCCAGAATATTCTTATATTCCAAGCTGAAACTTCAGAACCTCTATGCACTTGCGGAATATTTGTTACAATTCCATCGAATTTGATAGAATATCAGGTTCAAGTTATCGATTCATCAGTAAGTATAAATGCAACTTCAGAATTATCAGATTCTTTGACTATCAATCTATTTATATCACAAACGGATTAAATTCTTTGGTTGGAAAAGAAATACAAGGAAACATATTGAATGTCACAAATATATCAAATGGAACCTATCAACTCACAGTCACTGACTCATCAGGATGCATCCATACAACTGATCCTTTTATCATTACCATAATAGAAAAGCTAAGTGTAGCACCAACTCAAACCCCAACACCAGTGAATCAATCATATCGACTTTTACCTCCTTCATTGTTATTTGTAATTTTAACTGTTCTTTTTTAAATAAAGATCTTTATTTAAAGTTATGAGTTAGAATATTTGAAGTTTATTATAAAAGTCAATATTCAAAGATAAACATTTAAACAGAAAAATATTTAATAAATAATGATCATACAGGAGTTTTATTGCAATATGACAACAAATATATATTCATAAAATCTGGTATATAGAGTGACCTCGTCTTTATCTAGAGCATTTATTGTTTAATCAATTGTTGTTTGTACATGCAGTGTGCAATCTCTAAAATGTTCATCTTTTTAGATTTGTTGTTTTGTAGATCTATAAAAAAAGTATAGATAGGTTGCTATCGAATAAAACTAAAATCGTTTGTTTTAGTGTATTAGTAATAATCATACCAATTGATATCATAATATTATATATATAACAGACAGCTTAAAAGTCAAATATTTAGTCTATTATTTTGTATTTATTCATACATGTACAGCAAAAATCTGAGAAACAGTACAGAGGTATCAAATCATCAGACATATATTCATTTATTTGTTTTAGAAAGTAGCAAATATATTGGAGTATGGATCTTTGAAAATGATTTGTATTTTTAAAATAAATTTGAGACATTTATAAAAAAAAATAAAAAAATTAACAAACCAAAATAATAATTATTTGTGCTACAATAAAATACTTTTTGTTTTTATAGATTTAAATTTATTTTCTTAAAAATCAATTTAGGATTAAGATATACATAGTTTATGATTATTTGATTCAAATTGTTTTATAAGATTCATAGGGTATTTATGGTTTTTCTGTGAGTAGCTAAAACAGTGTTTTACAAATTTGGTCAATTGAAAAAGATGAAGTGAAGAAGAGGAAATAATAGTTTGTTGACATTTGAGTGATAACTGATTATTTAATTTTGGATTGTAAGTAACTGATACTGTTATTTATAATTAATTTCATTACTGATATGTGCTGTATATATTCATTTATGATAGATTCAGTAGATAGTATGTTGTTATCGTGGAGAGGTGTACCGCCAAAATAGGATTTACAATAGAATTTCCAGATTTGATGAAAGACAAGTGAAGCGAGAGTAGTGATGTTGTCCTTCTTCTAACCAACTGATACGCGTCTTCAATAGTCCAATCGAATCGTTGACCACCTGAAAGCTGTAAGGAATCAAGAATGGTGTTAAGATTGAATCTGTGCATAACTGCTCGACAATTAAAGAATGTATGGAAATATTGATCAGAGCAGTATGTGTAGCACAGTTCACATTCATTGTTTTTGTTGTAAGCCAATCCAGGAAGCTAGAGGGAAGAACCGGAAGACAGTGTTTCGTCCACGCTGATGTTTGATAAGCGATATAGGTGAAGATACTGTCATAAGATGTGTAGTCGAATTTGGTTGGTGGTAGAGATAGTTGGAACTGGCTATCAGTTAGTGGTGGAGTGTCATTTTTGATGGTCAATAGGTGGTCGTAGATTTGCTTTAGAGTGGGTGGTAGACCATCAATCAGAATAGGTTTAACAGATCTGATCTTGTTGTCCAGATGTTTGAGATGAACTGCCAATTGGTGCCACAGAGTGTACTCAGTGTAGCATATATTGAGATATGGCGAGGTGATAGATCTGCATTGGATTTGAGATAGCCAACTGGTATAAAATATCAAACTTTGGAAGGATCAGATGATGAAAGTAGGAATCTGTTGAATATCCACACATGTTGAGCATCATTACGAAGTTGGATGTCCCATAGCGAGATGCCACCACGTAACCATGGTTGTATAGCTCTGGTATTTTTCATTGTGTTTTTATACTTCTTGGAGAACCAAGACCTGTATGTAACAGGATGGATTTATCTAAATAAATCAGAGTATTGTATATAATACAATCAAAGAGAGAACACTTGAGAGTTCAGATTAATAATTGTCTTTATATCAAATAAAGAGATAGAGAAATGAAAGTAATTGCATTATATACTATTTATTATAACTTAAATAATGGTATAATTAATTTTGTTAGATCTACTTATCTTATAAGTTATAAAAATTATTTTTTCAAGAAAAATATTATCTACATATAAATTAAATTTTTATAATCAATAGGTAGAAACATGAATGTATGGATAACAACTATCCCAAACAAATTGTAGTAATGCATATAATTTAAATTGATAACTAATAAGATTATGATTAAAATAAATATGTACAGATAATTATTTTTGTTTTTCAAAAACACACCCAAGCTCAAGGTCATCACTTTTATATCAAATCAATTTATTAGCATGTTAAATAGGTATATATCGATAGATAACACCTACAGCTGCCAAGATATACCCTGTTTTGTTCGGTTTGGACATACAAAGTAAACATAAAAAGAAGTTTAATCTGCTAAAGAAAATGATGGAGTCTTCATGGTTTGTTGAGAGAACGGCCACACCCTTAAACATAAAAAGATATTTGGTTGATTTGATTTGAGTTTGGGTTGGTGTTGATTTTTTTAGATAAATCCATCTTGTTACACCTGAAATAGTCTGTCCGCATGCGGTATTTTCTAGTTAAAAAGGTTTGCAAGCTGGGAGATTCGAACTCCCGAACCTTGCGGACTAGAACTTGAGTCTAGCGGATTTAACCACTTTCCTAAGCTTGCTTGCTGATGATGAAAATCAAATTTGTCCTTTTTTAAATCCTTTGTTTAAATGAGGTTGATTTCTTGGAGTTTTTAATGATGTATAGATATATATATTTTTTCAACACCGAAATTGTTATAAATTTTTAATTATATAAATAATGGATGGATATCTATATATATCACAATAAATATTAAATAATTTTTGTTTATTGCTTTAAATAGTGGTGTGACTTTATTTATTTTATTGTTATTTTTGATGAAAAACAATCTGTAACTTCTAATTTCAAAAATAATAATAGATTCTATACTTTCATAGCAATATAGTTTACAAAAACAAAAATATATGATAGTATATAATTTAACTTTTATCTTTTTAATAGTGTTATTTATTAATAATACAAGTTCATTAATACCATGGATCAAGAAAAATGGACAATGCCAAGAGCAATGTATGTTTGAATGTGAAAAGGCATTCCCAGAACTCACTTACGATTTCATTTTGAGAAGAAACAATTGTTTCTTTGCTTGTATAATAAAGTTTTGCGATATCAATTTATTATTTGCTCCAGAATACAATTAAATATTATAAATAAAATAAATTATAAATACTTTAAAAATAAAGAGTACAAATAAAAAAATCATATTATAAATTCAAGTTTTTTTTTTTAAATATTACTTAAATCTTATAAAACCAGGATTTTTCAGATTCTTTAATCCTCTTCAAACATTTTTCAAACAACTTTTTTTCATTCTCATCTAGTTTATATTTATTAATTAAAATAGTTTGAACTCCAAGAAAGATTTGAAGATAAATCATAACAATTCACTCTCTATTTTCAAAAAAAAAAAAAACATAATCTCGGGAATGAAATAGAGATTATAAAAGACATTTTCATTAATATGTCTTAATAAATCTCAGGAAATCAATTCCGAAATGTAATGTCTTTGACATTTTTAACAAGTAAATTGACACATAATTTTTTACTTTTGATACCATTCTTTATACTTTGTGGTACCACACACACTCTAGAAGAAGATATTTATATGTATGATCAATGATTTAGTGGTGATGTGCATAACCAAAAATAGTATACTCGTTTGCAAAACTCGGGTAGTGAGTGGAGTGTGTGTATCACTAATGATACAAACAACCCCATTGTTTCACGAAACATCAGATTTAATTGATGATCGATACACCTATATAGTTGATATATCTGAATAACAGATACAGTAATATTAATGATAGACACATATAAGTACATACAGCAGGAGTGTTTGCTGTTAGCAACAACCAAAGAAGAAGAAGAAAAACTTTAATTAATATACTTCTTATTTTTGAATTGATTGACATTACAATTATTGTAGAAAAAATGGTTTTGTACATGTTCAAAGTGTGCACTCTTCTTCTTCTTACTTCTATTTAGGAGTGCACCTGGTGAATGTCACTGTGTAATCGTAAGTTTTTGTAACAACAATATATAAATCCAACACACACCTTTCATATTTATGTTTGATCAATCAATCAATCAATCAATCAAACAAACATTCATGTGATCTATCTATTAATCAATCTATTAATCAATCAATCAATCAATAAATTTGAAAGAGTGACTATAGAGGTAGAGAGTCTTGAGCAGAGAGCATATCATACATTTAAACAATGAAATCAAAGAGACAGGGGAATCGATTTTATTTAAAATTCTAATAACTCTACAAACTTCAAAGTGCAGTTGTAGTAAATAGTAGTAGAGGAGGGGGAGGTAGAGTTATTGTTAACCCCGAAAACCTATCGTACGATATTTAAACGATGAATCATTCAAATAACCATACCAGATCAATTAACAATAACTCATTAGTTATAACCTTACAATAGTTAATGAATCATATATTTAAAATTAAATCTAAAAATAACAAATAAATAAATAAAAAAATTATATATTATTATTATAACTACTAGTACACAATGAAGTTATATAAATCTATAAATCTAGTTTTTACATTTTTAATAATAATTTTAATATATAAAAATGATAATAATATAATAGTAAATGGTAGGTAATTATTATTATTATTATTATTAAATATTGGATCGAATAACTTAATAATAAATGAAATTATAATAGGAGAAAGATATGAATGTATTGAATGTATTATTAGAGGAACATGTCCAGAGGTGTATACTTGTCGAGGTGCAGGGTGTCATCCTCTGAAGTTTCCACAGAAGATGATTGCGGTCGACGATGAACCACTAGAGTCGTGCGATGATGGTGATATATGCACAGAGGATATCTACAATAATGCAACGGAATCGTGTGAGTATATTCCGCTGATAGTATGTTGTCATGAAGATTCCGACTGTCCGAGCGATAGCTGTAACGACGGCTACTGCTCGGAGAATCGATGCAAGACGCGTCCCAACAACGACAATGAGAACTGCTGTCGGCAACACTTCGAGTGTCGTGACAACAGTATTTGTACGTGGGACTTCTGTCGCGCCAACGGTACGTGTGTGCACATACCTATACTGGGTTGCAACGTCAACAAGCTGCTCAACCTGGAGTGCACGTGTGACGACGATTGCAACGACGGTCCGGCGTGCTCGCTCGGAATATGCGAGTCGAACATCTGCTTCTACGACGAGATCGATTGTGGCGACGACGATATCTGTACACTCGACCACTGTGTTAACATCACCAACCAATGTGAGAATACACCGATTCCCAACTGCTGTCAGACGGTCGACGATTGCGATTTCGGTCCGGCTTGCTCCACTGCCACTTGCCAAGACAACCAATGTGTCTTCCAACTGATCAATTGTTCAGATTCCGATGTCTGTACACTCGATAGTTGTAGTAATGATAACAATACTTGTCTACACGATCCCATTGTCAATTGTTGTCATAGCGCGTCAGAGTGTACCGCTGTTCATCCTTGTACTGCTCCGACCTGTGAGAATAACCAGTGTGTCTACAACGAGATCAATTGTGCCGACGCCAAAATATGCACGTACGACAGCTGCAACAAGACAAGCGGACTCTGTCAGAATATCGCTATTCCCAATTGCTGTGACACCGTATCCGACTGTAAAGACAGTCTACCGTGCCAGGCAACCTATTGTGAACTGAACCAATGTTTCTACAAGGAACTGGATTGCGAGGATAACAATGTGTGCACACTCGACCATTGCGACAACACCACTCGCCAGTGTTCATTCACACACATCGCGGGATGCTGCTACTCCGACTCGGAATGCTCTAGTAGCGCACCACCTTGTTCGACAGCAACGTGTGTCAATCATCAGTGTAGCTACAGAGCAATGGTGTGTGAAGATTCCAATATCTGTACGAACGACGTGTGCAATCACACGCTGAACCAATGTCAAGCCGATCCCATACCGAATTGCTGCAGAGAGCTATCGGATTGCAAGCAACACGAACAATCTAACGTTTGCGAGACAGCGGCCTGCGAGAACAATCAATGTATATACAAGCCGACTTGCGAGGACTACGACGTCTGCACTGTTGACCACTGCGACAGTGAGACTCACGCATGTAAATTCACTCGTATCAAAGGATGTTGTAACCACGTCAACGATTGTAAAGTTAAACAAAACGATCGTCGTCCTTCTTGCACTACGGCGGTGTGTCTCAACAACCAATGTGTTCTCAAGCCAAACTTTTGCGACGACTACAACGAGTGTACGCTAGACAGCTGTAACAACGCCACTAACAACTGCCAATTCCAACAGATCGAAGGTTGCTGCAACACCGCTAAAGACTGTCCGAAACAAACTTGTTCGGTGGCGATATGCGATAGTTCCAGTCACCAATGTATCTACAAGCCAGAGTACTGTGAGGATTTCAACGAGTGTACACTCGACAGCTGCAGTAGCGACACCAGTCGGTGTCAGTTCACACCGATTCCAAACTGCTGCAGAACCGGTGTCGCTAGCGACTGTGTCGACGGTCCCGATTGCACAGCTGCTGTATGCACCGCCGACAACACCTGTGTGTATCTACCGCACGGTTGCAACGACGACAACGCCTGCACGTACGACTCTTGCAACAACTCGACCAAAAAGTGTAACAATATTCCCATTAGAATGGGAGGATGTTGTCTCGACGAAACCGACTGCAACACCAACCCACCGCCCTATCCTCTGACCTGTCCAACCGCTCACTGTAAGAGTGCTGATCCGACCTGTGAATCCGATGATGCAAACCGCGAAAACTGTAAACCTTTCATCTGTAAAAATCATAAATGTGAAATCAACCTAAATTTTAAAATATCATAAAACCTATTTATAAATTATAATATTTATTTATTACTTTACTTGAAAAAATAAAAGTATCAGGAACTTTTTAAAAAAAAATTTTTTGATAGCTTTCACCAAAATTTTAAAGAAGTAGTTTGGTCAGATGATTTATGATCCATTTGGAATATTCAATTAGATAAAGATATATTTTAAAATAATAATAATAATCAAATTCTTTTTTTTTTTTTTTTTATTAATAAATAATTTAATTGAACTTTAATTTTTAGAATATTCTGGATTCAGTTATTGATTGCTTTCTTATTTTTAAATAAATCAAAAGAATCGAGTGATATATATCAATATTTTACATCACTTTTTAAATCAAAAATCAATCAAACTTACATACAAACCACACACTTGTGGGAAAAAAAATAAAAATAAATTAAAAAACATTATGAATGAATGTTTATAAATGTTTATTTAAGTTAATTCAAGTTATATTAAATTTGTAATTATGTAACAAGTCGAAAAAATGTAAATAGATTCAGTATTATCTAGATAATTGTTTTCGAGCAATTGCCCCGAAAGTAAGAAAAGTAATTGTAAGCATCAAAATTTGTAGATATTTTCATCAAAGAATCGATTATCGACTGACTATCTCTATAAAAATGAAAAATGTGGTTGGGTTGCTTTCTTTTTACCTAATTCGTTTAAATTATAGTTTACCTCAACTACAACTTCAAGTTTAACCAGTTTAATGTTCAAAGTAAGTTAACTTACTGGTTTAAATCTATATTAAATATGTCGCAATTCACAGGGTTGTCAATTTCATTGTATCTTTCACTTCTTTCTCATCACCTATCTATCTATCTATCGAATCAATCACAGTGATCATTCATCCATCACCAGTTAGTGTTTTTTGTTTTGAAGTTGCAGCAATCTAACTCTAACAAAACAGGCATGAAGAAGGAGAAAAAAGCAAAAAGAATCTATAACTCATTGATTGATGAAAGTTCACGCGAAAAACCACATAATATCCGATTTAAGTTGGTTTTGCGAAAAAAAAAAAGTGTTTAGAATATATTAACAACATATATCTAAAACCACATAAATGATCATATAAAAAAAAATATATACTAAAAATTAGGAGATGAACCCTCACTCAACCCGAAAATCTAAAACCAAAAAATGATCTTTTTTTTTATGATAGATCTATAGTTTTTTATAATATATTATTATTGTTTTTTTGTTGTTAATTAAGATGATCTACTAAATATTATATATAATCATATTTATATCATTTATATCCTGTTCCGTTTTTTTTTTTTTATAGTTTCATTAACTACATCCTATTTTTAAGACACGCCAGTTACACTTTAAACTAGTTTGTTTAATGTGTTTTGTTTTTTTGGAAAAAAATCTTGCCATTTACTCAAAAATCACATTTGATGTGGTCAACAAAAAAAGATGGTTTGGGCACCCAAACCGTCCAACAAAAAAACACATTTTCAGATTTTGTTTTTTTTCAATTATTTTGTGCGAATCTAGATCTGATCTTGTAAACCCTAGGACAATTCAAAGGAGACAATAATGATGTCCTTTTTCACACAAAGTTTTTGTTTTTTTTGTGTTTTAAATTTGACAAGTCACAAAATTAAATAATTAATAAACCAAACTTGTCAACAACAGTATGATAATCACACACATTTGTTTTAACGGATGGAGTACACTCTAACGTTTGCCAGGAAATGATTCCAACGCAATTTAATTGCCCCATTATTAAGTATAGTCTCATAAACAAGGTTGGAAAAAACAACTCGATTATTCTTTTTTTATTGATGATTCCAGAGTTGTTGAGTTTGTGTTTAGTTTTTTTTTTTTTGTTTTTGTTTGGTTTCGATTCGAAACATCGATATTTTTTTTTTTTTTTTGTGTTTGGTTTTTCGAAACTACTTTAATTCATATCAAAGATATGATTTTTTTTGTAGTGGAGGTTGTTTTTCTGATCCTCCAGAGGTAGGGACTGTGCGTTCCTCATAGGGAAATCTTATCAAAGAATCTAGATACTATCTATAGCCTTATTCTAAAGGGTCCCCTACATATCCCATAGAGTTTTTTTTTTATTTATAATTTTTTTTTTTTTTTTTTTTGGAAATCTAATTATTTATTAAATCAAGGTTTTTTGATCTTGATGAATCGTTTATCCATTGATTTAAATAGTAGCTCTTTAGATTTTTGAGTTCATTTCATTTTCAATACCTACTTTCTACTCTTTACTTTTTTTTTTATATTTTTGTCGATTGTATTTATTTTTATCTATTTTTTTAAACAATAAAAATAAATAAATAAATCAACATCAATAAAAAAATGAATAGAAATTATTTTTTATTAATATTGTTTGTATCATTATTTGTATCATTAGTTCAAGGTCAATATAAATTCAATGACAATGGACATTATTATGATTTTATACCGGCTGCTGCCAACTCAATCAGTGATTGTTTACAAAAAATTTCCAAAATGAAAACAGTTGGAAATGCTCTACCGTATGTATAAATAAATAAATAGAAGAAAAATCACAAATTTATTAAATTATTTATAATTATTAATTATTATTTTTATTATTATTATTTTTTTTTTTTTTTAGATATCTTGGTACTATTACAAGTATTGAAGAATTGGCTTTTGTAAATCAATATCTACCCCAATATGGTAATGCACTTATTTCCGGTTCTCGTATGGACAAGTGGGACCAATGGCGTTATCTGTCCGGTCCAGAAGTAAACCAAACACTATTCACTCAATCCTCTGGACAATATAATTACTTTTCATTCTGGACCACTCAATATCCAACTGATAGTCCAACTGAAAATTTTCTTTATTTTAGCAAAAATGAAATGACACTAAGGTAAAAATATAATATTAATTAATTTTTTAATAACTAAAAATTATTTATTAATTATTAATTACATTCAATTTATCTTATTAAATATTTTTAGAAATACACAATTTGTACCAACTGCTAATTATTGGTACTATTTAGTTGAATGGTCGGATCCAAAAGAACCGTATGTACCACCTGTCGACACTCAAGGTGCTCAAGTCACAATGAGTTATCTCGATAACTTTGTTGTCGATTTTGTAAATATCACATTGATACCGAATGGAATGCTCCCAGTCAATTTGACTGTCATTTCAAGAGACGCCCACTACAAGAGAGTCGTTTTCCAAATGCCACCATTGATGGGAACCGGTCTTAATTTTATTATTGTCGACGATGGTTACACCAGATTTTAATATTTCAAATTATAGATATAAAGGTAAATATTATAAATATTTTATAAACTTAATTTTTAATAATATTAATTTTTTTTTTTTCTAATTATTATAGCACCTGCTGCTTTATCAGTTTATCCAACATTCCAACTCAATACATTACTTACGATTGTTGGTGATAACTTTGGTGTTGATAAATCAATTATCAAAGTTACAACCGGTTTGCTTTCAAACCCATGTACCTATGTCAAGATCATTGAAGATCACAAAGTTATTAGCTGTGTTGTCACTCATTATGTTACCAACTTGGTTTTCCTTTATCCAATTGCAATTCAAGTTGGTACTTCACCAAATGTTATCTCTACAAAGATTCCATTCTGTAAGTAATATTTAAAATAGTTATTTATTGATACCCAATTTATTAATAACTATAAAATTTTAGATGATCCTGAAAATATAAAGATGCTTAAATTTTCACCTTCAATTAGTACTTCTCAGAATGTTTTAAATTCAATTATCGATGCTCAAGCCAATTACCTATTGGATGGAAATACTGCTTACTCTGGTCTCATTGATTCCGCCAAACAACAGTCACTCATTGCTTCTGTCTTTGGATTCGGTAGCTTCGGTACTGTCTTCCTCGGTACCATCGGTCTTGGCAATGGAATGGTAAGAGTTAGAAACGGAGGTGGTCCATATGACGGTCAGATTTGTGTAGACAACAACCGTTGTCTTCCAAACATGCTCTACTGTACCAGTAATTTCACTGGTGGTTTACTACTGAACCAAGGTACCATGTACAATGGCATCTACCAGGCTGTCACCGACAACTCTGCCATTAGTGGATCTTACATCCAGTTTGGAGGTCGTCCAGTTATTCAACCGCAAACCTTCTTGATAGACGCCGGCGGTGGAATGGTGATTGTACCGCTCTCAAGTGGCAGCGTTGGATTCAAGTATACCAAGAGATCGTACACCATCAATGGAATCCCACAGAACGCAACAATCGCTGTACTCGACTCGCGTACTCTCGGTCTGCCCATTCCACCAGGTGTCTTAACCACTTTCAATGTCACCGTTACCATCGAAGGTTACACCTTCAACAATATCTCTGTTGAATACACTCCACCCACCATTGTCTCTGTGAAGCCAATCTCCACTCTCGGTGGTCCAATCACTGTCTACGGTTTCAGTTTCGGTGCTGACGAGTCTGCTATCCACGTGACGCTCGACGACAAAGAGTGTGCAAATCCACGTCTTCTCGTGGAGAATACCGTTCTCTCTTGTGTCCTCCCTCCAGGTGTCGGTGCTAATCATCTGCTCGTTGTCAACGCCGGTAACTCGTCGTCCAACGCCACATTCTCCTATTTGCCACCCTCGATTGAAGATGTCCAACAACAGGATACTCTCCTTACCATCGTCGGTCGTAGTATGGGTACCACCCAATTCATTCCAACCGTCTACGTTCCATACAATTCAACTCCATCGATGACACTGACCGATCCCCAAATCCTAACTACAACCGTACCGGTCTATGCACAGAACGGTCGTGTCGTTGTTTCGGTCGGTGGACAAAGTGGATCGTACCCATTCACCTACCAGCCTTTCTTGGAGTCAATTACACCGGCAATGCTTCCAACCACTGAGGGTGGTCCAGTACTTCTCAAAGGTCGTTTCCTCACTCAGTATCGTACCGATAACACTCAGACCAGTTGCAGTATCGCTATTGGTGGACGTCAATGTCTCTCACCGCAATTCTCATACGACACCAACTACACCTATATCCACTGTGTTGCCACTGCAGGTACTGGTGTCAGTTCGAATGTCATAGTAACAATCGACGGTAGAGCTAGTAACACTTTACAACTCGGATATCCAGCTCCAACCATCTCCTCTTACACACAAAACAGAAACACTCTCACTATCTTTGGTGCCAACTTTGGTCCGGACACTGGAAAGGTACGTTTGGAAATCAATGGTAATCTCTTCTTGGTTACTTCACTCGCTACCAATCCATCGAGAATATTTGCAACACTCCCAACCAGTCTTACCAACGGTTACATCAAGGTGATTGTCGACAGTCAATATTCCAACATTGTTCCACTCTCTCTCGTTCCAGTCATCGATACAATCTCTCAGGCATCGATCTTTGGTGGACCAGTATTAATCAACGGTCTATTCTTCAATATCAACGATTCCAACTCCAATCCACAAACACTGAGTGTCACAATCGGTGGTACTGTTTGCGCCAATCCTCAAATTCAAAAAGTTAATCTTCAAGTCGTTTGTAATGTTGTTGCTGGTACCGGTATTAAAGACTTTGTCTTTAAACTTGGTAACAGTACAATCAACCAATTCTACAATTATATTCCACCCGTAATTGCATCGACTGCTTTCAATCCATTGAATGAAACACTCACCGTCATCGGTACCAACATTGGATTCCAACTAGATATGATGTCACTCTATATCGCTGCTGGAGAGCCAACCGACACCGCTATTCTTCTACCATACAACTCCTACGGCGATAAACAAGTGCAAAAAGTACAATTCATCATCCCCGAGGACAGTTACAACAGTAACATCTACTTGATTCTTGACGGTCTCAAATCGAATGTTCTCTACCAAAAGATTCAACCAGCGATCACCAGTGTCGTTAGTAATATTCCAACATCGGGTGGATTGATCACAGTCTACGGTAATCACTTTAGAAATGTTAAACAAGGTGGTAGCTTTGTCAATTCCTACATTTGGTATGGTGGTTATATCTGTCAACTCCAAACATTCGATCTTCACAATCTAACTTGTTTGATGGGTCCTGGAACTGGAACAACTAACACACTCACCTATGTCAGCGATGACTTGGCATCCAACTACGTTGCCTACACCTATCAACCACCAACTGTATCAGCAGTCACCCAATCATCATCGACAGTCCAAGTCAACGGTACCAATTTCGGTGTATCACGTCTTACCGCCTCTGTTTTGTTCAACAACCTCACTTCCTCGCCATCCGCTGTCTCCCACAATCAAACCACAACTTCAATCCCATGGAATTCACTCAATGGTAATCTATCAGTATTGGTATCCGGTCAGCTATCAAACAACTACTCCTACAAGTTGACACCTGTCATCCAAGGTGTTTCCTCGGTTGATAGAACTGGAGGTGTCTTGACTATCTACGGACTGTTCTTGAATGACATTCGTTACGATGGTTTGACAACCAATCCAACAGTTCTCTTCCCCAACGAAGAACAATGTGCCAGCGTTCAAATGCTACCAAGCGATCCAATTGCCAAGCAGACTCGTATGACTTGCATTGCTCCAGCATCGAAAGGAACCAACACCATTGACATTCCCGTTGTTATCACCATCGATGGTGTATCGGTCACCACTTTGTTCACCTACGGATCACCTCTCATCAACAGAGTCGATGTCTCAGTTGACAACACCATCACCATTACCGGTGACCAATTTGGAACGAATGCATCGTTGATCACCGTTGTATTTGGTGGTAATAACATCACCACTCTACTCTCAATCGCCAACGATCAAATCACATTCAAAGCACCGTTGACCGCAATGAATGACTACCTCTATGTCGTCTCCAATCGTAACGGTAAACAATCGACTCAATTCTATGTCCAACTCTATCCAATCATCACCTCGGTAACACAATCCCTCACAGAAGGTGGACGTGTCACAATTTACGGTTCCTACTTGAATCCATTGAAACTCGGTAATCTCTACACCAGCTTCACAGTTACCTTTAACAAGACCATAAGCTCTGCGATCTTGTACACCAACCCAGGCAATACTACTCTGGTGATTGTCACCTCACCACCCGGCACCGGTCTCAACTACCCAGTCACCGTTAACATCGAAGGTTTGAAAGCATCGATCAACACATTCGGTTACCAACCACCAGTGATCCAATCGACCACCCAAAAAGGTCAACAACTCACATTCATCGGTAATAACTTTGGTAGCGATATCGCCAAGGTGACATTACTCCCATCGTTCACCATCGCCAGTGTCAGTGACCATGCTCTCACAGTCAACATCCCATCGTCTGCTCAAAACGGTCCATTCTCTGTTTCAGTAGATAGCCAACTCTCCCCAACTTTCGACGCCAAACTAACACCAATCATCACATCCATCATCTCAGTACCAATTACAGGTGGTGATATTACCATAAAGTAAGTTGTTAAGAATTTGACTCAAATTCATAAAAAATTGTTAACAATCCTTTTTTTTTTTAGTGGATATTATTTCAATACAAGACGTGCTGATGGTACTGCAACACCAATCTCTGTCAATATCAATACTACTGTTTGTGTATTTAAATCGACTATTTCCAATGTCGGTGTTATTTGTACTTTACCAGCTGCCAACATCCTCAACAAACAATTGAATGTTACCATCGATGGTAAAGTAGCATCTGCCGTTTATTCATCGAATGGTCCAACCGCCACTGGAATGATCAAGAGTACTCTTTTCAATGTGCCTGCTATCATTACAATGGCCGGTACCAATTTCTACGATCCACTATCAGTGTATATTGCCGATGTTGAATGTACCAACGTCATTGTAATGGATTCGCAATCGTTGAAGTGCGATTTCGATGCCACCGTTCAACCATCGATCTCGCTCTTGCCAGTGTCGATCTTCTCCTCGAATATCAAAACAACCGCCAATATCTTTGCCTACGACGATATCAGTTGTCAGAACAACTGTACCAACAACGGTCGTTGTTTCAACGGTCAGTGCAGCTGTAACATCGGATTCGGTGGTGCACTCTGTCACACCGCAGTCAACCTCACCGTGCCGCTCCCAGAAGTAAACTCAACCTCTGGTGTCTTTACCATCGACCAAGATGTATTCACAGCGGGACTTGCATTCATTCGTGAAGTTACGGTTGGTTTCGTCACCGTGCGTACCATCCCAACTGACACTCTCAGCTTTACCGTCGTCTCAACTCAAGAGGTCGGTGACTACATCCTTCAGAAATCGATTGGTGTTGAAGTCAATCCAAATCCAAACTCGCGATTCTCCATTGAAATCGATACCTACACTCTCAAGTATGGAAGAGTATTCGAGTTTGCAGGTGAGAGAATCTCTGTCGATACTCATTCCTTCAAACAGAATGTAAAAGTTAATAACTGGCGTTTCGATAGTCTCCAAAATACTCTGCAGTTGATCTACCTTGCCGATGCACCCGCATCCGTCAACCTAGAGAATTGTAACGAAGCAAGTGTCTCCAACCTAACACTGTTCAATTCACTCGATGGACAACAACGTTTGCTATCATTCGACATTGAAAATAAGCTCGGTATCTTTACTGGTAGATTCTCAACCCGTTTGATTAAAGATGGTTACTTGTCAGTGTTGTCAGTGACAGCTATCGAGTTGTCCGATCCAATTTGGCCATCGAAGGACGGACATCTCAAGACTTTGGTTGCAGTCAACATCCCAGTGTTTGAATCGTACGCACAATTCGATCCATCTTTCTCTGCCTATCGTATCAATGGAACTAATAAATGTACTCCACCTTCCACACCTACACCCGTGCCTACCATCACAACCGCAACTGCTACAGCGACTGCTACTTCAACCGCTACTTCAACCGCAACAACTGGAGATGCAACAACTGCAACTACTTCCACTCCAACCACCACTCAAACAACTTCCACCCCAACCTCGTCAAATCCAACTTCCACCCCAACCACCACTCAAACAACAACTGCAACCACCACTGAAACTACTTCAACTACCAATGGACAAGTAGACGGTCCAACCACTTCTACTATCACAGGATCATCTATTCCAACTATTACAACATCTACTACAGGTACAACCGGTCCATATAAATCATGTCCAGGTCATCCAGTATGTGGTGGTCACGGTCTTTGTAACTCTACAACTCTGTTGTGTCAATGTCATCCAGGATATAGCGGCGCTGATTGTGGTGGTACCTACGTTCCACCAACCACTCCAATTATCCCAGACCCAGAGAAACCATCCACCAATCAAACCAATGACCAAACCAACTCGGAAATCAAGATCGATATTGTCTCGCTTCGTGAGTTGACCTATGGAGATGCCTTGGTCAAGGAATACCCATTGGGCAACTGGACAATGACTCAAACCAATCTGACAACCTCTAGACGTCTCGTCTACAAGACAACAGTTGTTGGCACCACCGTTTTGAGTATCATCATCGATACATTCAATGCCACCACCACAGTGGAGTTTGCCGGTCAAATCTCAACGATGGCACCGGGCGCCATCAAATACTCTGCCTCGATCTCCAAATATAATTTCGCAGCACTCTACAATAAGCTGGAATTGGTATTCTCAGCGACTCTTGGTGATACCAAAGAGAGCAAAGACACATGTTCCTACACCTCGTACGAATACGACGAGAACAACTCACTCCGTTCGATCTCACTGCAAATCAATGGACAAACACTCTACGGACGTTTCCAAAACAGTGTAATTCTCGATGGCAAAACTTTCGCTACCACCTCGAGAGTTCTCGAATCCAACGATACTTCGACATCGACCAAAGCCAAGGCATTGGTAGGAATGATCATCGCGCCGACCAACTACGAGAGATCTGCAGAGATCGATCCGGATTTCTCGCTACTTCTCACCGGTAATGCCAAAGACAAATCAGGCAGTATCTGTAATTCATCAAAGAAGAAACTCTCGACCAGCCAAATCGTTGGTATTGCTATTGGTGCCGCAGCCGCAGCTGCTGTCGTCGGTACCATCGTAGGTTACACAATCCACAAGAAAAGAAAAGAAAACCAAGAAAATAAATCCATATCATCTAAAATGAGTGGATTAAATAAATAAAATAAAACAAAATAATATTAAAATAAATTTCAAATGATATATTAGTTCAATTTAAAAGAGTTATTTTTTGATCTAATTTCTTGCTCCTCCTGGTTTGTAAATTAACTAAAATAAAAAATAAAAATACAATTCAAAATCTATTAGTTTAGTTAGATAAAATAACAGAATGGAACAATAAATATGTTTGTTTGATGAACAACTAATTCCTGATTTGTAAATTTAAAAAAAAAAATCAAAAAAAAAAAAAATAAAAGGAAATGAATGATTTGTCATTTAAAAAAAAAAACGTGCGAAATTCTTATTCATTGTTAATTTCAACATCTATTATTACAAATTAAATAATATAATATTTAATTTGTAAATGTTAAGAGTTAATAAACTTAAAAGTGTAGTTGATAAATTTACTACATTATCACAATCATCATCATCATCATCATTGTTGAGCAGATCATTGAATAATAATAATAATAGTCAAACAAAGACAACGACTATATCAACTTTAATAATGTCACAACAAAAGAAAAAACCAACTATTCAAACTAAAGCAAAGTTACCAAAAATATCACAATGTGCTGCTGCACTCCAGGGAAATAGATTCTACTCGACCAAGCCTGGATTCAAACCGGCACCCTACTTAGGACCACCACCAACTCTCAATGAGATCGTTAAGCTCGAGTTACTCCAGAAGGAGTCACCAGAGACCATCAAAGAGATCTGGTTGCGTTATCACTCCAAGAAGGACTCGATCTGCGCCGTCATCCCTGCTGAGACCTACAACAAGCTGAAGCAACGTGCCAAGTCGTGTCCACTGTTTGTCTTCCCGTTGCCAGGTGACAAAGGATACATCTCCATTCTCTATCAATGGCAAGAGGACTATTTCATGTATACATATTTGGATCAGTACAAAAAGTACACCGTCAACGCTGTTCCATGGTTATCAGCCGCTCATTACACCGATCTCCTAGAGTCAAAAGGTATTGTTTTAATGAGAGCCGATCCAAATCTGTAAGTTATATTTATTTGATATTATAATAATAACAATCAATCAATGTCTAATTACAAATAATTGTAAATCTATTATTATTATTATTATTATTAAAGCGAGGTATTAAATACAGTTCAAGCACAATTTCTTTATAATCAAACACAGATCTTCTTGTTGGACGATAAGAAATTTAATATTATGCAAACATTCACCTACAATCCACAGAGATTCGATTTCAATGCTGTGTTGAGAGAGATTAACGACCAGAAATCAATGTTGGAAACTGTGCAAGATCCAAACGATAAATCACATAAAATAGTCAATTTCGACAATAACACAGCATCAGGAGTCAACAGTAGCAATAAGGAAGATATTGCAGCTGCAGAGACTACATCAACTACCACCACTACATCAACAAAAGTAGAGACAACAGGGGAGAAAGAGTCACAAGAAAAGAATCAGCCGATCACAATGGACACCTATAAGGTCAAGCCATCACTGTCTGCCACCACATCACAATCTTCTTCATCATTAGATTAAATAAAGTATTTTTATTTGTTAAATTGAATGAATTCCTGTTACAAGAATTACACGTAATACAGTTATTTAATATGAATAAAATAAGACGACTTTATTAGTTTACAAATGTATGATATTTATAGTGTTTGTGATTAGCTAGTATTCTTGCCAGTTTCCATATTCTAAGGTATTTCTTATTCTTGTATATTTCTCTAACAATTCCTTCATTTTCTGGCATTAAAAAAGGAATAAAACTATAAATTCTTAAAAAATAAAAATTTTTTTCAACATCCGACTTTAACTCAAGTGGTAGAGTGTTTGACTGTAGTAAGAATCACAAGAGATATCAAAAGGTTGCTAGTTCGAGTCTGGCAAGTCGGATTTATAAAAATTTATTCCCGGATGCGGTAAAGGTTGATTTTTGTAAGAAGGTTCATCTTTTGTTCTGTTCCAACCCTCTAAAATATCATTTGCAAAGACTCGCTATTATCTGTTCATCCTCTCTTTTACATGTATTAGCCCGGATTTAGTTGATTTGTAAAAAAAATGATGGCACAATTAAATTAAGTAAAACAAAAGAATTGTGTTTAAATTTGTTTATCTATTTTATATATTTTTTTAAAAAAGTATGGTTAAAATAATAAAAAACAATGAAGGAGGTAAAAGTTGATAGGATTGATTAACTGGTGTTGGTGTAGGAGTTGAAGTTGGCTTTTCTATTGTTCCAATATTAAAAGGATCAGTTGTACGGATGCATCCTGATGATTCAGTGACGATGAATTGATAGGTTCCATTTGATAGATTTGTGACATTCAAATCGTTTCCTTGAGTTTCATTTCCAACCAAAGAATTTAATCCATTTGTAATATTAATTAATTTGATAGTTAAAGAATCTGATAATTCTGAAGTTGCATTTATACTCACTCTGATTAACTCGTACTTTTAGCATCCCTGAAAAATAAAAAAAAATTCAAATTAAATAACAATCACACATTAAACCCACCAAAAAAAAAATAAAAAAATAAAAATAAAAGCTAATCACACAAAAGAGAGCGTATAGTGACCTCTCTCCACAGTGAAATTCGTACTTTTAGCTTTTTTAGCTATTTTTTAATATATTTTAATAATATTTATAAATAATAAATAGAAAATGATTCTCTATAAATTATATTATAGATATATAAAAATTTTTATATACTTATTATTGATAGGTGTAGTAGTGTGTGCATGCTAATTGTGGACTCCAATATAACCACTCTTCTAGTAGATCAAGACATTATAAGAAAGATCACAAGCAACCCTGCCAACAATCTTGTGATTACTGTTCCAACACGGCAACCAAAGTATCAGTTTGTAGACATCGCAGCTGTACCAGTGGAAAGAAATATAGTGAATCAAATTTGTCAAAACATGAGAAAAGAAAAAAATACCATTCTAATTGTGGTATTTCATCTGGATGCTTACCATGTATTGAGTTAGAGGAAATGCGAAACGCAAGAGATGATATTCCAATTGCAAAGCTGGCACAATTGAAAGATGAGTTACTGATTCCAGATGGCTGGTGGTCTCATCTGCGCCAAACCTAATGAATGATCCAAGCATTACCAATGCGGTTGCTACCACTACTACTACAACTGCTGCTGCTACTACTACTGCTACTACTACTGCTACAACTAGAGTTTCAACTTTCGCGAACCAACAACCATTAATTAACGAAAATCATTTGCCTATTCCTGCCTTCTCTGTAGGTGAGAGTGTTTATGGAAAAGCGGTCAATGGAAGAGACTTTGGGACATGGTGGCCTGCTACTGTCAAAAGCATTGAATACAGCAATGAAAACAACGAATGGTGTTATACTATTAAGTTTAAGCAAGGAAATGAAGGTTTAGAAACATTAATAGGTCACAACTTAGTAACAATAGATGAGGATAAAGAATTCACAGTCAATAACATTAAAGATAGATTGGATGTTTTGGTGTTTGATAAAACAACAAAAAAATACTATAAAGGTGAAATAATAGAAGGTACTGAACAATCTAATACAAGAAAAAGAAAGGTGACTGCGATAGAAGTAGCATGTGAAGGTACAAATAATTATGATTTAAATAATATTCTTAATTCCACAGGTATACAAATCAGTAAAGAAAGAAAGAGAAATGAGTTTTTAAGAGTAGAACCATTCAAAATTGAATATTTTTTACAAGATATTTACCCAATAATAAATCTATATAAATTATCTAATATAAAATTATTGTTTATTGACTTTTCTTATTTAAATAAATTTATTAACTATTAATTCATTGCATATTCTAATAGTAGTAATAAAAAAGAAATGATCAACAAAAAAAAAAAAAAAAAGTGAAAAACAGCTATTTTTGCAAAAATGAAAGTGCAAACCTTCTGATTTTTGAAAATTGTGATATTGATCATTGTAAAAATTTGGTGAGCAACCTTTTTTTTTTTTTATATGTAAAAATTAAAATTTGAAAAATTAATGTGTGGTTAATATGAGGATGCTAATTGTACGATTAATTCGGAGTGTGCTGATGAACCTAAAACTTGAACGTTGGTATCAATCAAATTCGATGGTATATTAATAATCATCAGTGCTGTTTGTTCACATAAATTTGGTTTACTAATTGAAATAACTAATGCGTTATATCCTGATGGCAAAAATATTGGATTGCTATTACTTTTCTCTGAGTTTGCAATGGAATGCTCAACTGGATCCGATGGTAATTTTTAACTTTTTTATTGTTTTTTAAAAAGAAGATCTCTAAAGAAATAATAGGATTGTTCCCCCAACCCTTTTTTGATATCAAACTTTTGCCCATTAATTGATTAAAACAGTTTATTTTTTTAAACCTTTCATAATTTTAAAAACACAGCTTTTAATTGAACATTAAAAATGACAAAATAATGAGTGTCATTATTGAGAGTAATGATGATGATGGTGAAAGTTGATGTGATTGATTAATAGGTTGTGTTGGAGTTTCAGTTGGTGGTTGTGTTGGACATTCAAGAATGTTGAATTGTGGTGTTGCGATGTAACAACCAGATGATTCAGTAACTGTGAATTGATAGGTTCCACGAGAGAGGTTTGAAATGCTGGCTGTGTTTCCATTGATTACTTGTCCAACCAAATTACCGTTTCCATCTAATGGACTATTAGTTACATTAAACAATCTAATAACCAATTGACTTTGAAGTTCTGATCTTATTACAATCGAGGCAGTTGCGCAAATCGATGATGTAACTTCAGCTTCGACGATATTCGATAGTACTGTGAATGTTTGGCTGACAACTTGTCTACATGAAGATGAAGTCGTAACTCCAGTCACTGTATAGCTACCAGGTGCCAATGTCAAGTTTCTTGAGCCAATCTCAGCGCCACCCACAAAGTAAATACTATCCATATTGTTACCTCCTTGCGTAGTAGAAAATGTTACTGTTCCATTTTTACCTGGAGTGCATTGGTTAATGACTGATGCGGTAATGACTGGTGAAGAGGCGTTAACAAATATATTTTCAGAAGAGGTGAAGCATGTCAAGTCTGTATTATTGATGGTTGCTAATAGATAGACACCAGAAGTCAGTGAATCCCAACGTCCTTTGAGTACTTGAGGGAGTAACGATTCTCCAGCTACATCGAAAAGTAAATAAGTGAAATCTGGATTTTGGTTGGTGATGGTAATGGAACCATCTCTAGTTCCAATACATGTTTCACTGGTAACTGATGTTTCGATTGGTATTTGTGATAGTGGAGTGTCTACATAGATGTAGGAATAGGTATATTGTTGACCGGTTGCTTTCAAAGTGAAATAAAAATCGACATTCGTCAAAGTATGAATTTGATTGTTTGAATCCAAACTACCGATGCTTGTACTAATATAATATTGGTCGACAATTGATTGTGGGATTTGGAGTGTTTTATCTTTGGTTCCACATTTCGTGATAGTTTGAATTTGGAAATCTGGTTCTGGTGGATTCTTTGGCATGTCTACAAAGGCAGAGCAATAATCATTGTAATCATATAAAAAGACACCCCTGTTATCTGATGAAATCGAACCAATGTAGTCTGGATAAACATAGCTTGACTGTGAGGTGAAAGCTACGATACTTTCCATTCTAATCTTTGTATTAGTTGTAAAATTAACTGAACCAGGTTGATATCTAAATGGTTGATCTATTGAAAATGTGAAATCTTTATTTCAAAAATAACGTCAGTAACTAGTATATTATTAAAATAGTTTAAAAAAAAAAAGATAACTTACTGACTGGACTTGTTTGCGCAGTTCCTATAAAATTCCATTGACAATAATCACCAGATTTAACTTTAAAGTTATAATTTCCAGTGGGAATGTTGACAATTAGTTTCATTCCACCGATATAATAATTGGAATTGAATGAGTCGACTGACGTATTTTGGATGTCATTTCCTAATCTGTCTTTACCTTTGACTCGATAGATACCATCTGATCTTCCCAAACCATTGTTGCAAGTTGGGCGATAGATTTCCTCTAGATTGACTTGACCATCGGTAACGATGGGTATTATCTTTAGACCTACTCCACAAACTGTGTGATTGAAATAAATGGAATAGCCATCTGGGTAGACTGCCAATTGTGTGAAAGCGCCTGTACTTGTTGCTTGCTCACCAATTGCCAATAAATGATAGTCTGAGAAATTGGAAAATACAATCGATCCAGTTGGTTGGTTGCATTTTGTTGAATCTTGGTTGGTAACTGTGTATTGGAGGTCATAGTCTTTACTATATGGAATATCTACATCTATAACAGAGAAACATCTAGAAACTTTCGTTTGATATAGAGCAACGATGAAATATTTTCCAACTGGGAGAAAAATTTGTCCATTACGAAACCCTATTGGTGTTGTATTGTTAATTGCAAGATATATTAGATCTAAAAGATCAACAGATATCAATTCTGCAACCATAAAAGAATCTTTACAAACTGCTGGTTGTATAATCTTGTATGTTGTATGATTCTTTACATCTAATAATAATTATAATTAAAATTAGAAATTGTCTTTTTACGATTTTGATTTTTTCCTAATTCTTTGATGATCTTATATACATACTGCTACTTGTAAGTGGGAATTGAATTGGTGGACAAGATCCAAATGTAATTTGATGTTTTTGAGTTTCTCCAGGATAAATATCCACTGTAACATTGTCAATGGTAATACCATGGTTGATGAACAAATAATTCACAGTGACTGCATCGGAACATGTTGTGGTTGATCTAATTACTTCTGTTATGACATTGATTGTTGTGGTATTGGGATTTGGCAATGACAGTGCAATGTCATATGTAAAGTAGCTGCAATTAGCTGACTCTTTGTAAATAAATTGCAGTGAGCTTGAGGTAAACACTTTTTTGAAGATACCATCGGTTGTTGTATAGTTAATATTCAAGTTGGAATCATGAATGACGATTTCATTGAATAGATTATAGTTTTGAAGGGCAATGGTCGAAATTCCAAGACAATCGGTGGAGGTTGATTCAATCGAGTAAAGAGGTACTCGTTGGAATTTAATTGGAATAGGATCACCACATGTCTGAACTAGATATTCTTTGCCATATTCTAATGTCATATACATATTGGTCATAGGAACGTTGTTCACTACAATATCAGAATAATTTCCGTTATATTGGATCTTAATCATTCCAGGAGTGTCACAGGTTGGAATGGCATCGATAGAATAAGTAAAATTGGTACCGAGATTAGGAGTAATGAAATTATAGGCAACTTGGAATTGGCCGCTTAAATGAATCGTGAGTGACGCTCCCCTTTGGAATGTCAATATATCACCAACCATGAATCTAGGTCCATTCTGAATGTACATCGAATAATCGGCACCAGTTACATTGTTATCAAAGTAGAATGAAACATCGACTGTTCCATCTTGGCAATTGGAGGAATGGATTTTGTTTCTTAAAACTGGGAGTAGGTTGGAGGAGATAGTCATTAACTGTGCTCCACAAGTATTGGAATTGGCGATGAGAGTATACACCTTTTGGTCTTCATATGGGAACGTCATAGTGCTTGGATCGATTGGAGCAACTTCATTTCCTTCAGAGTCGTACAAGTGGGCAGAGCTGAAACTCTGGTAGTTTAAAATGGCTACAGTTCCATTGCTTCCAATGATTCCCTGGGAAAATGAAAGAGATGGGACCAACGGATTTTGAGCTTGTAGTCTGATAAGGAATGTATAACCATTTAGAAAAGTTATACTATGCACTCCATTGGATTTCACTCTATATTGGAAGGTCGGTGTGAAAGCAATCATTTCATTGGGTATCTGAGGAGCTACGGATTGGATGGTAAACGATTCCGTATTGATTTGGGTGTTGTTGATTGGCGTGAGAGTGGCATTGGTATATAAACAAAGGGGTTGGACAATTTTGGTGTATGGAATAGTCAGAGTTTTCGTATTGGAAACGACGGTACGATTACAGGGAGCACCACTGTAATCTCTAAAGGTGTAATAGACATCGTAGATATCGTTGACGGTGAATCTCATACGAGTACTCGCAGACTGGTAGTAACTGTATATCTTCTCTGGAACGGCATGGGAGCTACGTCCGACAGCACCGAAATCAATCAGTGAAGAATTACTATCCTCGTAGTATAAATCGGCATACCAATATCGAGTTGGATTTAAAAATTGGTAGTTTCCTAGAGGAGGAGCATTACTACCACATTCCACAGATTGAACAACACTAGTTCCAATACTATAAAACAAATATAATACAAATATATAAATAAATTTAGAATTCATAACTGTTCTAATCAATAAATGAGTTAAATTTTGTTTACGTACTTTAAAGTTAGGTTGGTTGTATAACTAAAAGATAAAAATGGGTTTTTTTGATAAAAAAACTGATCAAAAAAAAAGACTCTTCATGAAACGATTCCTTGAAAAATCAAAATGTGTTTAAAAAAAAAAAAAACAAAATTTGGTGTTTAAGAGATTTTAATCTAGATAGTTAAAAATGCTTAATTTAATAATATTCAATTTTATTTATTATTATTATTTTTTTTGCAACAAATTTTAATTAAGCAAAAAAGATTAATGAAAGAATGGAGAAGAATAATAATGAAGTGTATGGTGAAAGTTGATATGATCGATTGATAGGTGTTTGTGTTGGAGTTTCAGTTGGTGGTTGTGTTGGACATTCAAGAATGTTGAATGATGCTGTTGTAATCGAACATCCAGATGATTCAGTGATTGTGAATTGATAGGTTCCACGAGAGAGGTTGGTGATGTTGGCTGTGTTTCCATTGATTGCTTGACCAACCAATGAATTACCACCATTTGTAACATTATACAATCTAATTGTCAATTGATCTTGAAGTTCTGATGTTGCTTTGATACTGGCTGTCGAACAAATCGATGATACAACTTCTGCTTCTAGGATATTCGACTGTACTGTGAAATCTTGGTTTACGAATTGTCTACAGGTACCTTCATTTACAAATGCCTTGACTGTGTAATCACCTGATGGCAGTATTACTTTGGTTGAATTAATCTGGACATCAACTGAATAAACTACATTGTTTACTGGTTGATTGTTAACAGTTGTTGAGAATGAAACAACACCATTGGATTGAGCAGAACATTGATTGGTGGTAATGGCAATGGTAACTGGTGAATTGACTTGAATTTCGACTTGTTCAGAGGTTTTACATGCGACATTAGTGTTGTTTGTTGCATAGATAGAATAGATACCTTTGGTGAGTCCACTCCATCCTCCATTGATTGGATTAGCATAGTTAATTTCTGTATTGACATTGTAGAGAGAGTATATTAGGTTTGGATCTTGATTGGCGATAGTTATCGATGCATCACCACTACCCATACATGACTCGTTGGTAAAACTATAGGAAACAGGTGGCAATGCTTCAGTGTTTTGAGTTTCAAGAGTAAAGTATGTAGCAACTCCAGTTGTCTTGGATGTCAAAACAATGTCAATTCCATTGAAAGCATAAACCATGTTGTTTGCATCCAGGAGACCATTGGAGGTCTTAACATAATAGTTGTCGACAACACTCTGTGGGAATTGGATTTGTGTATCCATCGATCCACATTTCTTGATTTGTTTGATTCCGAAATCCGGGTTCAACACTGGATTTAGTGGTGCCGATGTCATCACTTTACAATAGTCATTATAAAAAGCTGTGAATGTATCGACAGTATTTGGATAAACTGATAAATCAAGATGATTAGGATAAACAAAACTACCACCAATTCCATCTACTTCTGGACCATCAATTCTAATATATGAACTGAAATTGAAATTAAATGATCCTGGATAGGTGGTATATTGTTTGATATCTGAGAAGGTAACATCTTTGATTTTAAATAAATAATGATTAATATTTGTTAAGTTTGTAAGTAGTTTTTATTTGTAATAACTTACTAATTTCATTCAGTTGGTAAGTAGCTTGCACACCCCAAGAGCAAAACTGTTGTGATTTAATTTTATAATCTAGTTTAGTTTGACCAGCAATAATACCTAAACCATCAAATCCATATGTTGAATTGAGAGACAGGTTTGATATTCTATCTCCAAGTCTATCAAAGACATTCAATTGATAAACACCATCGGAATATCCCATTCCTCTGTCACAAGTTGGATGATAGATTTCTTCAATACTAACGTGACCATCAGTAACCACCGAAATATTGTTGATTTGACCAACTCCACAAACTGAATGATTGAATTGAACTGTGTAATAGTTTGTTGATAATTTATTGAATGATCCATTGTCGGATGTGGTTCCATTAACGAGTGTAAGATTGCTGAAATCTGCGAAATTAGAGAATTGAATTGAACCAGTTGCTTGGTTACATTTCGTTGAATCTTGGTTGATTACATTGTATGAAAGTTCAACATCTCTTGTGAATGGGATGTCAATTTCCAATCTGGTTCCACAATGTCCACGATCGTTCTGATAATTGAGATCAATCAAGTGTTTACCTGTTGGAACTAAATAGGTTGCATCATCCTTATTGATATTAACTGGTTGCAAGTCAATATTGATAGAAGATAATTTCAAAAGATCAACCGATTCCAATTGGATGAGAGCAAATGAATCTTTACAAACTGCAGGTTTAATAATCTTGTATGTTGTTGTATTTAAAATATCTATAAATAATAAATTAAAAAATAATTAGACTTGATAAAACTTTATGAATATCATTTTACTTACTCAATGAATCAACAGTAAGAACAATTAAACTTGTACCGCAAGTACCAAACTTTAAATAATGGTTAAAAGTACTTCCCAACATTAGATTGGGTTGTGTGAAATTCTCCAAAACTACACCACCTTTTTCAAGTTGGAAATTCACTGAAATTAAGTCTTGACAAGAATCTGGTTGATTCACTATTTGTTGATGAATTTCGATTGTTTCTGAACCTGTATTATCCATTGGAAGTGATATATAATATTCAGACTCGGTACAATTGTTGCTGAGTTTGTAGACGAATTTGTAGTTGGTCGAGAGATAGACATTACTAAAGATACCATCCACTGCCGTATAGTTAGAATTTAAATCTAACAAATAAATAGATGAGAATATCTGATAGTTTTGAACAACAATAGATGCCGTTCCAAAACAATTACCCGAGGTACGATCGACTGAGTATAATGGTACGGTGTTAAAGTTGATATAGAAAGATCCACCACATTTCGGGTAAACATTGTAATTGGTTCCATATTCCACGGCGATCTGCTTAGTGGTAAGTTGAATATTGTTAACTTTGATATCTGAAATATCACCGGCATAGTTGAATGTCACCAAGCCATCTGAGTAACATGTTGGATAGCTGTCAATCGTGTAACTAACACTCGAACCAAGTGATGGAGAAGAATAGGAATAGGTACTAGCCAATCCATTAATACCAGTTACACTTATAGTATACGTAGTTCCTTGTGCCAAGGTGAGATTATTACCAACTTGGTAAGCCGAACCTGCAACATTTATAGTATAATCACTCTGTGATACATTGTATCCAAAGTCAAATGAAACATCGACAGTGTTTGCTTGACAATTGTATGAGTGTACGGTACTATAAACATTAATATCCACTTCTGGTTGTAAATCCATAATTTGAGTTCCACAAGTATCGGAAACAGCAACCAATGAATACAACAGGTTGTTAACTATTGGGTAATTGTTTGGAGTGGTTGGAATAACTTCAGGACCTGACGAAGAAAACAACTTAATAGATGTAAATCTATTGGCATTCAAAACGGTCAAGTTACTTTTCTTTCCAATCACACCAGTTGTATATGAAATGATTGGAACCAATGAGTTTTGAGCTTGTAATTGGAATGGGAATGAATAACCGTTACCATAGGTAATAGTATGGACACCATTGATCGATGTTTTATATTGGAATGTCGGAGTGTAGGCTTTCATTTCGTAGAGGGATGAAGGAGAGGTCGAGCATTTCACTTGGAAATTAGGTGTGTTCATGTAGGTGTTGTTGAATGGGGTGAGAGTGGCATTGGTGTACAAACAAACCGGTTGGACAATATCGATCGATGGTAGACTCTGAGTGTTGGTGTCAGATACCAAACTATGATTACATGGAACACCATTGAAATCGCGAACCGTGAAGTAAACATCGTAGATATCGTTGACTTGGAATCTAAGACGAACAACCCTCTTATATAAAGATATTAGGTAGATCTTTTCTGGAACGGCATGAGTCTTACGACCAAGACCACCAAAGTCAATCAAAGAACCATCGGCATCAGGATAGTTTATATCGACTCGCCAATAATTTTCGAATACTTGTTGATACTTTGCTATTGGAGGAGCATTACTTCCGCATTCCGCTGAAAGAACAAAATCTAAAGTACAAACATAATAAACTAAGGATAATACTAATAAATAAATAATATTTGAATTCATTATTATTATTAGCTAATGATATCAACGGTTTAGCTATTGTTTGATCAAGATAGATGAAATAAATAGATCCTTTCAAACCAGTTTTGTCAAAAGAAAAAAATAGTTAAAGATTTTTGTTTTATTTCTATTCTTTGAATGTTAATATCTATTGCGCATATCAACCACGTTGTTAAAGGCAAAATCAATTTTCGGATGAGGCATGAAAAAAGGAACAAAAAAAAAAACACAAAAAACACAGTCTTGCCTTTTTTAAATTCGATCTCAGTATGGGTGAAGAATTTGAAAAAACAAAATTTTCTAAACTGATAAAAGGTGAGACGTCGCACCTTTCATTTCATTTTGAACGTTACTTTGTTCACATTACAAATAATTTGAACATATAATAAATAACTTTTCGAAGTTTAATTTTTTTTATTAAAATTGATAAATAACATTAGTAATAGTAATTTTAATATCAATATTACTAGTTTATTAATATTAGTTTTAAAATAAAACAAACCAAAATTAATAAAACTATATATAGAGGTACAAATAGTGATAAATCACTAGAATCTCACTTGACTGATGATATAGAAGTCAAGAGCTTTGATTTATTATATTTAATAATCCTCATAGTAATGTTTCTTTATTTATTGTCCTATCTACCATTTATAAAAGAAAGTTGGATGATGCAGAAGATGAATATGAAGAGAAATTATGGCAAAGGATAGAATAAAGATCGAGTAAACAGCGTGAAATGACAAAAGAAGCCTTTATCAACCTGAGTGAAAGTAATGAGAGACTAGAAACAAAGCTAGCGGAAAACAAATAGAGAGTGATAGTCCTATATTAGCTAAAGACGAAGATGATGTCATTGCAGTTGATGGTGTTAGTAATAATGAGAACAATATTAATCCAAAAGCATAGAGAAGAAGAAGTCAAAAAAAAATTATTCTGTCAAAGAAAAGAATGGTTTAATGTCATTCCTAAACACTTATGCAATGCTACCAGCAGATTTTATATTATATAATTTTTGTTCAATTTTTTTTATTAAATATTTAAATATAATTTATTTGTTTAATTATGATAAATGAATAACATAGAGATAATTGTTAGGAAAGTGAATAATAAAGAGGATGATGGTGAAAGTTGGTATGAATGATTGACAGGTGTTTGTGTTGGAGTTTCAGTTGGTGGTTGTGTTGGACATTCAAGAATGTTGAATGATGTTGTTGTCATTAAACATCCAGATGATTCGGCAACTGTGAATTGATAGGTTCCACGAGAGAGATTGGTGATGTTGGCTGTGTTTCCATTGATTGCTTGACCAACCAATGAATTACCACCATTTGTAACATTAATCAATCTAATGATCAATTGATCTTGAAGTTCTGATGTTGCTTTGATACTGGCTGTCGAACAAATCGATGATACAACTTCGGCTTCAATGATATTCGATTGGATTGTGAAATCTTGGTTTACAAATTGACGGCAAGTACTATCTTTAACAAATGCCTTGACTGTGTAATTACCTGATGGCAATAATACTTGTTCGGAATTACTTTCAACACCATCAACTGAATACACTACATTCTTGGCTTGTTGATTGTTTACGATTGTTGAGAATGCAGCAATTCCATTTCCTCCAGTAACACATTGTCTTACTACTGATGGATTTACAACTGGTTCGTTACTATTGATAATAATTGAATATAATTGATTGCACGACAATGAAGTGGTATTGGTTACAGATAATTGATATTCACCAACAGGTAGACCAGTCCAACTTCCATTTACTGGCTGTGGATAAGTTGAATCACCAGAGAGACGGTATGTTAATGATGCATCTGGGTTAATGATGGTAATGGAACCATCGGAACTTCCAAAACATGATTCATTGGTTAAGGTGTATTGAACATTGGATGGTGCTTCAATATTTGAGTTATCCATTAGAAGGAAATGGAGTTGACCAGTAGCTTTCGATGTTAACAATATATAAAGTCCTGAGTAAACTGGTATTTGATTATTTTCATCTGGAACTCCATTGTTTGTAGTAATATAATAGTTATCGACAACACTCTGTGGGAATTGAGCATAATTATCCAAAGTTCCACATTTCGTTGTTATTTTGATACCGAAATCTGGTTCTGCTGGACTGACTGGTCCTGGTGTAGAAACAACACATAAATCATTATACATTATTTGGAATGGATTTTGATTTCCTGGCACCAAAGCGAAATCTATATGGTTGGGGTAAACAAATGGAGATCCAAATCCACTTATACCTGCTTGGTTAATTCTAATGGGTTGATTGACATTGAAATTAAAAGATCCAGGGTATGAGGTGAATGGTTTAATATCAGAATATGTGATTTCTATTTTAATTGGAAAAACAATAAAATTATTATTCGGTTAAAGATGATCATAAATTTAATAATAATAAAAACTTACTAATATCTGTTAATGGAATTTCACCTTGAATCGGCCAAATACAATTGAGGTATTGGATTCTATTTTCATATTCATCATAAAGACCAGCAATAATTCCCATATTATCGAATGAATATCTTGGATTGGTTGTGATATTTCTAATTCTATTTCCCAATCTATCAAATACAGTGACACGATGAATACCATCAGATTGGCCTTTCTTAATACAAGTTGGGTGGTAGATCTCCTCTAAAATAACTTTACCATCGGTAACGATTGGAATATTGATTTGACCAACTCCACAAACTGTATGATTAAATTCGAATAAGTAATCACCAGTATTCAATTTACCAAGTGTTCCAGAAGAATCTAGTGGCATGGCATCGAATTCCAAAGAAAAAAAGTCGGCAATATTTGAGAAATGGACAGAACCAGTTGCGAAACTGCAATTTGTGGAATCTTGATTGGTGACAGTGTATGCGATTTCAATATCCTTTGTGTATGGAATATCGATTTCCAACACCGCTACACAACCTGCCATGTCATTCCAATAGTTAAGTTCGACTATATGTTTTCCTGTTGGAACTTGGATAATTACTGAGTTTCTATCAAAACCATAATTGTTTCCATCGACATACAAGCTATCCAAATTTAATAGATCTACAGATTCGAATTGAACCAATGCCAATGAATCTTTACAAACGGCAGGTCTAATTATTTTGTAGGTCGTTGCATTTAATGAATCTGTTTCAAACAAAAAAAAAAAATGTTTGAATTAATAATAATATAAATAGAAAGATATATTATCTTTTTATACTTACAACCGACTTCAAGATAGTAAGAAAGTGGAGGACATGTTCCAAATTTGATTTTATGTAGATATGATTCTCCCATGAAGAGATTCAATGTAACGTTGTCAATAAGTACACCATGGTTGACCATTTCGAAATTTACTGAAACCTTATCTTGGCATGATGTTGTTGGTGTAAGTATTTGTTTTTTGAGATCAATTGTCGAAACATCTGGATCGGTAATAATAATATCATTAAGAGTGGTTTGGAAAATTGAACAATTGGCGAAATTTCTATAACTGAGTAACAAATTGTCGGAGTTGATAACGTCTTTGAAAACCCCGTCAGAGTTGATTGTATAGTTGATATTGAGTTTTGTATCGGTGAGATTCAATTCATGGAAAGATTTGTAGTTGGAGATGACAATACTGGAAGTTCCAAGACAATCCCTTGATGTTGAGTCTACAGAATAGAGAGGATTGTTGTTGTGACGAATTGAAAAGCTATCTCCACAAAATGGTTGCACAATATAATCTGTGTCATACTCGAATGGAATTGTTTTACTTAGGAGTGGTTGACCATTTAATCTGACATTGGAAATATCACCATCGTAATTGAATTGAATCGATCCATCAGAGAAACAAGTTGGATAGGAATCGACTGTGTATGTGAGATTGCTCGAAAATGGTGATATATAAAAATAATATCTTGTCGAGAATTGTCCATTGAGTTGAATTGATACACTATCAGATTGTTCAAGTTTAAGGATCTCACCAATTTGATATGGATTACCCAAGTATGTTAAGGAATAGTCGGTTCCAGTGACATTGTAATCGAATCCAAAGGATACACCGACAGTCCGGTCATCGCAATTGTATGAGTGAACTGTACTCTTAAGAATTGGAATATTGTCAGAATTGACTGGCAGTACTTGAGTTCCACATGTATTTGAAACAGCAACCAAATTATAAGATATAGTATTCATAATTGTGTATGTGTTTGGAGAGGTTGGAGCAACTTCAACACCTTGTGGATCGTATAACTTGATCGAAGTGAAACTCTGTGGATTCAAGATGGTCATAGAATTGTTCTTTCCAAGTATACCTGCTGGGTAATTAACCAATGGAACCAAGTCATTCTTGGCTTGAAGATTCAATAGTGATGTAAATCCAGAGGGATAGTATGTAAGAGAATAGACACCGTTCATGAGAACTCCATATTGGAAAGTTGGAGTATATGCTGTCATTTCAAAGTCTGGCGATGCCATCATTACATTTTTGATGGTGAATGATTGAGCGTTGATAATGGTATTATTGATTGGAGTGATTGTGGCATTGGTGAAAAGGCACTTTGGTTGGATAATATCGACCTTTGGAATGGCCAAAGTTGCATTGGTAGAAGCGGTATGATTACATGGCACTCCATTGAAATCGTAGACAGTGAAGTACAGGTCATAGATATCGTTGGTGTAGAATCTAAGATGAAGCGATCTTGGTTGATTCAAATAGATTTTCTCTGCAACGGCTTTACTGACTTGACCAACACCACCGAAATCAAGGAGTAAACGATTGTAATCGGCAAAGGCAAAATCCAGAGACCACCCGTTAGGAGCTGTTATTTGGTATTGCTCCAAAGGAGGAGCATTGCTGCCACATTCCGCTGAATGAACAACATTAGCGAAATTGTAAATTAAATATATTACAAATAAATAATAAATATAATTAGATTTCATTTTTAAATAATAAAAGATATATAATAGATATTCAAAAGTGAAGTTGAATATATAGAATGAATTGAGGACAACCCATCTGACAAGAGACAAACCACCGAAACCATTCTCAAATTAATTCTCAAAAAACAATTAAAAATAAAATAACTTGATAATAGATCGAATTAAGAATGTTTTTGTTTTTTCGAGGAATGATCATTCGAACGAGGGCTATGATGGCTAAAAATAATCGTAAATCTCGGTCGATCAATTCTCGATCTTTCTTCAGATTAAATTTTGATAACTTTTTTGGAATTTTTTAGAATTTTTTTTAAATCAATGAAAGTCATCACATTGTTGATCAAATCAATTACCATCGTTTTTTAACAACACCGATTGTGAATTATCTGTGTTGCACAAAAAAAAATAAAAATGTAATAAATATCATTTCAATAAAAAAGATATAATAGATATGGATTTGTATTTAATTTTTTTTTATGAATTAATCAGTAAATCGTTTTTTTTTTTTTAGATATTATTGTTTCGACTAGTCTTAAATTAATTAATTGTTATAAACGAATAACATTGAAATAATTGTAAAGAAAGTGAATAATAATAAAGAGGATGATGGTGAAAGTTGGTATGAATGATTGACAGGTGTTTGTGTTGGAGTTTCAGTTGGTGGTTGTGTTGGACATTCAAGAATGTTGAATGATGTTGTTGTCATTAAACATCCAGATGATTCGGCAACTGTGAATTGATAGGTTCCACGAGAGAGATTGGTGATGTTGGCTGTGTTTCCATTGATTGCTTGACCAACCAATGAATTACCACCATTTGTAACATTAATCAATCTAATGATCAATTGATCTTGAAGTTCTGATGTTGCTTTGATACTGGCTGTCGAACAAATCGATGATGTAACTTCGGCTTCAATGATATTCGATTGGATTGTGAAATCTTGGTTTACAAATTGACGGCAAGTACTATCTTTAACAAATGCCTTGACTGTGTAATTACCTGATGGCAATAATACTTGTTCGGAATTACTTTCAACACCATCAACTGAATACACTACATTCTTGGCTTGTTGATTGCTAACGATTGTTGAGAATGCAACAATTCCATTTCCTCCAGCAACACATTGTCTTACTACTGATGGATTTACAACTGGTTCGTTACTACTGATAATAATCGGATATATTTGATTACAGGATATCGAGGAGGTATTGGTTACAGATAATTGATATTCACCAACAGGTAGACCAGTCCAACTTCCATTGACTGGTAGTGGGTAGGTTGTAAAACCAGAGAGACTGTAGGTTAATGATGCATCTGGGTTAATGATGGTAATGGAACCATCGGAACTTCCAAAACATGATTCACTGGTGAAGGTGTATTGAACATTGGATGGTGCTTCAATATTTGTATTATCCAATCGAATGAAATGGAGTTGACCAGTAGCTTTCGATGTTAACAATATATAGAGTCCTCTGTTCATCGGTATTAGATTATTTTCATCTGGAACACCATTGTCCGTACCAATATAATAGTTATCGACAACACTCTGTGGGAATTGAGCATAATTATCCATTGTCCCACATTTTGTGAAAACTTTGATACCGAAATCTGGTTCTGCTGGACTGATTGGTGGTGGTCTATAAAGAAGACATAAATCATTATACATTATTTGGACTGGATTTTGATTTCCTGGCAGCAAAGCGAAATCTATATGATTGGGGTAAACAAATGGAGCTCCATATCCAGAAATAGTTGCAGTGTTAATTCTAATAGGTCTACTAAGATGGAAATTAAATGATCCAGGGTATGAGGTAAACGGTTTAATATCAGAATATGTGATTTCTAATGAAGTTTAATACGTATATACATTAATATTGAGTTAAAAAAAAGAATTAAATAATAATAAACAACTTACCAATATCTGCAAAGGGAATTTCACCTTTAATCATCCAAACACAGTTGAGGTATTGGATTCTATTTTCATATTCATCATAGAGACCAGCAATAATTCCCATATTATCGAATGAATATCTTGGATTGGTTGTGATATTTCTAATTCTATTTCCTAATCTATCAAATACAGTGACACGATGGATACCATCAGATTGTTGGTTATTAATACAGGTTGGTTGATAGATTTCCTCTAGGATAACTTGACCATCGGTAACGATTGGAATTGTGATTTGACCAACTCCACAAACTGTATGATTAAATTCAAAAAAGTAATCACCTGCTTGGAAATTATTCATTGTTCCTGAGGAGTCTACTTTCATTCCATCATACTCCAATGAAAAATAGTCGGTAATATTTGAGAAATGGACGGCACCAGTTGCAAAGCTGCAGTTGGTTGAATCTTGATTGGTGACAGTGTATGCGATTTCAATATCCTTTGTGTATGGAATATCGATTTCCAACACGGTTAAACAACTTCCTTCGTCATTAAAATAGATAAGTTCGACTCTGTGTTTTCCAGTTGAAACTTGGATAATTACTGAGTTGCTATCAAAACCATTATTGTATCCATCGACATACAAGCTATCCAAATTTAATAGATCTACAGATTCGAATTGAACCAATGCCAATGAATCTTTACAAATGGCAGGTCTAATTATTTTGTAGGTCGTTGCATTTAATGAATCTGTTTCAAACAAAATGAAAAATAAAACAAAATTGAATTAATTATAATATAAATAGAAAGCTATTATCTTTTTTACTTACCATCGACTTCAAGGATGTATGAAATTGGAGGACATGCTCCATATTTGATTTGATGAGCATATATTTCTCCAATATTGAGATTCAATGTAACGTTATCAATAAGTATACCATGGTTGACCATTTCGAAATTTACTGATACCTTATCTTGGCATGATGTTGTTGGAGTAAGAATTTGTCTTTTGAAATCAAATGTTGAAACATCGGGTTCATTTTTAATAATATAATTAAGAGTGGTTTGGATAATTGAACAATTGGCGTAATTTCTATAACTGAGTAACAAATTGTTAGAGTTGATAACGTCTGTGAAAACCCCGTCAGAGTTGATTGTATAGTTGATATTGAGTTTTGTATCGGTGAGATTCAATTCATGGAAAGATTTGTAGTTGGTAATAACAATACTGGAAGTTCCAAGACAATCGCTTGATGTTGAGTCTACGGAATACAGTGGAAAGACATTGTGACGAAGAGTAAAACTATATCCACACAATGGTTTAATAGTATGAATATTGTCATATAAAAATGGCATTGTTTTACTTTGGAGTGGTGCACCATCTACTTTGACCTTGGAAATATCACCATCGTAATTGAATTGAATCGATCCATCAGAGAAACAAGTTGGATAGGAATCGACTGTGTATGTGAGATTGCTGATGAATGGTGAGATCAAAAAATAATAACTTGTCGAGAATTGGCCATCGAGTTTAATAGTTACGCTCGACGATTCTTCAAGTGTAAGGATTGAATCAGCTACATATGGATATCCTAGATACGATAATGAATAGTCGGTTCCAGTGACATTGTAGTCGAATCCAAAGGAAACATCGACAGTCCGGCTTTCGCAATTGTATGAGTGGACATTACTTTTAAGAACTGGAATATTGTCAGAATTGACTGGCAGTACTTGAGTTCCACATGTATTTGAAACAGCAACCATTTGATAGGTTATTGAATTCACAATTGTGTATGTGTTTGTAGAGGTTGGAGCAACTTCAACACCTTGTGGATCGTATAACTTGATCGAAGTGAAACTCTGTGGATTCAAGATGGTCATAGAATTGTTCTTTCCAAGTATACCTGCTGGGTAATTAACCAATGGAACCAAGTCATTCTGGGCTTGTAGATTAATAAGTGATGGATATCCGGTATCATATTTAAGAGAATAGACACCGTTCATACCAACTCTATATTGGAAAGTTGGAGTATATGCTGTCATTTCAAATTCTGGCGCTGGGAAAAGGGGATTTTCGATGATGAATGATTGAGCATTGATATAGGTATTATTGATTGGAGTGATTGTGGCATTGGCGTAAAGGCACTTTGGTTGGACAATATCTATCTTTGGCAGTGTCAATGTTGAATTGATAGAGGTGGTATGATTACATGGTACTCCATTGAAATCGTAGACAGTGAAGAACAGGTCATAGATATCGTTGATATAGAATCTTAGTTGAACTGATCTTGGTATATTAAAATAGATTTTCTCTGCAACGGCACGACTAAATTGACCAACTCCACCGAAGTCAAGCAGTAAACGGTTGGAATCGATTAAGGATAGAGAATGAGACCAAGGATTTGGATTATCTATTTGGTATTGTTCTAAAGGAGGAGCATTGCTGCCACATTCTGCTGAATTAACAACATTAGCGAAATTGTAAATTAAATATATTACAAATAAATAAATAAATTTCGATTTCATTCTAGATAATAAATAATTATAAATAATAAAGAATTAAAAAAATCAAATTTATCTGTGTGTTTAAAAAAGAATGAACCAAAAGTAGTTGAGGTCCTAACCCCGGTAGATTGATAATAATATCATTTTAACAAAAAAAAAACAAAAAATAAATAATTTAATTGATATATTTAAAAATAACTTAAGTAAGTTGTGCACAACCATTCAAACTAAAAATGATTTTGTTTTTTCGATGAATTGATTGTTCAAATCTTTTTTTTTTTGAAACTAAAAATAATTGCAGATCTGATCAAGTTTTTATCAAAACAGCCGCAAAAACAAATCTTTAGCATCTAATTTATTTAATTTTAAATTTCCTTGCGAGGGTTCCCAACTCCGTATTGTTGCTGATGTAAAGAAGAATGAAAGGCATACAGTTGCATCTTTACTTTTATTAATTTTAACATTGCTCAGAGCTAAAAAAAAACAGCCAAAACTTTTTTCAAAAAAAGCAATTTTTTTTTTATTTTCCATGAACAAATTGTTTTTAAACAGATGAAACGTTTCATGTCTAATTTTTTTCGTAAGTTTTTTGCAACAAATTTTAATTAAGTAAAATGAATAATGAAAGAATGGAGAATAAGAACAATGACGTGGATGGTGAAAGTTGATATGAATGATTGACAGGTGTTTGTGTTGGAGTTTCAGTTGGTGGTTGTGTTGGACATTCAAGAATGTTGAATGATGTTGTTGTAATCGAACATCCAGATGATTCAGTGATTGTGAATTGATAGGTTCCACGAGAGAGGTTGGTGATGTTGGCTGTGTTTCCGTTGATTGCTTGACCAACCAATGAATTACCACCATTTGTAATATTAATCAATCTAATTGTCAATTGATCTTGAAGTTCTGATGTTGCTTTGATACTGGCTGTCGAACAAATCGATGATGTAACTTCTGCTTCGACGATATTCGATTGAACAGTGAATGTTTGGCTGGTGAATTGTCTACAGGTACTTTCATTTACAAATGCTTTCACAGTGTAATTACCTGGTGTCAATTCGATCTTGTTTGAATTAATCTGGACACCATCAACTGAATAATAAACATTGTTAACTGCTTGATTGTTTACAGTTGTTGAGAATGTTGCAACTGAATTCAATACAGCAGCGGAACATATGTTAACAATTGATGTTGAGAGTACTGGTGAATTGCTACGGATATAAACATCAATAGATGATTGGCATGTGGGGTCTGTGGTGTTGACAGCTGTCAAAAGATATTTGCTGACGTGTAGATTTTTCCAGATTCCATTGGTTGCTGGTTGTGGCAATTGACCTGCAATTCCAGTATCTGTAAGTGAGTATACAACGTTTGGTATTGGATTGGTAACAGTTATTGAACCATCACCACTTCCAGAACATGATTCATCTTTCGATGTATATTGAATGGCTAGTGCGGATGCAGTGTATGTATTTTGGGCATTGTAGAAATATTGAGTTCCATTTGATTTCGATGTCAAAATAATATAAATCGAGTCGAAAATGTACATTTGGTTGTTGGTATCCAAATTACCATTGTTTGTTGTTACATAGTATTCATTGACAACACTTTGTGGAACTTGTAATATGGTGTCCATTGATCCACATTGTCTGAATGTGGTGATTCCAAAGTCTGGTGTTGGTGGAGTGAGAGGAGCAGGTACATAGATCTGACAATTATCATTATAATTTATAGTGAATGTGGCTTGAAAATTTGAGAAAAGTGCGAAATCAACATATCCTGGATACACATATATACCTGTAATACTAGATAAAAACGCATCATCAATTCTAATGTATGTACTGGCGTTAAAATAAAAGGATCCAGGGAAAGAAGTGTAAGGTGTAACATTATAATAATTAACACCTGAAAAAATTAATAATAATAAAAATAAAAATTGGATTAGTAAATATAAATTTGATTTGGTTATAGTTTTTGAGAAAACATACTGATTTCTTGTTTTGAAAATTCACCATTTAGATTCCAAATACAAAAATCTCCGGATTGAACTTCAAACTGATAATTTCCATAAGACTGACCAGCAAGAATACCCATAGTTTGATATACATAAGGTGTGTTAATGGAGGAGTTTTGGATTTGATTTCTTAATCTATCACGAACATTCATTCTATAGACACCATCTGATTCTCCATCTGGTTTGGAACATGTTGGTCTGTAGATTTCCTCGAATGTAACTTCACCATCGGTAATGATTGGAACAACGAATTGACCAACTCCACAAACTGAATGATTGAATTTGATGGTGTAGATATCAGGAGGAAGATTACTAAAGGTTCCATTTGTGGAATTTTCTCCATCGATTTGCAATGAAATAAAACCATTGAAATTAGCAAATTGAACAGAACCTGTTGATTGGTGACATTTTGTTGAATCTTGATTGGTTATGGTGTGTGTCAATTCAGTGTTGTTTGTGAATGGTATGTCGACATTCAATATAGTTTTACAATTTCCAAATGGATTAGCATAGGTAAGTTCAATAGTATGTTGTCCAGTTGGAACTTGTAAAAGGCCATCAGAAGTTACATCTGACTGGATATCATCAATGAAGACCGTTTTTAAATTCATGATATCAACAGATTCCAATTGAATAGTGGCTATTGAATCTTTACAAACTGCTGGTTGTATAATTTTATATGATGTTACATTTAATGAATCTGTTTTCATTTAATTATAAAAATTTTAGTTTAGATTAATATTTTGAATATTAGATTAATAATTAAATATTGATCGAATACATACTATCGACCATGGCTACAATAATGATATTATTACATGTTCCATATCTATATTTATGTCCTATACTTTGACCATAGTAGAAACTATCGGTAAAATTTCCGAGTATGACACCATTGTTAATGACTTGATAATTGAATAACACTTTTTCACTACATGATGATGATGATTGAAGTATTTTTTGTTTAATCTGGATTTGACTGGAATCTTGGATAGTCATAGTGTATGGGATGGAATATTGATAGGATTGGCAGCTCTTATCCAAAGTGTAGATAAATGACAGTTGGGAAGATGGATATACATTTTGGAAGATACCATTGATTGTCGTATAATTGATATTTAGCATGTGGTCATTCAAAATAATTTCAGAGTATGATTGGTAATTCTGAACAACAACTGACATGATTCCAAGACAATCGTAGGAAGTTGAATCAATTGAATATAGTGGTCGGTTGTTATATAATAAACTGATTGGTGCTCCACAAAGTCCTTGAATGGTGTATTGTTGGTTGAACTCGAATGGAACTTGATGGGAAGTAAGTGGGATACTATTAACTTTAATATCAGAGATATTGCCATCATAGTTGACTGAAAAAGATCCATTCGTGGTACAAGTTGGATATGTACTGACGGTGTAGCTTTGGTTTTGTGTGATAGATGGAACACTGAAAATATAGGAATTTTGGAAATCACCAGATATAGAAACTCTAACATATGATCCTTGGGCTAATTTAACTGGGGTACCCAACTGATATGGACCTATATTTTCAATAGACATATCAATATAACCTGTAACTGGGTATCCAAAGTCAAATGACATCTCCACGGTAGAGTCTGAACAATTATAACCTAAGATAGTAGATTTTAACGATGGTGTTAATCCTGGAGTGACACTCATAACTTGAGTTCCACAGGTATCTGAAACAGCAATCAATTGATAGGGCATTCCAATTGTAGTTGGGAATTGGTTTGGACTGGTTGGTGTAACTAGATTTCCTTGGATATTAATTAATTGGATGGAGCTGAACATCTGGGTGTTTTGAACGGATAAATAACTGTTCTGACCAATGATGGCGGGGGAGAAACCAATAACTGGTACCAATGGATTTTGAGCAAATAGATGGAAATAATATACAATATTGGGAGGATAGGTAATAGAATAGACACCATTCATATTGACTCTATATTCGAAGCTTGGAGTGTCGGCTATCAGTGAATTGGCAGGATCTGTATTGGAGACCCCTTTGACAGTGAAAAATGGAAGATTGATAACTGAATTGTTGATCGGGGTTAGAGTGGCATTGGAATATAGACATTTCGGTTGAACGATATCTACGTGTGGAATCATCAGAGTCGTTGTATTGGAGATGATAGTATGATTACAAAGTTCACCATTGTAGTCTCTGGCAGTCAAGAATATATCGTAGATATCATTGACATAGAATCTAAGATGAAGATATTTTGGGATTTCGACGGTGATCACTTTCTCGGGAATGGCATGAGTATTTCGACCGACAGCACCAAAGTCCACCAAAGCATTTGCAATATCTTCATAGATGAACTCGGCATACCAATACTTTGTTATTGGTGGGAAATTATACTGTTGCAATGGAAGAGCATTACTACCACAATCCAAAGATTCCACAAAATTGTGGTTAATCAAATTAAAAAATATATATAATACAAATAAATAAATAAATTTTGAATTCATAACTAACTCAATTAATGATTTAAATTTTGTATACAAACTAAAAATTCTCTTGATCAAAAATAAAAATAAAAAATGGGTTTTTTGATGATCGAAAAAGACTGTTCTTGTTTTAGTTAATTTTAGTTGAAGTTGAATTCTTTGAAAAAACAAAATGCTTTTTGAAAAAAACAAAAAAAACTTGTTTCAACCTAAACTTGTTTGGTGTTTTGCGAGAAGCGCACTATTGTTAAAAATAATTTAAACAAACTATGATAGTTTTTAGCAAAATTAAATCAAAATAAAGCCATTTTATTTATTCAGATATTAAATTTTAATTATATTTTAAACAAATAAAAAGAATAATGAAAGAATGGAGAATATGAATAATAATAAAGTGGATGGTGAAAGTTGGTATGAATGATTGACAGGTGTTTGTGTTGGAGTTTCAGTTGGTGGTTGTGTTGGACATTCAAGAATGTTGAATGATGTTGTTGTAATTGAACACACCAGATGATTCGGCAACTGTGAATTGATAGGTTCCACGAGAGAGGTTGGTGATGTTGGCTGTGTTTCCATTGATTGCTTGACCAACCAATGAATTACCACCATTTGTAACATTAATCAATTTAATTGTCAATTGATCTTGGAGTTCTGATGTTGCTTTGATACTGGCTGTCGAACAAATCGATGATGTAACTTCTGCTTCGACGATATTCGATTGAACTGTGAATGTTTGGCTGGTGAATTGTCTACAGGTACTTTCATTTACAAATGCTTTCACTGTGTAATTACCTGGTGTCAATTCGATCTTGTTTGAATTAATCTGGACACCATCAACTGAATAATTAACATTGTTAACTGCTTGATTGTTAACAGTTGTTGAGAATGTTGCAACTGAATTCAATACAGCAGCGGAACATATGTTAACAATTGATGTTGAGAGTACTGGTGCTTTGCTACCGACAATAATATCAATAGATGATTGGCAGGTTGGACCAGTGTTGTTGACAACTGTCAATCGGTAAGTGCTTGCAGGTAGATTTGTCCAAACACCACTGGTCGCTGGTTGTTGTACTGAATTTAAAGTTTGTGAATCGACTAGAGTGTAGCTGTAATTTGTTTGTGTATTGGTGATAGTGATTGAACCATCGCCACTTGAAGAGCATGATTCATCTTTGGTTGAATATTGAACGGGTGGTGGCATCTCATAGTTGGAATTTCCAATGTTGTAATAGTATTGAGTTCCATTTGATTTCGATGTCAAAACAACGAAAGTGGAACTGTACATGTTGATTTGATTGTTTGCATCAATGTTACCATTTTGAGTTACAACGTAATATTCATCGACTACACTCTGAGGAATCTGCAATATGGTATCCATTGTTCCACATTGTCTAATTATTTCGAAATCGAAATCTGGAGTTGGTGGATTGGCTGGAGCTAGTGTGTCGAGCTTACAAAAATCATTGTACTCTAGAGAAATGGTGAATTGTGTGCCCGGCATTATTGCGAATCCCATATGTTTAGGGTAGACAAAGAAGCCTCCAGAATTAATAGATGCACTATCAATTCTAATATATGTATTGGTGTTGAAATTAAATGATCCAGGGTAAGTAGTTAATGGTTTAATATTAGAGTAGCTGAAGCCTGAAAAAAAAAAGTTAGAAAACATTTAATTTGAATCTTAGAAGAAATGATATACATACTGATTTCCTGTTGTTTAAATTCACCATTTAGATTCCAAATACAAAAATCTCCGGATTGAACTTCAAAAATATATTCTCCATAGGTTTGACCAGTCACAATACCCATAGTTTGATAGGCATAAGGTGAACTAATGGAAGAGTTTTTAATTTGATTTCCAAATCTATCACGAACATTCATTCTATAGATACCATCAGATGGTCCAACTGTAACGGAACATGTAGGTCTGTAGATTTCTTCGAATGTAACTTCACCGTCGGTAATGATTGGAACTACGATTTGACCAACTCCACAAACTGAATGATTGAATTTGATGGTGTAGATATCGGGATTTAGATGATTGAATGCTCCAATCGAGGAATTTTCTCCATCGATTTGCAATGTAATAAAATCATTGAAATTGGCAAATCGTACTGAACCTGTTAATTCATCACATTTTGTTGAATCTTGATTGGTTATGGTGTGTGTCAATTCAGTGTTGTTTGTGAATGGTATGTCGACATTCAATATAGTTTCACAATTTCCGTTTGGATTAGAATAGGTAAGTTCAATAGTATGTTGTCCAGTTGGAATTTGGTAAGTGGCGTCAACAGAATTGAGAGCTTCTTGTATTCCATTAATGTATATAGATTGTAAATTAATGATATCAACAGATTCCAATTGAATAGTTGCTAATGAATATTTACAAACTGCTGACTTTACAATTTTATATGTTGTTACATTTAATAAATCTGTTTTTTTGTTTAATAAAAAATTTACAAATTATTAATAAATATTGATAATTTCACCTCTGTCATAATTAAATATCTGTTCTAATACATACTATCTACAACGAGTGGAATATTGATATAATCACCACATGTTCCATATCCTAAGTTATGTGTTATATTTTGACCATAATAGAAACTATCGGTAACATTTTCGAGTATGACACCTTTGTTAATGACTTGATAATTGAATAACACTTTATCACTACATGACGATGATGGTTGAAGAATTTGATGTTTGACCTGGATTTGACTGGAATCTTGGGGAGCCAAAGTGTATGGAACCCTAATTCCGGAAGAATAGCAGCTGCTATTCTCTTTGTAGGAAAATGACAATTGAGAAGATGGGTAAACATTATAGAAGATACCATCGATTGCTGTATAATCGATACCTAATGCTGAATCGATTAAAATTATTTCAGAGTATGATTGGTAGTTTCTAACAACAACCGACATGATTCCAAGACAATCGTCGGTTGACGAGTCAATCGAATAGATTGGAGGGTTGTTATAGAAAACAACAATCTCTTGTCCACATAAAGTTTGAACGGAGTATTGTCGGCCAAACTCGAAAGAAACTTTGTTGGAAGTGACCTTATGGTAGTTCACAGAGACATCAGTGATATTACCATCGTAGTGGATGGTAAATATACCGGTTGTTGAACATGTTGGGTAGGAATCTATGGTGTATCCTATCGATGGGTTCAATCTCGGTAAGGGGTAGAGGTAGTCAAAGTTGTATTGACCTTTTATTCCGACGCTAATAAGCGATCCTTGTCTTAAGGTAATAGGGGTACCCAATTGATAGGCGAAATCTCCAATAGTGATATTATTCTGTGTTCCAATACCAGGTACCTGGAAGTCAAAGTCGAATGAAACATCAACAGTGGAATTGGCGCAACTGTAATTAAGAACTTTTGATTTCAAGTAAGGGTAGAGGTTGGCAACTACATCCATTACCTGAGTTCCACATGTATTGGAAACAGCAATCAATTTATATCGCATACTATTTACAATTGGGAATTGGTTAATATTGGTTGGTGTAACTAGATTTCCTTGGTAATCGACTAATTGGATGGAGCTGAACATCTGGGAGTTCTGAATGGACATCGTACTGTTCTGACCAATAATGGCAGAGGAAAAACTAAAGATTGGTATCAATGGATTTTGAGCTTCAAGATTGAATAGATACTGGAGGTTTCCATAGGTAATACGATAGACACCGTTGATATCTACTTTGTATTGGAAGGTGGGAGTGTATGCCGCCATCGATAGAGTGGGATCTGGATAAGAAAGACAATCCACCTGGAAAAATGGAAGATTGATAAGCGTGTTGTTGATTGGGGTGAGAGTGGCATTGGCATATAGACATTTCGGTTGGACGATATCTACGTGTGGAATCATTAGAGTCGTTGTGTTGGAGATGATCGTATGATTACAAAGTGCACCACTGTAGCTGTTGACCGTCAAGAACAGGTCGTAGACATCATTGACATAGAATCGTAAACGTAGATAGTTGATACCGTCGACCACGTAGATCTTCTCTGGTACGGCACCACTGACACGTCCTACTGCACCATAGTCAACAACCGAGTTGGTAGTGTCCTGATAGACGAACTCGGCATACCAATACTTTATGAGAGGTGGGAATGAATACTTTCCTAAGGGAAGAGCATTGCTACCGCATTCTAAAGATTCGACAACATTGTTGCCTATACCAAGAATATTAATAAATAGATATAATACAAATAAATAAGTAAAATTTGAATTCATAACTGTTATTATGTTTAAAATAATAATAAATTATACTCACTTTGATATATATCTTAAAAAAATAAAGTCGCTACAGATCAACAATTTTGAAAATTCATTGAAAGAAAAAGTTAGATCAAAATAAAAATTAACAAAAAAATTGATTTGACACCCCGTCAATAGATCTTTTTAATGATCGGCACTTTTTTTTCGCCAGATAAGGCAGCAAATCTTTATAATAAAGAGTTTGTTATTAAATTATTTATATTAATTTAAACAATAAAAGCTCCCAAAGTAACTATCATATCTGAATAAGAATGAATGAAGAGCTAAAAACATAGAATATAGAATACATCCTAAATTAAAGATAATAATATATTGAACAAAATATATATATTTTAAATTCCAATAATAAATCGAATTAATTAATATATTATCACTAAAATAAATATTCATCAGATATGTTTTCAGTGACGCGTCACTGATGATAGTTAGGTAAAAAACAAAACAAAACAAAATCAATTTTTATTAAATACAATTCACATCCCAAAATAAATAAAATTGTTAAAGAAGTAATAAATATAAACCATTAATAGTGATCTATTAATTTAACTCAATTGTTACTTTTTTTGTTAATCACACACACACCCATTTTCTATTTTCGAAAATTCAAATTACACAAAAAAAACAAACGAATACATCTAATTTAGGTAATTATTTCTATTTTAATAATATTGACAAATTTTGAAACAATCATAAAATGAGATTTCTTAAATAAACTCATCACTTTATTATTTATCTAATATTGAAATATCAAAAATGAATTTAATATCTTTATTAATAATTACTGTAGTTTTCTTTATGGTTAATTCTTTTGTAAGTAGAATATATTGATAAATATATAAACAATTAGTTTAATTTCTAATTTAATAAATATATAGATAAAAAAGAACTTTAATTCAAAAGATAAATTAATAGGACCTTGGGAATTACCAATATTAGGTAGTTTATTATATTTTGGTAAGTTTTATTTACTTGGTTGTATTCAATTAAAATATGTAAATCATTTATTAAGATTGATTTATTAAAAAATAGGAAGTAAACCTCATCATACTTTAAAAAAGTAGGTCAGATAAATATGGAGATTTCAAAATGTATATGGGTGACTATAGAACTGTAGTTTTGGCTGATCCAATGAAGATTAGAGAGGTGTGGGTAAAAAACTTTGACAAATTCTCTGACCGACCACATCTACCTACCTATGAGTTTTTCACCTGTGGATTCCACGATGTTTCTACAGCCGACTATTCTCTATGGAAGAACAATCGTGGGATCATCGCCAACTCGTTCTCCAAAATCAATCTAAAAGTGATAACACCAATAATTGAAAATCAATGTAAACTATTATTGAAAAGAATGAAAGAATATCAAGATTCAAATGAAATTGTAAGTATTTAAACAAATTTAACAAGTATTAATTAATACTAATAGTATATGTTTAAATAAATCTAGTTTTATCCCAAGAATCATTTAAAGAAATTCTCTATGAATGTAATGTTGAAAATGGTATTTAGTACAGAGATACCCTATGACGAAACCGTATCTTGTCGCACCTCAGAAGAGTTGGGAGAACCATTGAATAGAGTGTTTGAAACTACTGGAACAGGAAATCTTTTCGATTATATTAAATCTTTACATCCACTTTCAATGCTCTACTTGAAGTATAGCGTTGGAGATGATCTCAACTATATAAGATCTTATATCTATGAACTCTATCAAGATCATCTACTTGAAATAGATACCAAAAAAGTAAGAATTAATATTAAATCGAATTTGTTATTATTTTTGTTTCAATTTTAACAATTTATTTTATTTTGAATAAACACAGTCCAAGAGATTTGTTTGATATTATAATATCAGCTGACTATCCACATGATAAGGAAAACAATATTATAGGAATTGGAAGTGATTTGATTGGTGTTGGCACTGACACGAGTTCTTCATCTCTGACATGGTTCTTCTTGTATATGTGTAACTATCCAAAGGTTCAAGAGAAAGCCTTTCGAGAACTACAAGAAGTCATCGGTCAAGACCGTCAGCCACATATATCCGATAGAATCAACACTCCCTATGTTGCTGCTCTCATCAAAGAGATACTTCGTATTAGACCGATTGCTCCGCTAGGTGTTCCGAGACTCTGTGGTGAAGATTTTACAATTGGTGATATACATATCAATCAAGGTGTAAGTGGTTATTTAAACAATATTTTATATGGTGGTTGTGAACTAATAATTATTTGTTTTATTTTAACAAATAGGATCTTGTTCTAATGAATATATTTGCAATTCATCACAATGAGAAATATTGGAAAGATCCAAAAGTATTTGAACCTGAAAGATTTATAGATAATAATAATGCCGAGAATTGGATTCCATTTGGTCTTGGTCCAAGAAATTGTCTTGGAATAAAGTTTGTATAACAATTACATATTTCAATACAATATAGTTTAAAGTTAATAGAATTACTAATATTGAATGTTATAAACTTTTACAATATAGTATGGCACTTGATGAGATCTATCTTGCTATTACAAATATACTATTAAATTATAAAATAACCTCTGCAAATGGTCAATTAGTTGATGATACAGAACGTAAGTCTGTCTATCCTATCTAATATATCTATCTATATATGATTGTATGATTTGGGTAAAATCTATAAACAACAAATAACTAATACCAAATAACTATAGATTTCGGATTAACAATACATGCAAGTGATTTTGGTGTAAAACTATCAGAAAGAACACACTCAGAAAAGAGTGATCAAAAAATTAGACTATTTGAAAAGTTTAAATAAATCCTTAAAACTATTAACATTAACTACATTTTTATCTATGTTGGTAGATTAATAAATATAACAAACAATAAACAATTGAAAACTATGTGACCAGAGAATTAGATAACCAAGTTTAAATAAAATAACAATGAACAACTAATTTCCTCAATAAACAAGAGATTTTGATAAACAATATTCGTGTGATCGCAATATAATTTTGTCTCTTGTGTGACCAAAATTTAAAAAACAAACAATTTACAAAAAAGAAAAAAAAAAAAAACTTTTTTTTGAACCACACCCCCAAACAAGATTTTTTTGCAAAACTATCTTTTTTTTTTCAAAAAGGGCAGAGTTTTGATCCTACCCCTATTATTTTAATTAAAATAAATAATTGTTTTTTTATTATTTTTTTTTGATTTGTTTGTCCAGACCAAAACAAACGATGAAGTCTTTTTTTTTTTTTTTTTTCTTTATTACCGGTTTATAAATCTTGTTTTATTTTATCTTTCCATTATTTTAAATATATTGTTTATATTTTACACTTTTTATATAGGACCAAATTTTTACATCAACATAAGTGTCAAAATTAGTCCAAAGTCGATCACAACAAAATTTTTTTTATTTTTTTGTGATTTTTTTTTTTTATAAAATGAGAGAAGAAAGAGAGGGAATAGAATTAGAATCATTATCAACGGAAATCGAAAGAGATAGATCTATAGATCGTATTACAGAGACAACAGCTGATAAAGCTGATTCAGAAATGTCAACTACAACAACCACTACAACGACGACAACGACGACAAACACAACACAATCATCACCATCGAGGATTAATACCACTACCACCAACACGAATAACAACAACTACAGCAATACAACTACAAAATTATCAACTTCAAATTCAAATTTAAATTTAAATTCAACAATAACTACACCACCATCATATTATACTTCAAATTCAAATGGTGGTGTAGTTCGTGCACCTTCGATGGAGAAGGAAGAATGGGAACTTACCTATGAGGAAAAGAAAGAGATTTTTAGAATTCTATTGGAGGAACACAGAAAATACGAACATATCACTGATGAATACTTGGATTCAGTGGCAGCGGAACAACAGAAGAAATATGAACAAGACTATGCTAGCAAGCATACCAACAATAGCAATAGCAGCAACGACTTTCCAACAACCATATCAAACCTACGCGCAAAACTCAATCCAATCAATCTATTTCAGAATGCAGGTCTCTCAATACTCAATAGGACAAACATCGATATGAAAACAATAACAGAGGGTAAGATTATAATCTTGAAAAAAAAAAAAAAAACAATATAACTTCGTTATCATCAAGACAGACAAACAGCAGACAGGTTAGCACAAAATCACATTGTAAAAAAAAACACCTATCCTATCAGTTGTTATCATTGTTTATCACTTGGATATGATATGGTGGGATGCATCGCCCAAACATTTGGATTGATAAATTTGATTTTTTGTTTGCTAGTGGTTGTGTGTGTGTGTTGTATTAGATTAGGATTACAGATTTTTTATTGATTTGTTTTTTTTTTTTCATATAACTACTGACTTCTAAATCCCATTATCTAAAAAACAATAAAGATGTTTTTTTTTGTTTTTGGGTGTTTTTATTGGTCTCCATCCTTTCATTGCCAAAAATAGATATTTTTTTGTGATATTTTTTTTGCAAATTAAGATAACGGTTTTTTTTATTGTTGCAAAAAAAAAAATCCAAACTTTTGTTGTTGTTGTGTATAATTAGTTTAATGTTTATATTTGTGCGGAGTGTGGGTTAGAATGTTCACAATTATGGTCCGACACACAAGTGAACAAAAATAACCTTTTGGAATGTCATCTTCATTGTTTCAAATATTTATTTTTAAATTTGATAACATCACCTTAAATTATATAAAATGTTACTTTAATTTTACTTTCTTGTATTTTCATTAATTAATAACTCTAATTGTAATCATAATAAATTATTATTTGTAATAAATGTATTATTTTATTTTTGTATATAAAGAAAGAATAGAACAGAATAGAATATTGTAAGTTGTTTGTTCAAAAGTTGTTGTTTTTGTTTTAAAAAATTTTGATTAAATCATTAGCAAAATACAATTTATACCTTCACTCAATCATATCCTTCATGATCCATCTAGTAACATCTGTTAAGAAGTCACGTGGTGTTCAGGATTTGTTGTAGTTTGGCAAAAAAAAAACAATTTTTGATTACGATTAATTCAAATTCGCTAAAAAAATAACAAACAAAAACATGTTTTGTTGAAAACCACGACACGGATATATTTATCTCTTGGTATCCCACACACATTCCTATACCCACAGAATCAATCAACAACAATGATACAGTATCATAAGCTCTATGACTTCACCCCAAAATACACATGCAATAATTCATTAAATACAGTCAGTACTCACACTCTCTCCAATAACTTTTTTGTTTTTAAAAAATTCTAAAAAAAAAAAAATGAAATTAATATTATTTATTATTGTTTGTAATTAATGTGATGTGTGCCCTTCAGAATCATGAAATTGAATGAAATGATCTCTGACAGGACAGACAATAACTTTACAAAATAAACCAAAGAAAAAAAAAATCACAAACACACAATCCAGTAACAAAATATTCAAAAAGTTTAATTGGCAAAATGTTTATTTTGGGGTGGTTCTCTATTTAAATTGGATTGATAAAAATAAATTCTAATGACCAACAGCAATACAATAATAACTTCTGAAGATGATGCAAAAATATAAGGATTATTAGGAAAAGAACATCAAACAAACAAACAATGTTTTTTAACTTTCTTTAGCTTACCTTACATTACCTTTTGCTCAATGAGATATATTCAACACATTTGTCTTTTTTCACAATAAGAATAACACTCATACTAATAATAATAATAAAACAATAATATATTATTATAAACATAAATTCATTGGAGCCAACGAATTCAAAAACTTCTACACGCAAGAATAAACTTCGCATCAATAATATTAGCCATTTCACATATAATTATATCCTAACTTTCAGATTAAACACTCAAATTCAATCACATAATCACACATAAAACACACACAACTACTATTATTAGCAGTAAAACAAAGATACAGATTGATTTTATTTTATTTTATATTATTATTGGTTAATAAATAATTTATATTTCCTGTTTTTACATTCTCTTTTTATTTCTTTGATTGGATGTGACTGTTATTATCATTATTATCTCTATTTTAAATTTAAAATTGTAGATCATGAGATAGTTACAACATTCAAACTCTTATCTTATTACTTACATGTAAAATTAATATTCACACACCCTTACTAAAACAATAACCACACCACATCACATCACGCCGTGTCATATTATTGAATCCATTCAATTTTCTTTCTCTAATCTTATACTCTTTTCCACCATAATAATAATAATAAAATAATAATAATAAATACAGTAGTTAAATAAGATTTTGTTGTTTTTAAATTAAATTTTAAATTAAAATATAATTTATCATAAATTATGAATTAATTAACATATAATTCATAATTATGTCAAAATAATATTAATAACAACAAATCCATACAGCTAAACTATTTATTTATCATATCAAGATTATTGTGGCAAACATTATTTAATTGGAGGAATTGGAATTTATGCTCTTATTCTCATTCATACCCCCATTGCCAAAATAACCACAACGACAATTACAATACCCACATACATCCATCCATTTACTATAATAATCATCCATTTTCATATTAATAGTAGTAGTAATAGTAGCAATTACCTTACCAACAACGTGAAAAGAGATTCGAAACGATTTTTCTTTACAAAAACCAAATTTGAACAACAAAAAGAAAAACAAATATTATATTACATTACAATAATAATAGTAGCAAACATTTGATATACACCAATATTGTTGTTTGTTAGTTGGTTGAAATTATTAAAACAACCACTAAATGGTGGTTTTATCAGATTAAAGTTTTTCCAATATCTTTGCTATTGTGTCTCCAGTTGCTGTTGGGCAGTGTTTAGCACACTGCTGAGAAAAAGCTGCAAAAATGATAATGAAGTTATTTAATTTAATAAAAGGCGCAGTCTATCTGACATTATTTATTATTTTCATGTTAGAGGACATACTGAAAATGATACAGAGTCTCAGGCTAAAGGTAGCTGCCGCCGCCAAGAAGAATAAAGAAGAGGAGAAGTCCACTGAGAAGAAGCTATCGAAAGAATCACCGCCTACAACATCGTCCTCACCACCATCCAGTTCTCCAGCAACAATAGCAGCAACAGCCACTTCTTCTTCTTCTTCTTCTTCTTCTTCCAATTCCTCTTCGTCTTCTTCTAATTCCTCTTCATCACCATCATCATCATCATCATCATCATCAACAACAACTACTACAGGTAATAACAAAATCAATAGTCATTTAAATAATAATAAATCAACGGCATTGATAGCTTCCGACGATCAACTAAGTGAATCACCTACGATTCCATTGAATTTCGCATTGGCTGGAATCAATGTGGAAGACATCAATGGAACAATGCTACCGTTTACAAGTCTGTGGAATAACAAGCGTTGTGTAATTGCAGTACTCAGAAGATTTGGATGTCTAGTGTGTAGACTGCAGTGTATGGATCTATCTTCACTCAAGCCAAAACTAGATAGAATGGGAATTGCATTGATAGCAATTGGTTTCGAAAGAGTTGGATTAGAGGATGTAAGTAACATTTTAATTTGATTACAACGACAATAATTCATAACGACGTTTCCACTAACACCTTTTTTTTTTTTTTTTTGTTTGTTTCATGAATCTTTAGTTTATAGCTGGTGGATTTTTTAATGGTGAAATATATATAGATAGATCGAGATCAGTTTATAGAGCTTTGAGCTTAAAGAGAATGGGTTTCTGGGATACAACCATTGGTTTAATGGATCCAAGACTATCGGTATATAGAAAAGAAGCAAAAGAAAAAGGTTTACCTTCAAATTTTAGAGGTGATGGATTGTATGTATAATTTAATTAGATATTTTCTTTCTTTCTTTCTTTTTGCTGTTTAATGCTAATGTTCCTACTACTACTACTACAGACAATTAGGTGCAACATTAGTTGTTGGACCAAAACCACAGGGTGCTCATTATGATTTTAGACAAAAGAATTTTCTGGATGTTTTCGATCTCAATAAGATATTGAAAGCATGTAAACAACCGTATCCAAAGATTCAGACAATAGAGAAATTGAATCATATCGAAAATCAAATGAGCAAACTACTGGTTTCTCTACCTTCGCCAGTCAGAGTCGACGCACCCGCTCTCCAATTCACCATACCAAAAGAAACCAAAGTTAAAATCGAATCCAATCCAGAGACATATAATCCGTTCCATGTAAATAGCAATAAAATACCAACTCCAAATCAATCACCACCACTCTATGGAAATAATATTCACCATTATAATAATAATAATAATAATCATAATAATAATAGAACCATTTCAATTAATAATATAAATATAAATAATAACGAATCATCTGTAAATAATAATCATATTTATAATCATGAAAATGGTAATCATAATTATAATCATAATCATAATAATATTAGTCAACCACAAACACCATTATCTCCATCATCTCCACAACAACAACAACAACAAACTTTTTCAAATAATAATTCACCAACACTCAAAGGCATCTATTCACCAAATACCTCACCATTGGTAAAATCACTGTCGTCCGGTAATATGCTGATAGCGCATTCATCATCAAAGACAACGACAACACCACCTACAACACCGCCTTTAGTTTCCGCCTCGAATATAAACAACAATAGCAGCAACAAATCACCAATTACTCTCTCCCCATCGTCCTCTTCAACGTCACTCGTCAATTCATCTTCATCGATTTCCACATCCAACTCGACATCTACCTCTACATCATCATCCTCAGTGAAATCACCATTGAGTAGTCCATCATCCAAGACAGAACCATCACCAAAGAAATATATTTACAACTACACACCAAAGACAACGACCTTTGAATTCAAATACGACGTATCATCGTTGGAAATGGTAAATGTCAGTACATTCATTGCGAAACTCCAGAACAATATCGACAACTCCAATCATAACAACTCCAACAATATCAACAATAACAATGGTCACGAGGCCACCAAGACAATCGTATTTCAAAAGTCATCAACTGCGCCCTCTGCCATTTCCTCCAGCGGCAAAATCTCAACACTCACCAGAAAGTTTGGAGGTAAAATTGCAACCAATCACAATAATAATCATGTTGTTTATTATCCCTATTAAAATTAGATTAGCTTGGAATGTGACTCTAACTAAACTAACTATAGAAAAAAAATACTCCAAAAAAATTAGAATAAATTTTAAAAATCCCTTTTTAGTTTTTTTTTTAACTTTAAACATAAATCTTTTCTTCCAAATCAATTTGATTTCATTGATTAAACTAATTGTTTTGTTTTTGTTTTGTTTTTATAAATGTTTTTTTTGTTTTTTTATCTTTTATTAAATGTGAATAACATTTAATTCTTTTAAATATCTCTGATGGCTTCCCATACAGCACTATTACATTTAAATCCAGAACCAAAAGCCAATTGCCATACTTTCTCACCGGATTTGACATGGTGTTGCTTCTCGATAAAGTTGAGTTCGTACCAGATTGAAGATGAAGAAGTGTTACCATATCTGTAGAGAGTGGCACGCGATGGTTCTACATCGTATGGCGAGAGCTTGAAGTTCTCTTCGAGACCGTCGATGACGGCACGACCACCGGCATGGATACAGTAGTGGTCGAATGCCTTCTTAAAGTCTGGTACATAGGGTGCTGCCTTTTTGTTGACAAACTTTCTATAGCAGAGATGCAAGAAGAACTTGATTTGTTCGCTCCATGGCAGCACCATTGGACCGAGGATGGTCAAGTTGGTCTTCAAGGCGTCACCGACCACCGCCATGAGATCACGGCCAGTGGCCAGACGAACACCCTTGTTACCCTTGCAATCTTCGGTCTGATAGACAGCGTTGTAAGCAGTGTCAGTGGATTTGGTGACACGAACCGATGTGACCAACTTGTATTTACCGCTCCAGTAGTATTTCGATTTGTTGGAGAGCATAATTGCTGCACCACCCATACGGAAGAGTGTGTTGGTGAGCAACATTGCCTTTTCATTTCCACGATACCAGTTCTGAGTGATATTCTCAGTACTCAAAACGACAGCAGTTGCATTCTTGTGAACTTGTAACAATTGTTTGGCCAAGTCGATCGAAACAACACTTGCTGAACATCCCATACCAGATAAATTGTAACTCAAAATATCGTGTCTCATCTTATATTTATTAATCATCTAAAGTATTGTTAACAAATGTTTGAATGGGTAAGTAACAAAATTGAAATGAACCGAACTTTTTTCGGGATTTGATGCAAACTTACCATAGCAGCTAACGATGGAGTTGGATTGAATAAACTGCAATTGACAATCAAGATATCAATGTCGGTTGGTTTAATCTTGGTCTTGGCAAAGAGATCGTCGAGACAACCAGAGAGAACCATGTCGGCTTCTTGACGTGCGGATTCCATGCTGGTGTCTGGTACGTCTTTGGTGATACCGGCTGGGAAGTAGGTATCGTTTCCGAGACCGGTACGATAGAGCAACTTCTTTTGGAATTCGATTGAATCTTGGTCGAACCATCCAACACGCTCGGTGTGCTTAATGAAGAAGTCGTGAGTGATCTTGTATTTGTCGTCGGGTTGGAACACCGAGAAGTCGACCAAGTACACTGGCTTTCTACGCTTTGACATCAGCACACTGATGACCAACTCGATCAAGAGTAGCGAAACGAAAGCGATTGTGATTGCCACGTAGATGGTCTGTGGCTCCTGATTACGGAACTCGTGGATAATCATCTCTTGGAACTTGGAGATGAGATCGACAAAGAGATCACCCTTGTTGTAGACGTAGAGCACATTGATGACGATCACTGGGACCAACAAAACGATGAAACTCATGAATGAATTTGTTTTCCATGCACTGTAACCAGTTTTGACCTCTGTGAGATTGGCATCACGATCTGGATAGTAATATGATTTCACCTCTGGTATTTGAGCAGCAGTGTTACTGCTGTTACTCTTATCACCACTGGCACTTCCAGCTTCATTGTTATTATTATTATTTTTGTCCATTTCTTTTCTATCTAACTATCCTATCTGTAAATTCAAGAATAATGAACAAAACTTAAATACAAAGTTAAAATACAATATAAATTATATAAATCTAAAAAAATATAAATAATTAATTAAATGTTAGAACATAAGTAAAGTAGTAATAGAATATTATAATGTAAAATAATATATTTTTTTGTAATACACAAGAAGAATTTGATAAAACAAAACTAACCTTAATTTTATGATTATTAAAATTTTAATATAAAAAAAAGTATAACAATAAAAAAAAAATATCAAAGAGGATTTTTGTGAATGAATGAGTGAGTGTGTGGGTGTTTTATGTAGGTCGTTCGTCGTTATATTCTTTGGTTATTGAGTTGTGTTGAGTTGTGTTGTGCTGAGTTGAGTAATAGTAGAATGAATGTCTATTAGATTCTATTCTATTCTTTTCTAATCTTTATTTTTGTTTTTGTTTTTATTTTCCTTTTTTTTTTTTTTTTTTTTTTGAGTTGGTGGTTGTTGTTTGATGTCTTACCTGGTAACTCTACCCTCTATTTTATGTAAAAACGAAAATAATAATAATAATAACAATGTGTGTGTATGGTGTTTTGTGTTTTGTGTGTTTCTTGTTATGTAATAATAATATTTTTATTATATATTGTTTTTTTGTTTAACAAAGAGGTATGCCTTACTTTAGACAGAATTGTTATTGTTGTTATTGGCAAATGAGTGTTTGTTTTTGTGTTTAAGTGGGTGTCTTTGTTGGTCTATAGTTTTAGTTCAGTTCGTTAAGTGTGTTGTTATTTTCAAACAAAATAAAAAAAAATTTTAAAAAATAAAATTTGTGGGCAAGTGAGTTTTTAAAGGTCCAATCTTGTATAAAGATCATTTTGCGCCTCCCATTTTTAAAGAAAAATTCATTTTTTAATTTAAAAACAAAGGGGGTAGTAATCGAAAATTTGCAATTCAATTTAAATTACGACATTTTTACCCGTTTTTGAACAAGAAACATCATAATGTCATTCCATCGTCGACTCTTGATGAACATTTACATCATTAAAAATAAACAAAAAAAAAAAAACAAAATATCTCTGATTAGTTAAAAATAAGATAAATGAATATTCATTTATTTCAAAACTCATTTTTGTAGGTGAAATAAAACAAAGATTCTATTATAATTTTAAGAAAATCGATCGATTTTGTATCATTTCATATTTCTTTTTGTTTAAACAATTTGATTTTCATCATTGTCAGGAGATTCATTCTAGAAACAAAAAGAGAAGATATGTGTGGTTTGTTGTTGGTCAAAAACAGATTCTCTGTCTGTTGTTTTTTTTTTTTTTTAATTAAATTTCAAATATCATTTTTTTGTTTTTTCATTATTTTCAATATGTTAATTAAAATATTATAAAGAAAGAAAGAAAGAAAGAAAGAAAGAAAATAATTAAAGATTGAACAATAATAATAATAATAAATAATGGCAAATGTAGTAGAAATGGATTATTTCTCTAGTTTTAAGAAACAACTAGAGTCAGAGGGAATCGATTACGTTGCCAATCAAATAGATTTCGATGTTGCACCTGTCGATTGTTTACGTTTCCTGGCAGAGTTACATCGAGTGTTTGGAACGGAGCGTGTTTCGCTGTTGGACGAGCGTGTACGAAGAAGTGCTTTTCTTGTGGCTGGCGGTGTGCTTACACTCCCACAGGATACGGAGAGCATCCGTTGTGATCCGTCGTGGCGCGTTCAAACAAGCATACCTCCAGCTCTAAAAGATCGCACCGTTGACATTGTCTGCATGGATGCCACCACTGAGCAGTCGCTCATCGCCTGTATGACAAGCGGTGCCAACGGTGTGCAAGTGGACTTTGACGATGGCTTCCAATGTGGCTGGCAAAACGTTCGCAATTCACATACCACCCTGAAAAATGTGGTGGCGACGCGAACCGCCTCGGAGACTTCCGACGCCGTTCTGCTGGTGCGTCCGCGCTCGTTGAATCTCTCAGAGTTTCATGTGTTGGTCGATGGCGCGCCAGTCTCTGGTTCGCTATTTGATTTCGGTGTGCATATGTTTCACAGTGGTAAGTTGCTGTTTGAGCATGGCAAAGGACCGTTTTTCTATCTGCCAAAGTTGGAGTCGCGCTATGAAGCGCTCTGGTGGAGTCACGTACTGTCATTTAGCGAGCAACGCTTGGGACTACCACATGGATCGATCAAGGTGATCGTTCTCATTGAAAACGTCCAGGCTGCATTCGAAATGACAGAGATTATCTATTATTTGCGCGACCATATTGTGGGGCTAAACACTGGTCGCTGGGACTACATTTTCTCCATAGTGAAGTCGACGATCGCCAACAAAGAGTGCGATGCATTCCCTGAGAGATCGCAACTCGGACTCAACCAAGAGTTTCTCTTGGCATACTACAAGCTTCTTGTTGCCATCGCACATCAACGCGGCATTGCTGCAACCGGTGGAATGTCGCCACTCTTCCCAAGTGGCGCGGCAACAGAGTTGTCACCGGAGGAACTGGAGAGTGTGTACAAAGGCAAGCTGGCAGAGGCAGAGCTAGGATTCGACGGTGCTTTGGTTGCACATCGTTCAGCAGTAGAAGCCTGTCGTAAAGCATTTTCAAACCGATCAGACATCAAGGTTGCATCGATCGACGGTGACATTTGGCATTACCACAAATCGCTATTAGCCATTCCAAAAGGCGACATCACATTGGCCGGTGTCAATTCATCCATCACAGTATTAGTACTATATATTCTAAAGTGGTTAAAAGGTGTCGGTGCTACAGCAATTAATGGAGTCGTAGAGGATTTGGCAACTGCTGAAATTAATAGAGTAAATAATTATTTTTATTTGTTTTATAAGATCATATTTATTAATTGTTTGTTTATTCATTTAAATAGGCATTGCTTTGGAGATGGATAAGATCACATATTAAAACTAAAGAAGGTGTATTAATTAGTTTCCAATATGTATTGAAGAGTGCAAGAGAGATAGCGATGTCAAACAATGTAAAACCAGTCGACTTTACCAATCTCGAGAGAGTGATTAGCATACTCTTGCATTCACATTCATTCATTGATTTCATGCCAACCATAATGTATCCATTTGTAACTACTATTCAATTCGAAGCTCAACTGTAAATATCTAAACACCGATTTTTTAACCTGGTAACAATAAAATTTATTCAGATTTTTTTGATCAAAAAAAAAATAAAAAATCGAGATGGGTCAAAGATGCTCATTGGGTTTAAACTCAACAACTTCTTGTTTAATTTTTTTTATTTTCTTTTTAACTTGATCATTTCATTATTTAATTTTTAAATATGGATTGTAATATATCTTTAGGAAATTTATTAGATTTAACACTGAATCAAGTGATTCCTGATGTTAAGAATCAATATACTTCGAGTGGAACTTTGTTAGAGTGGATATGCGAAGGTGTAGTTAGAGTAACTCCAAAGCAATTGGAAACAAATCGATTGGATTTCTTATTATCTTCTGGTATTCATGGAAATGAAACTGCACCGATCGAGTTGATGGATAAAATTCTACAAATGATATCAACAGATCAATTGATTCCCGTTGGTTGTAGACTGTTGTTTATTTATGGAAATCCTGATTCAATTAGAGCAGGTAAACGTTTCATTGATGTAGATATCAATAGGCTATTCAATGGAAGACATAGTGACCAAGAGTACTCTGGTTGTCTAGAGTCAAAGAGAGCAGAGTTGTTGGAAAGAATTTCTTTGGAGTTCTTTACAGCGCTGAAACCAAAGTCAAACTTGGTGGTTGAGCAAATACATTATGATATGCATACTGCCATACGAGGATCCAAGATAGAAAAGTTTGCAATCTATCCTAAAAGTAATGCTTCTTCTCCAAAACAGTTGGCACGTTTGGCACAGTCAGATCTCGAAGCTGTGGTAATTCAAAACGAGGTTGGAAGATCATTCAGTTGGTTCACTCATAGCAAAGCTAAAGTAGAGTCATTCACTCTGGAGTTGGGAAAGGCAAGTCCATTCAAACAAAATCAGGAAATAGATCTCAGCCGATTAGAGAATAAATTAATATCTATGATCGATGGAAGTGAAGGATGTATCGACTTGGACAGTGCTAACAATCTACAACTATTTAAAGTATCTAGAGAAATAATTAAAAAGACAGATAGTTTCAAATTGAACCTAGATCTTAGTATTGAAAATTTTACACATTTGGAAAAAGGATTCTTGCTGTCACATGGAAGCACAGAAGAAGAATATTCAGTTTATGAAGACAATGCTAAGATTTTATTTCCAAATCCAAGTGTCAGAAATGGTTTAAGAGCTGGAATAATAATAGTTCCAATTTAACTTCAAATAAATCCTGCAAAAAATAAATATCAAATTTTATCTCTTTAAAAATCAATGTCACTGAAAAAAATTGTTTTTTTTTATTTATTTATTATGTTTTATTTCATAAATTAGTACATTTAAAATTATATTTTAAATTGACTTTTAGAAAAACAATAGAGATTTGAAGTTAGAAGATCAACTTTATAATTTTTGTCATCTCTAAATTATAATACTAACTGGATAAGACCAAAATAATAAAGTTAAATATTAGGTTGAACACAAATAAATAAATATAATTTTTTTTATCCCTAACTAATCAAAAGTTATAACAATTTGTACAAAACAATCAAACGGTTCGAATTTTGTCATTAGTGATGTACAAAAAAAAAAAAAAATAGAAGTGATTAACCACCACACTACACCAACAACAATAGAGTGAAAAATGTTGGTGTTAGTGTATTTTTAATGATGTTACTTTAAAATCAATGTTTTTATACTATTAGATGATTAATAACCGATCAGTAATCACACCAATGAACTTAATACTATTCAAAATTGTATTTATATTGGTTTCATATAAAACAATAAATAATTCACATAGTCAACTTACATAATAAAAATAATGACATACAAGTGATAATTTAAAAAATAATTTCTTTTTAATTCAATCCCAAATTTGATGATTGATAGTTACTAGTGTTTAGAACAATAAAGAAGAGGAAAATATTTAAAAAATATATATATGTATGAAAATAGTTTTATTATTTTTGATAATTATATTTATCTTAAATATAGATTATGTAAATTCAATTAGGTGTCCAGTTTTCCAACTTCCATGTGGATCAAAGAGGTAAGAATAATATTTATCATCTTTTAAATACAAATTTTAACTAATCATTTTTTTATTAATATCAGATGTTATGATCCAGGTTTATATACATGTCCTAAACCAGGCTTAATATGTCCGTTAGGACATGTTGTTTGTGGTCACAAATGTATGAATTATCTTACTCAGCATTGCTTTATGGGTATTATATGTGAAAATAACCAAATATTTTGTAGAGGTACATGCCAGCCACGAGGCAAAAGATGTATTTAATATTTAAAATAAATAAATCAAAAAAAAATTTTGATAATAAATAATAATGTATATTACACATTATTGGCTATATTTTTTATTTATAACATCTGCTTGTCCAGGTTCTTGTGAGAATGAATAGCCAGTATCTAATAATTTAAAAAAAAAAACAATATATTAATATTTGTTCTTAAAAAAAAAAAGATTAATTAATTAAAACTTACATAGTTTCTTTGGATTGGTATTTTGTTGTGATTTTTGTTTTGGTTTCTTTTGATGCAGCTCTTGTACGATATGGTAGGAACGAGGAATATTCGTTCTCAACAAGTATTTCCATGTAAAATCTCTCCATAGACAGATGACAGGTACGCAAATGATTGAGAGATAGAACAAAGAGGATTGACCAATACGATAGACAATATCAAAGAGGTCTACTCCAACATCGAGTGATTCAATCTCCCAGAACTTTCCAAACACCAGTAGCCAGAGAATGTAAAGTCCAATCGATCCCCAGACAGTGAGATGGTTAATCCAAGTCCAGTAGCGAATTTCCAGTGCCAACTTGAGGTTGACTGTGATGACGATACAGGTGTAGGCGACGGTACCAACAGAGAACAAGTCAATGACACGACCCGACTCGTACGCCAAACCATGTGAGAAAATAAAGGTTGGGAATATAAATAGTAGGAGACTGTGGAACAATCCATTGACTGCCCATCCCCAGAATACACGCAAATTGAAATAGTAATTTCTCGGTCCAGTTTGGTAGAGTTGTGGATTCTCCATAACGGCTGCCTCACTGACATCCTTATCGAGAATTCCAAAAACAATGATCGAGAAGAATGTCCATGCGATATTATAGGCAGTCAGTGTGAAACGTTCATAGAAGGTCTGGCCCGACCATCCATTGAAAATGGTGAACCAAAACTGTGTGATATACAATGTGATATTCTTGTAGAAACAATATACAATGAGCTTGGAGATACGACGATAACTGTAACGTCCATGGATCAAAAGAAGTCGTGCCAAAAATCGGAATTGTGCAATAGAGTAGTCGGAGCAACGCGCAGCTTGTAGACCTTCTTCACCACTGATTCCAATACCAACGTGTGCGCGCTGAATCATCGAGACGTCGTTGGCACCATCACCAATGGCGAGTGTTGTCACTCGGATATTGTCACGAACCAATCCGACAATCTGAGCTTTCTGCGCTGGCGAAACACGACACGCTATCACAGCTTTACAGAGACAGGCAATACGAAGCAATGCCAACGACATCTCTTTGCTCTCGAGAATGAAAACCAGTGTTGAACCATCGACAATCAACGCCATATTCTTACGATTGATAGAGGATGCCACGTTATTATATTCGTCCCAAAGACGTGTCAACTCCAAAGATGTATTCTCCGGTGTTGTTTCGTTGACAACCATCAATTCCATCTGTGTAGTAAGCAGCTGACATGCAAATCCAATGTTGATTGCTGTCTCTTGTTTGTCACCAGTGAGCACCCAAACTTTGATACCGGCACTTCTCAACTTGGAAATGGTTTCTGGCACAACAACTTGCAGACGATCCTCGATGGCGGTTGCACCCAGCAGCAGCAGACGTCGCTCGATTGCCTCGGCCATACGATCGAGAGCAGCTTCACGTCCGACAATGGTGTTGGATGCAGTGTAGTAGTCGGCAGCCCACGCTTCATATACCGCTGGTTCCAGCTCACGATAGGCGACACACAAAGTCCGCAGACCCTCAGTGGCAAACTCTTGAAGATGTGTAATGGTAGCATCGGCATGTTGTTGATTAGGTGCCAGCCTCTCGAAAATAGCAGTGTCAGCACCCTTGGTATAAAGTAAAAGTCTGCCATCTGGATGACGAACTATCACAGACATACGTTTTCTTGTGGAGTTGAACTCCAAAACATTGAGAATCTGGAATTCCATTTCTTCGCCTACATCGTTTACGATGGTGACCGACTTGGTATTTCTACGAATGAAATCGAATCCCACCAATTTGGATGCATTGACCAATGCACTCTCATCGGGTGACGATGCCTGATAGTAGATCTTTCCATTCTCTTCCTCTGGAATCACAGTGTGACACACTGCCAAAACATGGAAGAACTCTCTAATTGCCTGAACTCTATAGGGATCAGCGCTAGACAATTGTTTCTTCAATTCCACATGATAAGGTATTGGACCACCGCCACCAGTTGTTGATTTCGAATTTGGAATGTTACAATTGCTATTGTTGTTGTTGCTATTGTTATGGTTAACACCTCCCAAACTACTATTACTACTATTGGTACTGGAATCATTGTTTATACTGCTATTACTACTTGTTCTACTAGCAGCTGCTGCTTCTAGATCCGCATTGTTATTGTTAATTGATTTCTCGTCTGGCTGTTGTTGTTGTCCATTCTTTCCTTCACGCATCATCATTCCAATGGTGGCGTCGGTCAGTTCACCGCTACCATTTCCATAGGAGAGACCGGCAATCGAACACTTTTTGAATTCCATCTTGTTTTGTGTGAGAGTTCCTGTTTTATCACTAAAGATGTACTCGATTTGACCGAGCTCTTCGTTGAGATTCGATGTTCTGGCGAGTGCAGGAGTGTCATTGTCCGCATAGTACATCTGAATGTCGTTGTTGATGAACATCGCCTGGAAAACCTTGACAAACTCCATCGAGACATACAGCGAAATCGGAATTAGATTGTTATAGAGAATCAAAAACGTGAGGAACGACAGCGCTCCACCTTTGCTCGCAGAGATATCCCACATCAAATACCAAGCGGTCTTGTTCTCCGCGGTCCAAGAGGTATTGGCAATGGCACAGCCAATACAAAGCAGTATCTGAAATATAAAGATGGTAAAGATGAAAATGTTGGTTTTTCGCTCGACACCCGATCGCTTCGATGGCGTATCGTTGCTGTTTCTCATCAGCTTGGTGTCGCGACCCGTGTAAATCACGCTGCCATACACCCACTTGGTGTTACGCAGCATCGCGCCACGCAGAAGCACCTGTTTCGGTGACAACGGATGTCCCTTTCCACCCGAGTAAAGTGAGCCAATGAATGTGTACAATCGGTTATTGGGATGTTCACACTCTATATAGGTCTGGAAGTCGGTGAGCGACGGTGTGTTTTCATTGAGTGTCGAAGAGTTGAGAGTGTCCTCATCGATGAGACCAACAGTTTCAGGCAGCGCTTGCTTCAGTTTCAGGTTGGTCTCACCGTCGAGATTGGCAGTCTCAACATAGCATATCGATTGTGGTTCCGAGGTTGCCAGCACCACGATATCCGCCGGGATATACTGTCGGTTGCTGACACGCACGATATCGCCCACCTTTAAATCTCGCCAGTAGATCTCCTTGAACTTGTTGCCCACCAGAATCTCCGTACGACTATAGTTAACACGATCGTCCTGCTGATGTCTTCTAAAATCCTCATACGCTTCCTTTATAGCTGTAATCGCTAGAACCACCAACAATGGTCCCAACGTTGTGAATTGACCTGTAGGTGAAATACCTGGAATAATCTAGATTAACAAATTTGATAACAATTAATAAACCAAACTAATCCATAATCCATCATCTAATTCGATCATATCAATCTATCAATATCTATCCTACTACTACTACTACTACTACATACTTGAATTGCAGATATAATTAAAAAATAGAAATTTGCTAATCTACTGAATTGCTCGATAAGATTCTTTGGTAAGAATGTTATAATACTGTATTTCGATGTAGTTACAACATTGTTACAGAACTTTGATGTTTTGTTTTGCTCTTCATTTCCTATATATACAGTTCTTGCATGACCTTTAAAATTATCTCTATTAAACTAGATATAGATGAAAACAACAAATGTTAATATTTCAGTTTCCAGTTTTTAAATATTTTCCTCTTTTTCTTTCCAGTTGTTTTTTTCCATTTCCAGCTTGTTTTAATTTCACAACAACTTACAAGTTTATTCTTTAGTTTTCTATATATATTGTTATTGTTTGTGTCGTTGTCATTATTATTATTGTTTTGAGTTGAACCGGCTGGATTGAGGTTACTGGTGCTGCTTGAGATTTCTTCGAGTTGAATACCAGGCATATTTCCACCGCCTCTTGGTGTAAGTGGTGAGGTGTGTGATCGATAACTATTATTTAGAAATGGCGATGATGATGATGTCGAAGACGTTGAATTTCGTCTTTCTCTAAATGATGAATTCGGACTTTCAAGCGTTGGTGTTGAACCTTTGCTTGACATTTTTGTTATCTATATTATTATTATTATTGTTGTTGTTGTTGTTGTTGTTGTTGTATTTCTATCTATTTCTAACTATAAATATGTATTAATATTATTATTATTATTATTGCTTTTCTTTGTTTTTCCTAATTTATTAGTCTAATATCTTTATCTTTTTTCTATTGTTTTTTATTGTTTTCGTGCTAAATCTAAATAAATGTAAATAAATAAATAAATAATGTGTGTGTGTGAGTTGGTGAATGATTGATTGATTGATTAACTATAAATATAAGAAATATATAAATAAATAAATGAAAATTAAAGTTAGTTATATTAATTTCATGTATATTTCAAATTCTTATTTATTATTATAATATTATTATTATATTGAACTAATACAAAAATAGATAATATAATATCTAATAATAATGAATTGTATGAATGAAATGAAATGAAAGATAAACTCTTATTTGTGAAATAATTAAATTAAAATATATCTATCTGTTGTCTGTCTTTGTTGTGTTCGTCGATCTCTTGTCTTGTTTGTCTGCTTTTGCTATTTGTTCTGTTTGTTATGTTTTGTTTTGTTATGTTTTGTTTTGTTTTATTATAATCTATTGCTATTTGATTGATAGATTATTAGATAGTCGATTATCGATCGAATTGTGGTTATTACTAATTGGTTGGATGTGGGGTTATTAATTATTATTATGTTAGATTTTTTGGAGTTTTTGGTCCTTTTTGTTGGTTACTATGGTGTGATGGTGGTAGTGAGGAGGTGGTGGTGGTGATGACGATAATTATCAAATAAAAAAGGATAGTGCTAAGTGATAAGTAAGTGTTTAAATAACTCTGACTTTTAGTAATGTGATTTCAGTGTGTGTGTGATTATCTACTGTTTAAATAAATAAATAAATTATTTAATATAAATTGATAAATTAAAATATATATAAGAAATATTAAGTTTGCAAAATTATTATTATTATTATTTGTATTATAGTAATGTGAATATGAATATGAATATTAGTAATATGAATTGAAAATAATAATATTAAGTTGACAAGAAAGAACTACTTCTAAATTGAAATCAATTAAAAAACAAACAAACAATTACATAACACAATGGTGAATTATAAACATCATTATCATCATCATCAAATCAAATCAAATCAAATGTTAAATTTCCAATCCACACAACAAACAATGATATTAATATGGAAAAGATCAACATTGCAATAGTCTGTGTAGCTGGTTGACGATGTTGTCCAATAGCCAATTATATAAACATATTGATTAATAATATTGTACCAATTGAATTAATAATAACAATAACAACAACAACAACAATAATAATAACAACACGACAGAAACGCAATGAAAATGACCACTATTTTAATTAATTAGTAATATGATTCCAAACTTTAGATAGTTAGCTTGCTGCTCTCTCTCTCTCTTTGTGTGTGTGTTTTTTGATTATTTTTTTTTACTGTTTTTGCAGTGTGACTGACTGACTGACTGTTTGACAGAACTATCTGACTGTTTTTAGTTGTTCTAGTGATAATAATATATAAACGATTTGACTAATCTACAGAGATATTATTAATGTCATTGATATTTCTAACTATCTAACTCTATCTACCTCTTTTAACTTTATAAATATTATTAAATTGAATTGAATTATTACAAAATATATAATAAGAATAAATGTGATATAATGATACAATTTATATTATTATTGTTGTTGTACATATAATTATATTTGATCAATCACCAAAGTATAATGTGTTTTGTTTTTTTATTAATAGATTGCAATACAATGCATTGAATAAAATCGAAAATGAGAATGAAACCGGTTATTTATTGTAATTACAATGTGGTTAAAAAAACATAAAAAAAATAAAATGCAAGAGGGTTTGATTGATTGTTTTGCAAAAAACCTCTTTGTTTGTTGGTTTGGAGGGAAAATTTGCAAAAAAAATAGAAAAATACAAGGGTAGGTTGGTGCATGCATAGATGATTTAAAACAAAAACAAACCACAGCAATAACAATATATGCTGAATACTACTCTACTTTATAAAGCAAATATCTATTATAATGTGTTTATGTGTGTAAGTGTGTGAGTAAGTGATTGTGTATGTGTGTTTGTGTGTGTGTGTATGGAAAAAGTAAAGATATTGTAGATTATTGGGTTGGTTGTGTTTTTATTATTAATATCAATAATATTGATTAACCTGCTATAGCAATTTATCATAAATATATAAAAAAAAAGAACAACAAAAACATACTACACTTCACTCTAATGATAATAAAGAAATAAAAGAAAAAATAATAGCAATTTTTGTTTCATTATAAATTTGTTGTTGTTGACTCTGAAAATAAACAACTTGTCTATCCTATTGATGGATGATAAAATTAACATTTCTGACAGTCTGTCGTATTTCTTTCTTTAACACACACTACCCCACACATAGGTTTACCACATGTGGAGATGGTAAACCTTTTCTACAAAAACAACAAACTTTCCTCTTTACGTTCGATTATTGATTGAAACTGTTTCATCATCATCAATTTATTTTTTAACATTCAATGATTAATTGTTTGATTGTTTTGATTGATTCTGATATTTGAGAAATTTGTGGTTTGTGTTGTTTGACTGTGTGCGTATGCGTTGGTTGTTGATTGTCAATCGACAATTTTGAAGTTATAGTTACACTTTTTGAAGATTGAAATGAAATTTTGTTGTTTTGTTTGTCTGACTGCCGATTGCAAATTGCTAATTGTTTAGTGTTACTGCAGTGCTGTTTTGTTTGGTGATTGTTCACCGAAATGGAACTTTCAAGTCCCATGGGTGAATTGTGAATAAAAAATAGTAAACAAAGAAGTAGCTAGATTTAAAATGAGATCTATCTGCTCATTTTAGTTTTTTTATTTTAAGAAGTTAAACCAACGTAACAAAACAATCTGAAATTTACTGTTTAACAAAATGTATAATAAATGAATGATTCATATCTAATCAAATCAATCATTATTTATTTTCTTATTAATTTACCTTTTTTTTTTATTGATTTATCGTTGTTCTATTCTAATTCTCTTTATTATTTCTGCTTTTTTATTGTTGTTGCTAACTCATTACTTTTTTTAATTGAATAAAATTTACTAAAATACAGAGTTTACTCTTCTAATTATGAACGGGGTGGTTAAATTATTTAATCTAACATAATAAATAAATAAATAAGATGATAAAAAATAAAACTACAAAAAGTAAATTTTGTTGTAGAAATGATGAATGTCAAGTCAGGTGATAAGTTGCTCCAAAAATAAATAACAAAAAAAAACAATAATATCTTAAAAATGTCTTTCAATCATTGAGGTCAGACATCCTGATAATATTTTAAATAAAAATTTTACTTTAATTCAATTTAGATCAATGTGGTGATGGTTGTTGAGTTAGGTGAAAACACCATTCACTTTAGTTGTGTGTGTGCCACTCAAGTGAAATCGACAAAAGGGCAAACAAATCAATCCCACCAAAAAGAAATTGTGTTTTTGATCAAAAATAAGCCCACAGCCATCTAAAATTTACAAAAAAAAAAAAAACTATTTTAGGATCCAAAAAAAAAAAAAAAAAAAAAAATTTTTTTTAGTCTACATAATTAATTAACGGTTTCACGGACTCACACAAAAGTACAGAATTCTTTTAATGGTTATTTTTTTGTTGTGTAGGACTGATTTAAAAAACACAATTTTGTTTAGCTGATCATTTTATTTTTTATAAAGATATTTGTTTACATCGTTTATTATATTTGTTTGCATCGATTATTATATTTTTGTATATAGATATTAATATAACGATTAGTTTATATAATTTGCTTAAATGTTTCTGATATGATCATGATCATGATCGATTAATTAAAAGCGATCTCCATTTTTGAATTAAATAAAATAAATACTTGCTTCACCTATTTTTAATTTTTAATTTTGTTTTCATATTATAAGATTCAGGTGTTTCTTTCTATTGTCAAGTATGTAGTAAAATCTAGATAAAGTTTATTGAAGAAATGAAACAAAACAATAATATTAACTCTAGGAAAATAATGATTTCATAAAATTTTTCCTTTTCCTTTTCTTTTTCTTTAAAACAAAAACGAATAGATTCCTGATTCCTTTACTTCTTATATATAATGATCTTGATTCTATAAATCAATCAGGTTGGAGCAATTAGACTGTCGGATAATACGAAAACAAAACAATTCAATGCCATTCGTTCAAAGTTTATAAACTGTACTAGTGCCGATCGGGGATCTCTCTTTTTTGATGCAGGTTCTATCCATATGGATAATTGTGCATTCGAGAACAATACAACATATATAGGAGGTGCCTTATACACCAAATGGGTATATGCCGATATTAGCAACTCTATTTTCATTTCCAATATTGCAAATATTGATGGTGGAGGACTTGTATGTTTGCCGATAAAATCTCATCTTCTTTTAATATACTTTTTATAATAACTCTGCTCTAAGAGGTCATGGAGGTGCAATGGTACAAACTTTAAACAGAAAAAAAAAAAAACAAGACTCTTAGTATCAACACCACTTTTCATGATTATTTTACGAGTATTTCAGATCAATTGATTCTACATATATTACTAGTTTCCCTGCTTATTATTATCGAATTTCATTATACAATTATGAGCTACTTGTCTAGATGGTTCACAGGTCATTGTTGATCCCAATAGTTTATAATTTTAAAGAAAATTGAAAGAGAATTCTCGTGAGGCACATTTTGATCAAAAAAAATAAAAATTAAAAATCATTTTTTGATCAAAGATGTTCATCTCAAAAAGAACACGTCGTAAAATCAATTGATATTTGCAAAATTTTTCTCTTCAGAAATCAGGAAAGCCTTCCAAATTGTTTTTTAAAAGACAAAAAAATTTTTTCTATTTATTTTCAAATTAATTAAATTAAATATATAAATGATTATTAGTAATTATAGATATAAAAGTATTATATTTATATCAACATTGTTGTTGTTGGTATGTTCATGGACAGTGTCATCAAGTGATATCGATGCTGCCTCCTCATCGATTCCTCGATGTATTGTAGATCAAAGAATTAACAATGATAAATACTCGATGGATTGTACAACATACAACAATACGATGTTATGATATGTCCATCGATCACAGCATGTTTATCATCAGGTCAAGCTCAACAATTCGGAACCTACAATATCTTGGTTAAAGATGGTGTCTATGATTGTGTTCAACCCACTTCAATCTCTTTGAGTAACGATCTATTCGTCAATATCAAACCATTCAATGTATCTTCAGGTGTCTCTTTTAAATGTTATGTAAGTAAAGAAGAAACTGTTCAAAATTAAAATAAATCGAATATTTAATCATATCTTAATTAAAATTTTTATTTTTTAAATAACTACCAACTAATAACTATTTATATATTTATTGTAAATAGGATAATTATTTCTTAAATATAGTCACAGATTCCCAAATTAGAGTCAATATTTCAAGTATTGAAATTGATTGTGCAAGCTATGACGAGAACACTCAAAGAAGAAGTTGCATCTATATGAATGGGGAGAATAACAGAATTTCCGAACTCAATTTGCACAATGTTACAATTAGAAATGCTCACTCCAACAGTCAATTCATTGAATCAGGTGCTGTCACCCTCTACAGACTTTCTGCAACTGTCACCGATTCACTTTTCATCAACTGTACATCAAATGGACCTGGTAAATATATTAACCATTAAATATCACCATTTTTAATATATTCAATTCAACTAACATATATTATTACTTTTTCATAAAACTTATAGGTGGAGCTATTGGAATATTGGATAGTACTCCATCACTCAATGTTTTCAATTCAAGATTTTACAATAATGTCGGTTCTTACGGTGGTGCTATCTATACAAATGGACCATCAATTAATGTCTATAATTCAATTTTCTCTAACAACTATGCATCGTATTATGGAGGTGCGGTCTACACATATTCTCAAAATGTTCAAATGAGCAATAATGTATTCGCCAACAATACTGCTGTTAATAGTGGTGGTGCAGTTATCATTAGTTCTGGAAATGTTTTACTTAACTCCAATAACTTTAATTCCAACAATGCAATTAATGGATATGGTGGTGCTTTGGTAACTATTTCAAAATATTTAGATTCCAATTAATAATAATTACTAACATAACAACACCAACAACAATAATTATTATTATTAGTATTTATTATCAAATGCTCAAGAATTGACTACTTTTGTAGTAACTGATTCATCATTCGCAAATAACGTTGCAACTTATGGTGGTGGTATTGTAGGTCATTAAAGTTAAGCTTGTTTTTATTTATATTTTATTTGATTACTTACTTTTATATTTTTTTTTTTGAATAAAATCAGGCAACTCAAGCACAAACTGGAGTTTTCGATTTAACACAAACCAGTTTTGACAGTAACCGTGCAATATCTTCTGCCTCCAGTTTCTATTTCTTCTATACCTCCATTAGATTAATTGGTGGTACTTTCTATTTACCAACCAAGTATGTATTTCGATTTGTTCAGTTTCTCAGTTATTCAATTACTAATGAAAAATTACAAAATATTTAACATACCATAGTGTTTATGAACATTTCCCATCATATTATACCAATTATTTGAAATATAATATTCAAAATTTGAACAATATTGATAATACAGCATGTCCAACCGATTCACAAATATTCTATGGTGCACAATCATATCCATATTCATGCTTAAAAATTGATAATATCGTAGATCCAACACCTACACCAGCAGTCTCAGGCACAACTGAATACTCATCAGGCACAACAGGTTCCGATGGATCGGGATGGGCAACAACATCATCAATATCAACATCTGGATCATGGACATCCGGATGGTCTACTTTCTCATCGACAACTGGATCATTCACAACTGGATGGCCATCTTTCAGTTCATCATCAACATCGAGTTGGTACACCACCACTTCATCCTACTCAGGTTCATCTTCAAGTGAACTATCGGACAGCAACGATCAAAATACCAATCCACTTTTGGCATTGGCATTTTTATTTGCAACTTGTTTCGCTTCTCTTTTCTTTTTCATCGTTGCCATCATCAAAGGTGTGAGAAAATAAAATGATATGAATGCGCAATTAATTTTATTAAAATTTTCTAAATTTTTATTATTTATATTTTTATTTACAATTTCAACAAATAAGGTATTTTCGAATGAATATAGATATATTTTAGATATATATTTATATTATAATTTTTTTTCAAATTAGGTAGTTTTTTTTTGTTTTGTTGTTTTTTTTTAAATCAATGAATATGGGTCATAGATTGGAACATATGGAGCACCACAGACCAAAGTAGTAGAAGTAGTTACCGAGGTAATTGGGCTTTTTCTTAGATTAATCCAAAGTCCAATGGTCTTGGGCTTTTGACCGTCGACATTTGGATGGAAACAATCGATTGGTGACAAAGCAGTTGATGGGAATACGGTATCAGTCAAAAATGGAAGATAGATAATAAACATTTTTAATTGTTGTAAGTACATCATAATCTAAATAGATCAACATGTTTTCAATTAGTTACCTCTGCTGTATGTCTACCGAAATATATATATTAAGTATATCAATCCCGATGAAGTGATTATGGAGAATGCACAAGATGCAATAAAGAACTTCCAAACACTGTTTCCACTCACGAAAACCACCAACTTTAAATCGGAACCGAAATATCGATGGCAAGATGGAATGTTGGTCGAACAACAACAAGAGATTCGTTTGGATTCCTATGTGACAGACGATGCCAACACATCGAAGAAGAGAAAGGCAGACGATCTTGCAGATTACTCGCTCGACAAGTTGGTGTCTGGTTACGTCAGTGAAGTCGGTTCGATCAATCCCGTGCAGAGCTTCAAAGATAAGTTGGCAAGACGTGATATCGATCTGGTAGACAAAGCGATATCATTAATGAAACAACCTATTGTCCAACTGGTAAACGATTCAAAGATCAATTCTATCAGAAGGCATTGGAGTGTCGTTGAACTTCGTGATTATTACGAATCAAAGAAGCGTGATGACTTTTGGCAACTGATCGTTACAAATCAGATCGGATTGATCACAAACGATGAAAGTGATGAAAGTGAAATCACTGAAAAAGAATCAAAAGAATTCCTCGGTTCTAAACGCAAGCATTGCAATCAACAACAATCAACCATCGAAATCTGATTCTATTGATGATCTTTTCGATCAAATCGAATAAAATTAATAATAATTTGTAATTTAAATTGTAAATTTATTGATATTATAATTTATTTTTAACTTAAAAAAATTACATTTTAAAACTTAAAAACCTTGTAATTTTTTTATTTATTTGATGGTATATTCATATCAAGATGGTTCTCTTCTTTTGGGAGGATAATGAATATTGCTCCAGTTCTTGGATAACATCTAACTTGCTTTTTTCTTTTTGCCTCGACAAAGTGCAAACCTCTTATATTATACTTTTTATTAAAAAGGACAACAGCCAATCGTATATTTTTTAAATACTATTTGAAGAAATTGCAATTTTAATATCTATTTTAATAATTCTTTTTTTTATTTTTTTTTTTAAGATTAATCTTACTTCAGAGGTTAATTTATTAGAACAAAAAACAATGGGCAATATAGGTGTAAATAATCCGACGGCAACGTAACAAAAAATATTATTTTTATCGATAAGACTTAAAAAACATAGAATTAAACCTAATATCATTAATACAAAGATTACTATATTTAAATATGGATATTTAATTGTATTATAATTATTTATTTCAAAGAGAATCTCTTCAAACTCCTCTTTAGATAAATATGCTGAAATTCTAATATCATATGGTATGATTCTATAACTTGGTCTTTTAATTCCTAAAAAATGTTTGATTGTAAATTTTTCTGTATGAATATGAAGAGATTGGGAATTTCCTATACATGTAGGTTTTATATCTAAAACTACCATTTTTACCTATTAAAAACATATAAATAGATAGATTAATAATAAAAAATATCTTTTAAATATTTTAATTCTATTTTTAAAAACACACTATTTATTTTATATATCTAGATAATTGATATTTAAATTGCTCTATCAACACATTTACCAATTTTTTTTTTTTTTTTTGTTGGTAAAAATTATCTTAATTTTATTATGAGATATTAATATCAATAATTAAGAAATATAACAATTTTATTATATAGTTTTTATTTAGATTATCTAGATTATTTTAATTGTATTAGGAAAGTCACTTACAATAAAAATAATGAAAAAATAAAAATAGAAAATTTAATAGTTAATAAATTTAGTTTCAATATGTTCTACTTCTCAAAGAAATGGGTTTTAATACATCTTTAAAATTTATAAAGTTTAATATCTTTAAATTCAATAAATAATTTAAATGTTTTTATTTAAGCATTTTCGAAAAGTATTGCAGTAATTGTTCCACGAGTTGCATTTATGAGTGTGTTTGGGTTTATTTTACAAATAGTTGGCTCTGATATTTCTTGATTGTTAATTTTCAAATGTAGATCACGCAAACTAGTTTCAAGTATGTATTCAATAGTATCTTGATATTCAGAGACTGGTGTTTCGTCAATGAATTTACAATATCCAAAATCACCAAGAATCAAAGTGCAACTACTTAAGGTTTCTTCTATAAATATATTTGATGGCTTGATATCACAATGAACAATTCCATGTTTATCAAGATCCAAAAGAATATTGAAAAGTTATGAAATGTATTCTTTAATATTTCTTTTTAAAATTGGTTAGTTGTATCTAGATAAAAAATCAAATGAATAATTATATCGATACATACTGATTTTGATCAGATAAATGTTGATACTTTTGAGCAAGATCACCATCATCACAATATTCAGTGATGATATGAAAGATTTGATTGTCTTTATCATGATGATAGTCAACAAGTTGAACAAATCTTGGATTACCTTTGAGTAATTCCAATGCTTTTATTTCATTTAATGCACTATCATAAGATTTTTGATTATCTTTAAAATTTATCTTTTTATAACATACTTTTGAATTGATTTTATTAGTTTTAGGATTGTCAATTGATTAATTACATTGAAAATGAACTTACCAATCTTTGATCAGTACCACCCACTAAATTGTTTTTTTTTTTTTTAAACAATAAAAAAACTTTTACTTATACATTTGTAAAACAATAGCTTCCAAAGAGAACGATATTCTTTCGATTCAGAACTACGAGATATATAAACTTTAGATACAGTAATGAGAACTATAGTACTTTCTCAGAATATAAACGTGTCAGAGGTGGACCAGAATTCATAGTACAACACCTAAGATCTCTCCAGAGGAGAAAAAAGCAATGAATTGGAGAAATAGAAGAATATTTAATCACGCAATCATGGCTGTAGATCGAAAGATTGGAGAAGAAAAGGCAAAGGAGACAGGAAATAACAACGATATAATTAATAAAACAATATCAATAACAATAATAAGAATAATAACAGTAGTACAAGTAAAGGTAGTAGCAGTAGCATTGGTAGTAGTATCAGTAAAGGTAATAGTAGTAGTAGTATTAATAGTAATAGATTCAGTATATTAGATTTTGAAGATAATAATAATAATGATGACGATAATGATGACAACAAATTAAGAGGTAAATCATACTATAAATATAAACAACAAAACATCAACTACTACAACACTTCATAAAATATGTAAACTATATCCCAATGAATTTCTACCATTTCCACCCCGCAATCACTTCCAAATAGAAATCATAGTCATACCAACAAAATCAATGAATTACATATAAGAATAATACTTAAATATGTAGAAGAGATATTAGGACCTTTCCTAACTCGAAAATCATCTAAATTATGTATGACACCATCAACTACAACAACTCTGACTACAATACCACCAGATCTGAATCGAAAGAATATTGTTCTCTTTGGAAGCTATTGTCTTACAAATGTATAAGTAAAAGTTTTTTTATTGTTTAAAAAAAAAAAAAACTTAAATACATGTGTGAAATTTTTTTCAATGATAGTGGTTGTGGCTGTTTTTCACAATTTTTAGAGGTGGTACATTATTTTCAAACTCTAATAGTTTTGGACCTAAGTTCCTTTTTCTGTTGTAATTGGTGAAGCTTGATCCGGTGTGATATCTGTGACTTTTACTGTTAAGAACCATTACCTAATCCTTGAGGTCTTTGCAATGTTTCTCACCATTAAAATTATACTTTAACTAGTTTTTTAAAATAAAAACAAAAAAATTAGTTTTAAAAATAAAGAATTGTTATATTAATAATATTTCAAAGTCACCCTCTTTCTACACAATTTAATGTCCAATTTATTTATACAAGTCTTTTCAATAGGTCGGGGAATGGATTTAGTAAAATTAGTTTGTAATGATCCAACAATGTTATGTTGTATTGTACTATAGTATACTATGTTAATTTTGAAACATGATTTTTATTTCTCTCTATTGTCTGATTTACTTGATCGAATTGATAATATTAGTATTAGTACTAATTGTCTTTGTTAAACTTAAAGAGGAGTGTATGGGATTCCTTTATTGATGATATCTAGATATTTTATTATTATTCATTCTGTTATTCAAACTTTAATGTTTTTGAAGAATCTAGATTATTAAAATATTTCGACCAAGCAAAAGATATTAATATAGTTGGATCAAAAAACTTGAAGCTTTTAGAGGAGAACAACTAGATTCTCATGAATTCTTATTGGTATTGACGGATATGCTGTATGAGGAGTTACAGGAGACTCTGAAGAAAGATTAACTAGAAAAAAACAAAATTTGTTAATTTTTTACATTTTACTTCTGTGGATGACTATTGATCACACATATGTGTTTTACCACACCCATTTTATTTTGTGTTAATTTATTTGTATATTTTTTGAAAAACTGGTGAAGATGAAAAGATTACAACTGAATTTTTTTTTTTATATAATGTCAACAGATAGATTAAAAATATTAATTTGGGTTATGCTGACCGATATAAATCATTGTTATTCTAGTTTTTTGATTTCTAAATGTCAATTAGAATTAACTTTCAATTTTTTTATTTATTCTATTTTGTTTTTAGTGTTTTCAGGTTTATTAGTATTAGCTAGGGATGTTAATGTAAGAGAAGGTAGTCCAAGTTGCATTGTCGAGAAGCTAAGAGATATCGGTGCACTCTCTTTGAATTGCAAGAACAATGAACAAGATGTTTTAGTCTGCCAATCTATAGAAGCTTGTCTTCAATCAAATTATATAAAGACATTCAATAGGTATCAAATCTTGGTTGAAGATGGTATACATGAATGTGTTCAAACCAAACCGATATTGTTAGACCGTAATTTATTTATTGATATTAAACCTTTCAATGAATCATCAAAAGTATCTTTTAAATGTATTGTAAGTTCATCTAGCTTATTAATTAATACAATATAATATTAAATTAATTTTTAATTTTAGGGAAATAATTTATTCTTAAATTTAACAACTTCATACTCATTAGAAGTAAATATTACAGGAATTGAAATAGATGGTACTTCGAATGACCCTAGTATTACTAGCAGTATTATCTATATAAAAAAAGAAATCTATTCCCCTTCTTCTATTTCAAAGTTGAAATTGAACAATGTTACAGTTCTTAATGCTTTGATAATAAATGATTCTGAACAATCAAGTGTAGTTTCTCTTTTTGGAGTGTCATTGGAAATAATAAATTCTAAATTTATTAACTGTTCGTCAAAAGGTATTTATTTTTAAAAATATATTTAACATATATATACGAATCTAATACAAATTTATAGGTGGAGCTATTGGTGTATATGGAGACGTGAGATGTACAATGTCAGTTTCAAATTCTACTTTTATAAATAATAAAGGATCTTATGGAGGTGCTATCTATACCGGTCCAGGTATCAGTACCCAGGTGAATGACTCTCATTTTGTAAATAATTCGGCAACTTTCAATGGAGGTGCACTCTACTCAACCATGTCAACTAAAATTTCGAATTGCTTTTTTTCAAAAAATAAAGCAAATCAAGGTGGTGGTGCAGTTACTATTAAATCAGATAATTCAAAACTCAATAATAATATTTTTGAGTTGAATTCAGCTTCAAATGGATTTGGTGGTTCTTTGGTAAATATAGTATTAAATTTAAACAATTTTAATGTTAATCTAACTTTTTTAAAAAATATTTTAGCTTTTATCTTCATATTCATTAAATGTTTCTATTGGAATAACTAATTCAAGATTCTCAAATAACACTGCTGCTTTTGGTGGAGCAATTGTAAGATCCATAAAACATTTGTTAAATAATTTACTCAATTTAACATTCTAAATACTATTTTTAGGGAATTACAACAACAGGAGTATTTGATTTTATTGGTACTGAATTTATAGGTAATGATGCTTTAATTTCAGCAGACAGTATATATTTCCCTAATATCTATTATAAAAATATAAATTTTACGGGTGGTAGATTTATTTCTTCAAAAGAGTAAGTAGATAAAGGTATAACTTTTAAATTTTTAAAAAAATTATTAATTAAATTTTGAAATAGTACAAAGAATTTCCCAGACTACTATGACACAGTATTAAAATACGAATATTTCAATGAAACTTCAAAAGATTGCCCTTTCGATTCGCAAGTTTTCTTTTATCCAAATTCAATACTGAGTAAATGTTTAAAGATTGAATACAATGTATTTAACACTACAGAACTTCCAGGAAATAACTCTCAGAATTATACTACTAGTGGCAGTTTGGAAGAATTTAACTTACCTGGAAGAGGTTCTGAAGAATTGAACACAAAAAGTGGAAGTTCAGAAGAGATATATCCTAACCAAAGAAGTGGAAATGATGGTTCAGAAGTAATTAAACCATTAACCAACTCGGGCTCCCAATTATCAAGCGATATTAACAAATGTTTATATTTTGCTCTTTCATTAATTGCTTTCCAAATTAGATTCTATATTTTATAATTCCTCTTTTGTAAAATAAATTATCATTTCTATAACCTAACTTTTCCAATAATATAATGACAACATCAAAAAAAAAAAAAGAATCTTTTTGGATCAAAAATCTGGATATTTAACAAAATAGATATTTTTAACACAAAGAAAAAATTTAGTTCTATTTGTGATCGAAATGGAATGTACTGAACTATTATCTTTAGAATTATTGTTGGATATTGGGCTCAAAATTTTTTTTTTAAAGTGCAGGGTTGTGTGCTTGATAAAACTGTGTTTAAAATTAGTTCTTATCGGCTTGTGACTCACCTAAAAAGCTTAACCACATTTTCTTTTTTTTTTATTCCTTTTTCCTGTTCTTTTAAAGGCAAATCATAGTTATTCAATTAATTTAATTAATAATTGTGAATTTAAAATGATTATTAGTAATTATAGATATAAAAGTATTATATTTATATCAACATTGTTGTTGGTATGTTCATGGTCAGTATCAGTGTCATCAAGTGATATCGATGCTGCCTCCTCATCGATTCCTCGATGTATTGTAGATCAAAGAATTAACAATGATAAATACTCGATGGATTGTACAACATACAATCAATACGATGTTATGATATGTCCATCGATCACAGCATGTTTATCATCAGGTCAAGCTCAACAATTCGGAACCTACAATATCTTGGTTAAAGATGGTGTCTATGATTGTGTTCAACCCACTTCAATCTCTTTGAGTAACGATCTATTCGTCAATATCAAACCATTCAATGTATCTTCAGGTGTCTCTTTTAAATGTTATGTAAGTAAAGAAGAAACTGTTCAAAATTAAAATAAATCGAATATTTAATCCATATCTTAATTAAAATTTTTATTTTTTTAAATAACTACCAACTAATAACTATTTATATATTTATTGTTAATAGGATAATTATTTCTTAAATATAGTCACAGATTCCCAAATTAGAGTCAATATTTCAAGTATTGAAATTGATTGTGCAAGCTATGACGAGAACACTCAAAGAAGAAGTTGCATCTATATGAATGGGGAGAATAACAGAATTTCCGAACTCAATTTGCACAATGTTACAATTAGAAATGCTCACTCCAACAGTCAATTCATTGAATCAGGTGCTGTCACCCTCTACAGACTTTCTGCAACTGTCACCGATTCACTTTTCATCAATTGTACATCAAATGGACCTGGTAAATATATTAACCATTAAACATCACCATTTTTAATATATTCAATTCAACTAACATATATTATTACTTTTTCATAAAACTTATAGGTGGAGCTATTGGAATATTGGATAGTACTCCATCACTTAATGTTTTCAATTCAAGATTTTACAATAATGTAGGTTCTTACGGTGGTGCTCTCTATACAATTGGATCATCAATTAATGTCTATAATTCAATTTTCTCTAACAACACTGCTAATCAACATGGAGGTGCCATTTATTCAGATTTCGGAAATGTTCAAATCAACAGCAATGTATTCCTTTATAATACAGCTATCACTGGTAGTGGTGGTGCAGTCAGAGTTTGCTCTGAAAGAAATGTTAGACTTTACTCCAATAACTTTGATTCCAACAAAGCAATTAATGGATATGGTGGTGCTTTGGTAACTATCTATTTATATTTCATATTTATTTCGATTAATAGTTACTAACATAGAAACAATAAATTAATAATAATTAGTATTTAGGACAAAATACTCAAGGACTTATTATATTTGATGTATCATATTCGCTATTCACAGATAATATTGCACTTTATGGTGGTGGAATTGTAAGTATCATTTAATTACAAACTTGTTTAAATATTAATTTATTGTTTTTCATACAATCAGGCAACTCAAGTACAAGACCGTGAAAGTGGTGCGTTCAATTTAACACTAGCGATATTTAAGAATAATCGTGGAATATCTACTTCCGCCAGTATATATTTCAATTCCCAAAGCTCCATTCGATTGATTGGTGGTAAATTCTTTTTACCAACTTTGTAGGTATCATGCTTTATATACAATCCATTATATTTATTTTATCTCTCAGCTATTCTTTTAATAATCTAAAATAACTAATGTGAAAAACAATATAATTATTATACCCTAGTGTATATCAACATTTCCCACCATATTATACCAATTATTTGAAATATAATATTCAAAATTTGAACAATAGAGATGATTGTCCAATCAATTCACAATTATTCTTTGGCTCACAAACAACTCCAAATACTTGTTTACAAATTGATAATATGGTAGATCCAACACCTACACCAACACAAACACCCATACCATCTTTCACAACCGAAGGAACAACTGAATACTCATCAGGAACAAGTGATTTTTCATCAGGCACAACAGGTTCCGATGGATCAGGATGGGCAACAACATCATCAATATCAACATCTGGATCATGGACATCCGGATGGTCTACTTTCTCATCGACAACTGGATCATTCACAACTGGATGGCCATCTTTCAGTTCATCATCAACATCGAGTTGGTACACCACCACTTCATCCTACTCAGGTTCATCTTCAAATGAACAATCTGACAGCAACGATCAAAATACCAATCCACTTTTGGCATTGGCATTTTTATTTGCAACTTGTTTCGCTTCTCTTTTCTTTTTCATCGTTGCCATCATCAAAGGTGTGAGAAAATAAACTTCATTCTCATGTAATAAAAAAAATTTTTGATACAATTAAATTGAAAGTGTATTTGTAAAGTTAAAACTCCTTTCTATAATTTTTTTATTAATATTTATTATATCAAATATTAAATATTGTCAGAGAGTGTAAGAAGATAGATATGAAAAACAATAGTTGTGCAAAAGATATTTATATCATTAATAATAACAATACTAATGATAATCTAAACATATGTACAGTAGATAATAAAATTAATAATGATGATATACATTTAATAATAGAATCGATTAACATACAGATAATAATTTGTAACAGTTACTACCGTTTGCTCGTGGGTTATTGAAAATCACATAGACAGAATTCATAATGATTACACTCCTCTCTCCTGTTACATAATCTATATGTTGGTTCTGGTGAATTCGTACACTTTCCAAACGATGTTCCATTTGTTATAATACACTTTTTATAATAATATTAACATATTAAAGTTAGACTCGAAAATAAACTTGTCAATGATCTTTAATTAATTACATACATATTGATTCTTAAAGAAATCACATGTTGTTCTTGTTGTTATATAAGGATCACTTACCTCTGTTGTTATCTTACAGATACCGAAATGTGGATTCAAGTTGGGTTGTGGCACACACAATGCTGATGTACAATCATTGATATTGGAGAATAAGATACACTAGTTGGGTCTCACTCTTATTGGGATACAAGTTCCATTATCTACATCACAGATATTGTCGGTATTACACTCCAATCCCAAAATGCAATAGGATTGACGAGTGCACTCTTCATTGAAATAACCAAAGTTGGCTGGCAAACAAACTTTAACACCTGGGTCTGTCTCAACACAGTAATCGCCCTCCATATGATTACAATCGAAAGTATATTCACAACTTCCACCTTGTTTCACCGGTTGTTGACATGTTCCAATCTAAATTATTAAAAATAAAAATAATGTGATTCAATAAATAAACAAAGAAATTATTTATACTATTCATTTATCAAATAAATATTTACAAGACATCGATATGGTGATAACAAATAGGTCCTCTATTTTAAAATTAACTAATTAATAAAACAATAATAGTAGTAAGAATAATATTATTTATTTATTACACATACCATAGAGCTATATCGTTTCCTCCACAAGTTTCACCAGAATTAACACATCTTCTATAATTACAATAGGAAGGTTTACAGACAGTCGAATCAATAAATCAAAATAAAAGATGTAAATTGAATCAAAAAAGGAATTTTAATTATTTTTATTTGTTTTTTTTTTCAAACAAAAATTTAAATTAATAAAAAAGATAACTCTATTGCATGATATCAGATTCAACAATATAAATATATACATATATAGAATAACAATCACATGTTCACCCAGTAATAATAGTTTATTTAATTTGTTAATAAATTTGGTGATTCACTATCTAATGTTGAATTTACAAGTCTATTATAATTTCTTTTTTTAAGTCTAATATATATGACGACCATCACGATTATTAATGAAACTAATATTACTATTGACATTACTAATATACCATAGGTTGATTGTTTATCGTTGGGATTGGGATAATTATCGCTTGAATCTGCTTTGTTTAAACAATCTTCTTGCTGACCTCGAACATGACAATTAACACCACATTTAACTAACTTTGAATCTCCACCCATCGTATTGTTTTGTGTGAATACATGACTAGCGTAACAATATATATTGATATCGCCATTCTTTGAAAAACTTGAATGGGTAATACTAACATTTTTAGCATAGAATAAATAGATTGATTGACCATCACCAAAGTTTAATGGTGGACTATTGCTAAAGCTAGAGTTGAGAATACTAACTTTCTTGGCACCGTCGATATAGAGATGATTTCCTAGGTAACCAGTGTTGTTATTGAATGTTGAATTTGCGATGAATAACGTTCCGTATCTTGAGTAGATACCGACTCCAGAGTTACCAATGTTTTCTGAAAATGTAGAGTTGTAGATTCTTGTTGATATTACAATGGTATTGTCAAAGTGTATTTGAGAACAATTAACATTTGACCGGAATAGATTGTTGGTGAATACTGATGATGTTTGCCATATGTAAAATACAGTGGACATTCCATTAAACGGAGCAGGACTGCTTACGGAATTATTAATAAATCTGCAACCAATGATAACAGCTGGTTTGAAGCCATTATTACTAAATGCCTTAACAAAGGAACCTTTCTCTATGATATTATCAATGAATCTAGATTTCTTTATAACAATAGATCCAAAGCCAATATTTACAATGAAATTAGATACTTTGTTGTTTGAGAAATTACAATTCTCAATGACTGTATTGGACGGATCGGCAAATATAACCTGGCGAGAATTTCCATTGTTCTCTTGGAAGAGACACCCTCGTAGAGTAAAGTTAACCGGCACAATAGACGATGACCGAATGGTGATCACACCACCCCAATGTTCCCCAAACTCTGCGGTATTGTTTATGAAAGTACAATTGTTTATGGTGAGCGAGATCTTCGAGTGGAGATGACTGGACAACACAACAGCGCCACCAAACTCTCCGCTAGCATAACCATTTCTGAACAAAAGATTGTTCAGAGTCAGTCGTGTATAAATACCCTCGGGTTTCCCATCCTTTGGCTCAGACATATTTATAAATTGTTTTCCACCAAGATCTATCTGTACCCACTTCAGACCACCAAAATCATCATCAACACCACCGCTATTTTGTCCACCCTCACCACCTCCAATTGTCAAATCAATATCGAATACCGATAATTCACTATTACCACTGGAATTATAGGTTCCGTTTGCCATAACAATTTTCAATCCATCCGCGAAATGAAATTGTTTATAAATGTCAAGCACCCTTTGAATGGATTGACAAGACTGGTTTGGAAGTGGTGATTCACCACAGAAACTCGATTGATTATTCGACCGATAGTCAACGTAAAATGTTTTAATATTTACATTTACATTTTTTTCAATATTTATAATATTATTACTATATACTTTTCCAGAAACTAAATAAAATAACAAAATTGAAAGCAACATTAAATATTTAAAATAAATCATTTAAATATACATGTATATGGTCTATATTATTTATTTATTTATTTACTATTTAATATTATACTATATTTAATAATCATAATAATTATAATTGATATTATAAATTAATATTGTCATTGAAGAAAAAAAAAAAATGTTAAAAAACGACGAATCTTGATACTATTTCTAAGTTTGTCAAGAATGTTATCAACTTTTTTCACAAACCAAAGAATTTTTTGGTGTTTTACCAGTAACGCCATTACATAAAAAAATCAGATAAAATCTTATAAAATTAAAAAAATAAATTTATATATTATAGTTAAGATAGATTTGATATCAAATTGAAAGTGATTTGTGTACAGGGATTTTAGTGATTTATCGTACTATCTGTCTATGATTCTTATTAGAACCTCTTCTATTATGTAATGACTAAAAAGGAAAAAAAAATTTTTGATTAAAACTTAAATTTTAATTTCGACACAATTTTTTTTAGGTTCTTATTGATTGATATTGTTATGTTTATTAGGTGGTGATATTATCATTAACTTTGAAATGGAATTACTACATTTAGAAGACGATGAATGGTTAAAGATCAATGTGGGTGGGAAAATCTTTCATACCACACGATCAACTTTAACATATGATGTAAATTCTGTATTATATAAAATGGTAAGTTAGCAGTTGCTATTTACAAATAAACAAACAAATTAGTTTTATATCTGTCATAAATGATTGATTTGTTTGTTTGTTTGTTTGTTTGTTTGTTTGTTCTTCAAATAAGAATAGTTATTTATAATTATTTTTTTTTTGTTTGTTTTGTTTTGTTTTGTTTTACTTTTTTAGTTTAGTAGAGATTGTAAGCTACAATCATCGAGAAGAGATCAGAATGGCGCGTTCCTAATTGATCGCGATCCCAAATACTTTAGGGTGCTGCTCAATCATCTTAGATCACCGACATCGAAACAACTGATAATAGACGACGGTATATCGATACAGGGTGTACTGCAAGAAGCACAATTCTTTCAGATTCACTCTCTCACCAAACTCATCGAGAAGATGTTAAACAACAAGTCTGACTTTACAAGAAAAGAGGTACTACTCAACAAAGGAAATATAAAATTCAACAACAAGAGAATTGTAAGTACAACAAAACACAAAACAAAACAACAACTAAACAACAACTAAACAAACATAACTTATTTATTAACTAACTCAACTCAATTGAATTAACTATTATTATTATTATTATTATAGATAGAAATTGATTTATCATCTATTGATTTCATAAAAGAAGATTTTAGTCATAGTATCATTTCAAAGTGTGATTTCGAAAGATGTAGAATTTCTTTTTCTACATTCTTACATGTATGTATGAATGAAGAGATTAGTAGATTTATAAATGTAATTGTAAATGTAATCAAGTAATATTAATTTTTTTTTGTTTGTTTTGTTATGTTTTGTTTTGTTTAACTAAAAATCAAAGTCAACTGGAAAGAAATGTTGTTTTAATTTGGTGGTGGCAGAGAATACTATATTCTCATCGAGTGTACTTTCAAAGTCGACGTTTGTCAAAGCTAATCTCTCACACGCCAGTTTCAATAACTGTCATCTACACTCTACGAATTTCACACAGGCAGCATGTACAGGCTCGTTGTTTCAGCGTGCGATCATCACCAACGGTATCTTTAAGAATGCCAACCTCGAACATGCCAAATTTCAAAAGGCTGATCTAACAGGTTGTGATTTTACAGGTGCAAAGTAAGTTATTATTTATTGTAACAATATAATAATTATAACAGCAATAACTATAATATATCATATATATATTAACATACAACCTCTATTTTTATAATAACTGCTGTGTGTCTAGATTGAATAATTGTCATTTTACAAGTGCAGATCTAAGAAATGCATTGTTGGATTGGAATACTCTTGGAACATTGACCAATGAGAATGGTGGACAAAGTCTATTCAAAAAGGCAAAACTAACTAGAAAGCAATTCGAATTGATACCACAAGATATAAGAGCATCATTTGGTTTCAAAATCATTGAAGATGGTAAAAACATTACATCTCAACTTTTACATAGTAGTAGCAACAGTAATAACATCTTAAATACACCAAATAACAACAACAACAACAATAATATTAACAACAATAGTATTAATAACAATACTAACAACAACAACAACAACAACAACAACAACAACAACAACAACAACAACAACAACAACAACAACAACAACAACAACAACAACAACTACAATAGTACTAATAATTTAAATAACTCTATTAACAACAATAACAACAACAATAATAACAATAACAATATTTAATAAAAGTGTAAAATAATTCAAAAACTTTGTAAACAACTGATGTTGATATTACCACCTCACCACATGTTCATCTAAAATTAATTAATTTTTTTTAAGAAATATTGATCTTAGTGATAATATTAATTTGCAAATCAATTAGCTTTAATAATCTTGATAGATAGATAGATAGATAAATACTAATAAAAATGGAAAATAATAATATTAATAAAACAAAATTAAGAATATTGTTAGCAACAGACTTACATTTACATTATGAAAATCTAAATGCTCTTGGTAAATATATATCTGAAAATAAAGAAAAGTATGTAATATTCTATTGTTATTGTATATATACAACTACTAACTTTGTTATTTATATTTGATTGTGATTGTAATTGATCTAGATTGGATTATGTATTGTGTAGTGGAGATATTGCAAATTTCGATCCGATGGAAGAGGATCAAATGGAGAAGGTCTATGTCTGTGAGGGTGAGATGAGTACCGCTCTACAGATGCTAGAGAACATACACTACAATGTTATCTATGTGCCTGGTAACCACGATGCCAAAACAACGCTGTTGAACGCACTCGACAAACGTCCGCGTCTCACCAACTTTGCTCGCAATGCGCATCGTCACACCATTAGAATCGCTGAGGATCTAGTGTTGCTCGGTCTTGGTGGAAGTCTCCCGGGTTACCGCGGTGACAAAGAAGTATGGGTAGGCTATCCGTTCAAGAGTGACTCTCAGCTAAAGTCAGAGCTAGACGCCACCTGGAGAGAAGCGTCGTCGTCCGGCTCCATCAAAGAGAATGACTCGGTGTTGCTGATGACACACGTCGGACCCGACTCATCGACAACCACAATCGATCGTCTCGATACATCGGTCGAACCGATTCATAGCGGTAGCAAATTACTCGACACCTTCATTGCGGAGCACAACGATCAGATCTTCCTAAACATTCACGGTCACACCCACTTCAGTCCGGGAATGTCAACCCACCGTAAAACACAAATAGTTAACCCAGGCCCACTTAAATTCTCCAGATTCGCATTGATAACAATCGAAAAGAAAGTAAACTTTGGTTGGAGAGTTACAAGTACTGAATTTAAAACACTTTAAAAAAACAACAACAACAACAACACACATACTTATTTATATAAATAACAATAACCAATCACCACATTAATAAATACATCAAATTTGTAATAATAATAATATAATCACATTTAAAGTAACAACTTATTCTTTTGCTGTGTTCTGCTTCTCTTCCGTCATTCTCCAACACACACAATTTTCATAAAAAAAAATTAAATAATAAATTAATTAAAAAAAATTGAAAATTTCACAAAACACGAAAGAACCAAAACAACGATTGTTAACAATAAACAAAAAGAATAAATACCTTTTTTTTCTTTTATTTTTTTATTTATTTACTTTATAGATAAAATCAAATAAAATATAATTATTATTTTTATTATTTTCTAAATATATATATTTTTTAGTTTTGTACAAATTTTAAAAAAGATAAATAGTATCAGAATAGTGATTTCTATCTATCACTCGCTCGAACACACAGTATAAATTATAAAAGATGGCACCAAAATCAAAGAAAAGTGATGCATCTCTTGGTCGTGTATTGATTAAATCAAGAAATAAGAAACTTGGTAGAAATATTAATCAAGAAACTGTTGCTGTATGTCGTTGTTGTTGTTGTTGTTTGGGAGAATGACGAGATTGAAACTAATATTTTTGTTTCTTGATCATTATTATTATCTACTATTATTATAGATGTATACAACTGATATAGATCCAAAAGATGAAAGAAAGAAATTATATTCAAATACAGATCAGAACAATCAGTTGGCGAACTTCTTGGAGGTTTCAGAGATGGAACAAAAGATTTTCGAAGCAGAGAAACAGAATGTAGTTGTGTTGATGAAGACAACCTCAACTGTACTCTCAAAGGAAGAAAGAGAAGCAAAGACACAGGAGCACAAGAAACTACAGGAAAAGAACAATCAATTTTGGAATTCATTGACCGTACCAAGAAGACCGTACTGGGATGAAAACACAACCACCGAACAACTCCTTGAAAATGAGAAAACATCATTCTACAATTGGAGAAGATCATTAGCAAAGTAAGAAAGAAACAAAACTAAAACAAATCAACTTTTATTAACTTGATAATATTTAACAACTGATCTATATAGGTTGGAAGAAGATGAAGGTTTAATTATAACTCCATTCGAAAAGAATCCGGAAGTCTGGAAACAACTTTGGAGAGTTACAGAAAAGAGTGATATTTTGGTGCAGATTGTCGATGCTCGTAATCCATTGTTGTTCCGTTCACCGGATCTCGAGAGATACGCAAAGGAGCTGAATGTAAAGAAGACCAACTTGTTGATTGTGAACAAGGCCGATCTTCTCACAAAGGCACAGCGTAGAAAGTGGGCACAATACTTTGCCTCGGAGAATATAAACTATCGATTCTTCTCTGCGCACAAAGAGCAGCTAAAGATTGAAAAGATGAAGCAGATCTACCGTTTGATCGATGAGGGTGCCGACATCGATATCGAAGAGACACGTCGCGCCATCGAGGGAAACAACGCCGCCGAAGACAAGGAAATCAAGATCTACACTCGCGAAGAGATTCTCGAGGAATTCAAGAAACTGTGTCCCGCGCCACTCCAAGAGAATCGTTTCGACGGTCGTATCGTTGTCGGTCTCTCTGGTTATCCCAACGTCGGTAAGTCCAGTACGATCAACGTGCTCTACGGTGAGAAGAAAGTCGCCGTCGCGCCAACACCCGGTAAAACAAAATACGTACAGACCATCATTGTCGACGACGACGTCGTTCTGCTCGATTGTCCGGGTCTAGTTTTCCCAACACTTTTGTCGTCCAAGGCAGAGATGGTCATCAACGGTCTGCTGCCAATCGACCAGTTGCGTGACTTTGTGTCGCCGGTCGACGCCATCTGTGAGAAGGTCGCCCGTTCCTACATCGAGGAGGTCTACTCCATCGGTATCCCCAAGCCAAAGGAGCACGAGCCACAAGACCGTCCCCCCACAGGTGCCGAGGTGCTGTCGGTCTACGCGTACATGCGTGGTTTCATGACTGTGCACGGTGCTCCCGACCAGTCGCGTGCCGCCCGTATCATATTGAAGGACTTTGTCGCCGGAAAGCTGCTCTACTGTCATCCACCTCCAGGATACGACGCCGAGAAATTCCAGAGAAAACAAAAGTCCGCCGTTGAAGCGGCAGCAGCAGCTTTGAGCGCCGCCAACGGAACCGCACCGGTAATCAAAGAGAAGAAAAAGATGACCTACGACGTCAGTGTAGAGAGTGAAAGTAACTACGATGTACAACAGAATGTCATTGCCAAAACAAAGTCTCAGAAGAACAAGAAAAAGAAACAGGTCACCGGTGAAGATGTTAGATTTACAAGACCGGTCTACGTACACAATGAAGAATCGATTTCCACCAGACTACAAAAGTTACACCTGAAAGAACAAGCTCTTAAAGATATGGCATTAAAATTAAAACAACAAAAACAAGAATCATCATCATCATCATCATCATCACAATCAGAAACTTCAACTACCACAACAACCACCACAACTACCACATCAACGTCATCATAAATAAAATAAATTAATATCTTTTTATAATAATATTTAAAAAAAAAAACAAATGAACATAAAGAGGTTTAATAAGCTTTAATTCAACCTTTCAAATTAAAAAATGTCACTGACCAATTCCTATACCAACCAATAAATCTTTGATAAAATGACAAAACACCCCATTACCATTTTTTTCATTGTTTGATAATGGGTTAAACCAAAACAATAATTATCTATTTATTTATTGAATTTTGAATTTAATTTAATTAAATCTACATTGATAATAATCTTCATTTTTCATTTTCATTTTCATTTCAATAAATAAATTAAAGATATAGATATATAAGATATTTATATCTTTTTTTTTTTTATCTTTTTAATTTTTTTATATGACTGAAAAAATAGATAGAAAAGAATCGGATACTGGTAGCATTTTAAAAAAGGATAATGATTCATTTGAATCTTGTAGTGGTGTTGCTGGACAAGAATGTGTAGTTAATAAGCAATGCGATAGTGTTTTTGAAAACATAGATCCTGTTTATAAGAATGGATTCCATCCATCTCGTTGGGAGCTGCTCAATGTTTTCTTTAGTGACTTTTGGAAGTATGGATTTGGCAAACTATCGCATATCTATACCCATATGTATCGTAAACACATTGATCCAGTGGCTGGCGACACCTGTCCCAATGCTATGCTACTAGACTACCAGACAGGTTCCGACAAGATAGAGTACTACTTGAAGGGAAATACCTCACTCTACAGCCTGATGGAGAAGAACGATGCCAAGCCTGTTGTTCTTTTCTGTGGAAGTTACACTTGACCTCCATTCCGTGATAAGATGGTTATGTTCCAGGCCATAGCCAATGAATTCGCAGAGTATTGCCAATTCTACATATTGTATCTTGCTGAGATGCATCCCGTCGATGGTTGGGTTATCGGTGGCGATGAAATCAGTACATGTTACAAACAACCAAAAACAATGAAAGAAGTAAGAAATAATCCTATTCATTTTTCTAAAGGATATGTTTTTATAATTAACCTCTTTTTTTTAACTCTACAAATTTAACAGAGATTAAATATAGTTAAAGCATTACAAGAGTATAGTCCTGTTACCATTCCCTATCTAGTTGATTTAATTGACAATGGTTTCAATGCAAAATATGATGCTATTCCAGAACGTCTTTTTGTATTAGAGAATAAGAAATTCTCTTATGTTGGGTAAAGTATTAAAACTATATAAATTAATTAATCGATTTGAAATATCACATTTAATTAATCAATTATTTCAGTGGTCCAGGTCCTTTTAAATTTATTCCAGAAGAACTTAAGGAGTATTTAACAAAGAGATTTAAAGCATCTGCTCTACCATCAACAAACTAGAGTTAACAGTGAATCAAGTAAGAACAGGCCTAGAGAATAACTAATTCATTATTTAAAAAAGAATACTATTTTTAAGAAATTAATAACAAGATATCAGTTGGTAGATTGACATTGTAATGACTCTCAACTGCCTAATCTTTAATTAGAAGCTATTGAGATGAAATATTAAACAATCTCTGTCATCAACCACTCTGTTATCTCATATGTTTTGAAAACCCAACAATAATCACTATCAATTCAAAAAAAACAAAAAAGAAATCATATGATTTCTTTTTTGTTTACCTAATTGACATTACCTTCAAACTATGAGTTATAATTTTATTAAATAATATTATTAAAAGTAAATAAAAAAGATTAATTATAATAGATTTAAAAATGAAAGGAGTTTTTTTCTTTATTTCAACATGCACTTAATATACCACCGTTAAAATTATGAAATTTGAGGTATTTAACTATTTAATTAATTTATATATATATAATAATATTATTTATAATATATATATATAATATTAGTTTAATTTATTTATATATTCTTCTAATATTATTAATAATTTATTTATCATTGACAGATCAAAAAGAAATGGATAGTAGTACCAATTGTATTCAAGATCAAGCTGTAGATGATAAATCATATGAGAGTATTTTGAAGAGTATCCCTCCAATTTATAGGAATGGGTTCAATCCACCACTTTGGTTTTACTGGAATACTGTAACCAGTAACTTATGGGGGAATTATGATAAACTATGGTCTTTATTTAGCTATGTGTTTCACAAACATAGCTATCCAGTGGCTGGCGACACCTGTCCCGATGCGATTCTACTAGACTACCAAACCGGTTCAGACAAAATAGAGTACTACTTGAAGGGAAACACAACACTCTATAGAATGATGGAGAAGCTAGATGCCAAACCTATTGTCCTCTACTGTGGTAGTTTCACTTGTATTCCATTCCGTAACAAGTTGCAATTGATCCAGGCCATAGCCAATGAGTTTGCAGAGTATTGCGACTTCTACATTGTATATACGGCGGAAGTACATACTGCCGACGGTTGGATTATAGGTGGTGATGAAATCAGTACAGCTCACAAACAACCAAAAACAATGAAAGAGGTATGAATGAAATAATGAAAATATCGACTTATAATACAAACAATAACATTTTATTTACTTATTAAATCAACAGAGATTAAAGATTGTTGAAGCACTGCAAAAATTTAGTCCTGTTTCCATTCCTTATCTAGTCGATTTAATTGACAATAATTTTAATGAAAAATATGATAATACTCCTCTACGTCTTTTTGTGTTGGAGAATAAGAAATTCTCTTATGTTGGGTAAGTATTAATGAATGGATAGAAAGGTTTCGAAAATAATAACTAATGAATTATGATATTAGTGGTCCAGGTCCATTTAAATCTACTCCAGAAGAACTTAGGGATTACTTAATAGATAGATTCAAACCCTCTTCAATCTAGATTGAACAAAACTTTTACAAAAAAAAAAAAGAATTATCTTGACAGAAAAGTAGATAGAATAATTAGATATATATATACTTCATTAATAAAATAAATATTATTAATTCGTTTATAATAATAAAAATGTTATTGTTGTTGTTGAAAACAGATAACAAGATATGAATGATATCAGTTGGTGGGATTATCGACAATGCATTATAATTGTTACAATTACTCTCTCTCTCTCTGTGTGTCTCTCTCGTTCAACTACCCAATCTCTTTTTGCATAGAATCTATGGAGATGAAACATCAAACAATCTCTGTCAACCAAATTTCATAGAAAAAATTAAAAAAAAAAAAAAAACAAAACCCAATAAAACAAACTGTTTTCTTGTTTCAGTCGACTTCTTGGATTATGGATTAATTCAAAAAATAAAAATAAAAAAATTGAACTATGAGCTATTTTTTTTAAAAAAAAAAACAAATAAATAAAAATAATTCAATAATAATTTAAGCGATTGTTTTTATTAATATGATATGAATTGCAATAGGCAACAAACAAACAATAGACACACATAAAACAATTAATAGGATGACAACTAATTTATTTCAATTTATAAATAAAAGATCTTATAAAAATTAATAGTTTTGACAAAAAAACAAAATTTACTCAACGAGATTTTGATAAAGGTGTGAGTGCACCAACCAATGAGCAAGATTGTTGTTTTTTTATCTTTTTTTTTTTGTTTTTGACAAATTGGGGGTATTAATAATATGATCAAATGAGCCAAAAATCATACCATATAACTTATTTTAAAAAAAATTTTCAAAAAAAAAAAAAACATCTTTCCTTTTTTAAAAAAACTAAAACCAAACAAAACAAATTTATAAATAAAAAAAGTAGTATCTTCTTCTCTCTTTTTTTTTATCTTTCACATATATTTTAATTGTATATTACACTATACACTATAATATAAAAATCTATCTAAAATATTTAAAATATTTTAAGAAATTAGAAGAAAGTAACTAGTATTATTATTATTTGTCTAAGAGTAGTAGTAGTAAAAAAATGTTGTCATCAATTACTTGTACAGCACCAGTTAACATTGCAACCATTAAATATTGGGGAAAGAGAGATGAAAAATTGATTTTACCACTCAATTCATCGCTCAGTGGTACTTTACATCAAGACGATCTTAAAACAACAACCACTGCCGTAGCATCTGAAAATTTCACTGAAGATGCAATTTGGTTGAATGGAAAGTATGTATATAAAAATATTACATATATGTTATATATAAAAACATACCATATATATATAGTCACCACTTTTATTTAGAAATAATTTCAAACACGAAAAATTACAATTTTTCTAACTCTGAAAAAAAAAAAACAACACATATTATATTAATAATTTAAAGGAAAGAAGATATCAATACAACACGTTATCAAAATGTATTGAGAATGATCAGATCACGTGCAACTAAATTGATGGATAAGAAACATTTCGTTCACATTTGTTCGATCAACAATTTCCCAACCGCAGCCGGTTTGGCAAGTTCGGCAAGTGGATACGCCTGTTTGGTGTACGTTTTGGCACAACTCTACGGAGTGAGTGGAGACATCTCTGCGATCGCTCGTATCGGTTCCGGTAGTGCATGCCGTAGTGTCTACGGTGGTTTCGTCAAGTGGGAGATGGGTGCCGAGTCGGACGGGTCCGATTCGATCGCCGTCCAAGTTGCACCGGAAACTCACTGGCCAGAGATGAACATCATTGTGCTCGTCGTCAACGACAAGAAGAAGGAGACATCGTCGACCGATGGAATGCAGAGATCTGCCGCCACCTCACCGATGATGAAGGAGCGTTGCGCCACCATCGTGCCACAGCGTATGCGTGACATCGAAGCTGCGATTCAGGCACGTGATTTCCAGACATTCGGTGATATCACCATGAAGGATTCCGACGACTTCCACGAGGTGTGCGCCACTACCGACCCGGCCATCTACTACCTCAACGACACATCGCGTTACATCATGAACCTCGTTCACAAATACAACAAAATGAGTGGAAAGATCAAGTGCGCCTACACTTTTGACGCCGGTCCCAACGCCTGCATCTACTTGCCCGAGGAGAACGTCGTCGAAGCGTTGGCACTCTTCACCAAACACTTCCCAGGCTCCGATCTCTCCACCTACTACAGAGGCAGCGACAAGTCCAACATCGAAAAGATCGAACACTATCAACCACCAAAGAATATCCAGACTCTCTTTGCACCAGAGGTCACTTTTGCCGATTCTCTCAAATATATCCTCCACACAAAGATTGGTCCAGGTCCACAGATCCTAGATGAATCCGAATCGCTCATCGACAAATCAACAGGACTACCAAAATACGTGGCTGCTGATCCATCTAAAATTAATAATTAAAAAATATATATAATATAATAATAATATAAAAATCAAATAACTTTTGTTTTTTTTTTTTTTTTTTTTTTATTGAGAAATTTGATTGTTATATTTTGTAAGATCAAAAGAATAAATATTGAAATCATTAACAATTAATTGATTGTTCTTGAAATCAAAATATCCATTAAAAGAAATGTTTATATTCGAATAACGACCAAATCAAAACCTTTCATTAAAGTCTTTGAGAACTTAAATATTTAATTTTTGCGGGGTAAATCATCAAAATCTTTCTAATTTGAAAAAATGAATAACAACCAGCTGAATCTCAATGGTGTGTTTTAGATTTATTGGGGTAAAAAGGATGATCATCGAATTATGTAACTTTCCACTATAATTTGAACACAAAAGCAAAAATTTAAGTTCTGTTTTAGTAAAAAGATTAATCAATTTATTTTGATTTGGTGTATCACATAATTTTTATACCACACAATATATTTGTACATTTCAAATATAATTATCTCATTCTATATTTATTTATTATTTTATTCTTTTAGGTATTTGTTTATTTATTTTTTTTAAATATATTTTAAAATGAGGTTGGAGGTTGTTAGCGCACCAATCATAGTATTTGATGATTATCGAGTGTCAAATTTTAGCACTAAAATACAAATTACAACATCAAAGTTATCAACTGGAGTATCTATTGAGAAGTTGTCTCAAGTGATAAAGTTGATGACCGATTTGGATCTACAAGATGCCAAACTAGATGGTGAAACTAATACAATTAACTTTAATTTAAATTCACCTAGTGAGTTTGATATGCTCACTGATACGCCCATCAAGATATTAAATCAAATTGTAAGTAAAAGAAAAAGACTACCAACTTGTAAATAGCTACATACCAAATATTAATAAAAAATATTATTTAGATTTCTTTTGAAATTTTGAAAGATAAAACCAAAGTTTATATTTTTGAAAATAGCAATGGTGTAAATTTGGTGCTGAGTGAATATGATGTCAATCTTTCATCGAATTTCGATGATATTACAGTGACTTCAGAAGAGCAAAAGGAAATAGAGATACCAGGAGTCAACATTAAATTAACAGTTAAGAGTGCTTTCTGTTCGAATCCCAACAAAGGAATGACTATTACCTATCGCATCACCCAGCCAGGTGTTCTGGCATCCACCTTAAGAGAGACATTAGTTTGCATCACTCGTACTGAAGAATTCCAAATAATGCCTCTAGATGAAACTTGTGGATTTATCACTTTCAAAAGCCAACCAATTAAACTATCTATCTTAACCAACAATAAGGAGATTACTTTGCAAGTTCCACTAAATCAAAATACTCAACCTTTATCAAAACCATCTACCACACCAACTTCTACTGCAACTACTTCTCCATCAGCTTCATCCATTCCCAAACCAGCTACTGCTAAACAATCTAAAACACCAGCAGCAACAACAACAACAACAACAACAACCACGACACCTCAAGTTGTCAACAATAAAAAACCAAAAAAAGATAGATTTGTTGCAACATCCATTATACCAAAGAATATCAGTCCATCTGATTTAACCAAGATATTGACAGAGTCCAAATACAAGGTGAAATTTATTATAATTCGTGCAAAGGTTGCATATGTAGAGTTGGATAAAGAGTCACATGAAAGGATACGTTCTGATAAAACTATTATGACTAAGGATGGTTTTAAGTTTAGCTTTAAAAAGTTTGGAGGAGAGATCCCAGCAATTAAAGCATACCTCTTTCCATACAAAGAAGGTATAAATCTCTGGGATGTAGGAAATACAATTGAAAAGCTCATCAATGCACCCACTGGAAAGATTAGATATGAGAAATCACATTTAATCATTCCATTTTCGTCACTAGAGGAGAAGAAGCAACTTCTTGATCTTAGAAGTATCAATATCAAGTGTGGCAATTTCCGAGCTGATGCCACTAAAGATGAAAGAAAGAAAAGACATATGCATCAACTCTGGGTATTCGATAAGGAAGATCAGACCAGAAGAATTGCGTCAAGATTGGTTGAAGTGCCAGAGTTGAAAGTTAAACTGTTGGAAGGTTCAATGAAGCGACTGCTGGAACAAATCAACACACAATTCAATGTTAGCATTGAGATGGAAAAGAATGGTGCCAATTGTTCATTGAAATTGTCATCACCATTAGATAATATCAACGAAGCACAAGAGCAACTCAAACAAAAGATCAACGATATCAAAGAAATCAATTATTTCTTTAGAGTTGACACTGATATCAAGAAGAATTTGTTGTCCCCCATGATACGTTCGATCTTCAAAGAACTACCCAACAGTAAATCGATTAACTATTCCATTTCAGAGAAAAAGGGTAAAGAAGCATGGTCTATTAACATCACATTCTCTGGTGCTGACAATGAAGTTATGGAGATCCAAAGGTTGTTGAAAGAGGTCGAAGTCGAAGAACATGAGTTACCACCTAAGGAGTTAGTACTTATTCCAGAGTCAGTCAGACAGGAGTTCTCAGTTAGTCTCCATCTCGGTGAGAAATCAATGATAATATGTGGTGGGCTGAAGAATCTTACCAACTTTAAACAGTGGATTCAATCCAATTTGAAGAAAGACACTCGTGTAGAGATGGAAATGTCACAAGCCGAATTGTTTTTCTTCCAATTTCTTATCAAGTCTGATTTCCATGATGTCGTTGTAACCGAGACTAAGAATGGATTGATTATCAATGGTGATGAAAAGAAAGTAAAAGAGGCACAGGATCACGTTTTGAAAATGAAGAAGTCGATCGAAGAAGTCAATTTTTCAAAATCATTTGCGAAAAATCTGATGACAGAGATTTCTCCTTTTTTGAAAGATTACTTCAAGGATGATATAGTTTACACTCGCTTTGACAATCCATTTGCTAAAAAACCAAGACCGAGAAGGTATGTAATTAATTTATATTTATTTAAACCGAAAGAAAATGTGTTTTCTAATCATTATTTGTTCTCATTAAAATCAATAGAACAACAACAACAACAACAACAACTACAACATCATCATCTTCTTCTTCTTCATCTTCAGATATCTCATCAGATGAAGATTCAAATGATGAATATAGTGAAGATGAAGAACAATTCAAAGAAGAATATGGAGATGTGAAGTTTCAATTGTTTATTCACCGTGAACGTGACTATGAGAACCTAAAGAAAAAGATTGTCGAACTAAAGTACATGAATGAAGGTCGTGCCTATGAGTTTAATTCGGTTTCCATCGAAGAACAACGATTCATTCTCAAGTTCTTTGGCGACAAGTATTCCAATCGTATTACAATCTTTCAGCGTCAAAAGATGGTTGTGGTTCAAGGTCTATGGCAATCGGATGTCAAGAAGCTAGTTTCAGAGATTCAGTCTAAACGTGCATCTTTCACCACGACTGAGCGTCATGTAATTGAAGGTGATCAATTCAAATTCCAATATCTTACTGCCACCGATAAGAGATTGATGAAAATCCAGAATGAATTCGATGTAAAATTAAAGTATGACACTAAAGATCAGAGTATCATCTACAATGGTCAACACACCAACATCAAGCTAGCCAAGAAACATATTAAATCGATAGTTAAAGGTTTGAAGATGGAAAGATACGATATATCGTCATACCTTCTTTCAATCAATCGTCTGGTTGAACTTAGAAAAGAGTTGAATGAGAAATTCGATGTGGAAATGGCATACACCGAAACTAGAGATCATATTATTGTCATTGGTCAGTCACTATCTACTTCTTGGGGCGAAATCAAGGGATTACTCGATAGTCTGGTTCCAGTTGAGGAGATATGGCCTTCGATGGAGGATGAACCAATTAAGAACCATATGGATTTCGAAGAGAGTTTCTTGGAGTCCAACAATATTCTGAAGATTAAGTACTTGAAAGATCAGAAACGATTCATGGTCTTTTGTAAGAATCAAGCTGAGATGGACGATGCCATTGAATCTTTGAATGATATGATCAAGAATCAAGTGAAATTCACAAAGAGAATGGATGTTCGTTCCAACTACCATTGGATTCTCGTTACAAGATTCGAGTTGGCGCAATTCAAACAACTTCAATCGAAGCATCCAAAAGTAAAGTTTACAGAGAAGGATAAATCAATTCAAATGAGTGGAGTGAAAGAAGATGTTCTACCTGCTTACGATGACCTACACCAATGGCTTTCAAAGTTAGTATTGGGTATCACAACAGTCAGACAATCCATTCCGAATCCAGTTGCTCTTGAACTGCTCAAACCAACATTCTACACCTATTTCCTTGATAAATACAAGATGTTGATCCAACAGAATGTAGATTCCAATGAAACATTGATTTCAAAGAAAGTTAGTGAAACAATCTTTGAAGTGAATCGTGGTGACATTCTTTTGGAAAAGACAGATTGTATTGTCAATGCTGCTAATGAACAGCTCCAACATTACGGTGGTATTGCTTCACAGATTGCCGAAGCAGCCGGTCCAGAGTTCCGTAAGCAATGCTCGGATTGGGTGCAAAAGAATGGACCTGTTCTTACTGGTAAAGCGATGGCAACTGCTCCAGGTCGTCTCGATTTTAAGCTGGTGATTCATGCAGTCGCTCCAATTTGGGACAGTAAGAAAGTCAGTGTCTGTCAAGATTTATTGAAGAAAGCAATCGACAGTAGTCTCAAATTAGCTGTTCAAAACAAATGTTTTACCATTTCAATTCCGGCTATAGGCTCTGGCATCTATGGTGTTCCAAAGTTAACATCTGCCAAATGTATTATCGACTCTACTTTGAATTTCATCAAAGAAAATCCTGGCAAGATCTACAAGATCATCTTTTGTGATCGTGACGACGAAGTTCTTAAGCATCTCTATGAGTATCTTGACAAGAAGACAACCTCAATTCTTACCAATATCATCCAATTGTTTTCCAAATCAGAGACAACAGAAAACAAGGCAGTTGGAATTACAAAAGGTAGTACAGAATCATCAACCTCTACTTCAACAACTTCAACAACTTCAACATCAACAACAACTTCAAAAGCAGAACCATTCAAATATTCAAATGCAACATTTGATCCAATGTATCAATGGAAATGGCAAGAGAATGATGGTAGTTTTATTTCGTTCGATCCAGATCAAAACTATCAGATTGAAATTGCTTTCCTCAAGAAGGAAAAGAAGTTGGAAGTCCAAGGTGATCTAAACATGCAAAAGAATGGTGAAAAATATCTCATTGATTTGGTGAATATGACTGAAATGAACACCAAATACATGAGAAATTTACGACCAATCAAAAGAACCTTGATGAATGCCAAGAAGCAATATGGATGGTATTATTTGAGTGCCGGAGGACAAAAAGTCTACCTTCAAGACATTGGGAATCAAATTGGTTTGGCGTTTGAAAGATCAATGAAAATTCGTATCAACAATCCAGATGCAACAATCAATTTCCCAGAATCAACTATTTCATTGTATGTCAACAATAGAATAACCAATACATTCCGTTTACATCAACGATCGTATGAAGAATCGTTCAATGACTATGTTGAAGCCACCAAACCAACTCAAAGAACCATGGAAGTTGGCAACAATGAAGATAGTACAGTTTCAGAGATGGAACCAACTCAAACTATTCTGATTAGTTGCCCAAATGAAGAATCTTCAAAGAGATGTGTTGAATACTTAAAGACAGAGATTGAGAGTAATTACCATGAGAAGAGAATTGTCCAGATTACTTCAGCTCAATATCAACGTTTGCAATCAGAGCTCAACAAGATTGCAACAAATCATCATTGTAAAATTAAAGAGAGTAAAGATGTAAGGTCGAACTGGATGGACCAATTCAATATACTTTGAATGCAGAGAACAAGATGATGAAACTATTGTTTTCCAATGTACCCGATACCTCCATAGATTATCCATGGGGTACGCCTGGCAAGAAGAACTTGGAGATTGTTTCATTGGTGCAATCATCCGATGAGTGGAACAAAGTTTCATCCAGATTCAGAGAAACACAATCCCATACGGTTTACCCGATTATCAAGATCGAAAAGATTCAAAACAATTTGTTGTGGGAGAAGTATTCAACTCGTCGTGATCAAATGGTGAAGAAGATCAATCCTAAAATGAAGAAACAAGAGATCGAAAGTCATGAAATGATGCTTTTCCATGGAACCAGAAACAACGGTCCAGAGCTAATTTACAACGATGAAGATGGTTTTGAATCTAGATATTCAGCAACTGGAATGTGGGGTCTAGCCACTTATTTTGCAAAGGTAATATATTTCATAAAATAGTTATTGATTGACTTATCAAAGACCAATTTTAATTAAAATATCAATATCATCCCATTTTATAGAAAGCATCATATTCTCATGAGTATGCATACAGAAATCCTCGAACTGGATATCCTGGACAACAACCCTATCGACAGATGTTCTTGGCGAGAGTATTGATTGGTGATTGTATCCATCTCATGCCAAACCAACCAAATCTTAAAAAACCACCAAAGAAAGAACAAACCAAAGAATATTCCGAATACTTTGACACTGTTTCTGGTGAGACTCAAGGTATGTTTTGTTTTTTCTATTAATTCCTTCCTCAGTTTACTAATTCTTATTAATTTAACCATATTTTATAGGCAGTTATGTTTATATGGTTTATGAAAATAATCGTGCTTATCCAGAGTACTTAATTACATATCTTAGTGATAAATAATATATATTTGTAGAATACTTGGTCTAACAATAATAATAGTACTTTTTTTTTTTAAATAATAACTTAAAATAAAATATTTTGTAACAATTTCTTTTGTGTGTTATTTATTTATTGGGCACTCAATCACATCAACCAACTTTTTCCATCCATCAGTTTCTAACCCCTTTTTTAAATCCAAAAGTGAAGATTTAAGTTCACTCTGTGATAGCTAAAATTTTTGGTAAAAGTAAATTATTATTATTTTTTAATTTCATTTATCAATTTCTATTTGTTTATAATATTCTTTTTATCTTTTTATATATTTTTATTCATTAAACTATAAAACAATCAAATATTTTATTAAATTTTATTTGTAAAGAATTAATCTTATTTGTATAAAATGAGATTGGAAACTGATACTATGCCAAAGATAGTATTTGAAGATTTTAGAGTCTCAACTTTGAGCTCTAAAATACCAATCAGCTCGACCAAACTACCATCTGAAGTATCTATTGAGAAGTTGTCTCAAATAATCAAAATAATGACTGATTTAGATCTTGAAGATGTCAAACTCAATGATGTAACTAAAACGGTTAGATTTAATTTAAATTCACCCAAAGAATTTGATATGCTAACTGATACTCCAATTAAAATATCAAATCAAATTGTAAGTATAAAATTTTTAATAACTTAATAGAAAAGAGTTTATTAGTTAAATATTAATATTTTTATTTTTAAATAATTTAGATCTCTTTTAATATGTTAAAAGAGAATACCAATGTTTATTTGTATGAAAATGGCAACGGTGTCAGTTTGGTACTCAGTCAATATGATATCAACTTATCATCTGATTTCGATGACCTCCATGTTATTTCCGAAGAACTTGAGGAAATAGAGATTGCAGGTGTCCCATCCAAATTGAAAGTGAAAAATGCCCTGTGTTCAAAGTTTAACAAAGGAATGACCGTTGTCTACAAACTTAGTGAATCAAGTGTCCTTGTTTCATCGATAAGAGCAACACTATTTTGCTTGACCGGTACTGACCAATTCCAAATAATGCCACTTGATGAAACTTCCGGATTTATTTCATTCAAAAGCAAACCAATCAAGACTTCAATCCTTGCCAATAAGAATGAGATAAGTTTGCAGATGAATGAAAATTTATCATCTCATACTACTCCATCCTCAACACCAACCTCTACTTCACCAAATTCCAACTCACCTAATACTCATCTAACTTCTAATCAACAAAAACAACCATCTCAACCATCTCAACCAACTTATTCTAATCCATCGAAATCTATTTCAACAACTCAAGAAAAGACAACTTCAACTACTTCATCTTCTAAATCTAATGAATCCTCTACCAACCAAGCCCCTAAATCCAAAAAGGGAAAGGAAAAATTTGTTGCAACAACCATTGTAGGCAAGAATATGAATGCGTCTGATTTGGAAAAGGTGCTATCTCAGTCGAAATACAAGGTTAAATTCATTACAATTCGGGCCAAAGTTGCTTATATCGAGTTGGATAGAGATTCTCATGCCAAGATTCTTTCCGATGAAGGACTAGAATCTAAAGATGGTTTTAAGTTTAGTTTTAGAGATTTCCAAGGAGAGATTCCTTCAATCATTGCGTACCTCTTCCCCTACAAAGATGGTATGAATCTAAAAGATGTTGCCACCACTATTGAAAAGATCATCAATGTACCTGTTGGAAAGGTTAGATTTGAGAAATCACATTTAATCATCCCACTTTCGTCTTTAGAGGAGAAGAAGCAACTTCTTGATCTTAGAAGTATCAATATCAAGTATGCCAATGTTCGCTCTGAGAGAAGAGAAAGAAAGAAAACAAACGGTCCAAAGTATTCACACCAAGTTTGGATATTCGATAAAGAAGATCAGACAAGAAGAATGGCGTCAAGATTGATTGATGTGCCAGAGTTGAAAGTCAAATTGTTGGAAGGTTCAATGAAAGGTGTTCTCGAACAAATCAACACACAATTCAATGCTTCTATTGAGATTGAAAAGACTGGTGCCAATTATTCATTGAAATTATCATCACCATTAGATAATATCAACGAAGCACAAGAGCAACTCAAACAAAAGATCAACGATATCAAAGAAATCAATTACTTCTTTAGAGTTGACACTGATATCAAGAAGAATTTGTTGTCTTCCACTATAAGCTCTATCTTCAAAGAACTACCCAACAGTAAATCGATTAACTACAAAGTATTAGATAGAAAAGGTCAAGATACTTGGACAATCGATGTTACATTCTCTGGTGCTGACAATGAAGTTATGGATATCCAAAGGTTGTTGAAAGAGGTCGAAGTCGAAGAACATGAGTTACCACCCAAAGGTTTATCTCTGGTTTCAGAGTCAGTCAAGCAAGAGTTTTCAGTTAGTTTTCATCTCGGTGAGAAGTCAATGATACTCTGTGGTGAAAAGAAGAACCTATCCAACTTTAAACAGTGGATTCAATCCAATTTGAAGAAAGACACTCGTGTCGAAATGGAAATGTCGCAAGCCGAACTCTTTTTCTTCCAACGTTTGATCAAATCTGATTTCCATGATGTCGTCGTAACAGAGACAAAGAATGGATTGATTATCAATGGTGATGAAAAGAAGGTGAAAGAGGCAGAAGATCATGTTTTGAAAATGAAGAAATCAATTGAGCAAACTAATTTTTCAAAATCATTTGCAAAAACCCAATTCTTTCAAATTTCTCCTTTTTTGAAAGATTACTTCAAGAATGATATCGTTTACTCTCACTTTGATAAACCTTTTACTAAAAAGACAAGATCAAGAGGAAAGAAGTAAGTTTAACTATATAAATATGTAGATTATTTTATTAACATATTGTATTTCATTTTTATTAGTAATAGATCAACTTCTTCGACATCATCATCTTCTTCTTCTTCATCTTCAGATATCTCATCAGATGAAGATTCAAGTGATGAATATAGTGAAGATGAAGAGCAATTCAAAGAAGAATATGGAGATGTGAAATTTCAATTGTTTATTCACCGCGAACGTGACTATGAGAACCTGAAGAAGAAGGTTGATGCTCTGAAGAACATGAATGAAGGTCGTGCTCATGAACTGAAATCAGTTTCCATCGATGAACAACGATTCATTCTCAAGCATTTCGCAGACAGGTATTCCAATCGTATTAAAGTTGTTCAACATCTAAAGTTAGTTGCTATTCAAGGTCTATGGCAATCGGATGTCAAGAAACTCGTTGCAGAGATTCAATCGAAGCGTGAATCTTTCTCGACTACCGAGCGTCATATAATTGAAGGAGAGCAATTCAAATTCAATTATCTTATTGCCAGTACCCAGAGATTGATGAAAATCCAGAATGAATTCGATGTTCAATTGAAATACGATAAGAAAGACCAGAGTATCAATTATCGAGGAACTCATTCAAACATCAAGAGAGCCAAGACACACATTAAATCGATTGTCAAGAACTTGAAGATGGAAAGATACGATATCTCATCATACCACCTTACAATTCACAATCTAGTTGATCTAAGAAAAGAGCTGAATGAGAAATATGACGTTGAGATGGCATACACCGAAGCTAGAGATCATATCATCGTCGTTGGTCAATCGCTATCTACCTATTGGAAAGATATCAAGTCGTTTTTGGAGAGCATGGTTCCTGTTGATAAAGTGTGGCCGTCAATAGAAGAAAATCCAATTAAAGGTCATCTTGAATTTCCAGTAAGTTTCTTGCAATCCAACAATATTCTCAAGATGGAGTTCTTGAATGATCAAAAACGATTCAAAGTCTATTGCAAGAATCAAACAGAGCTGGACGATGCTATCGAATCTTTGAATGATTTCATTAAAGACAAGGTGAAATTCACAAAGAAACTCGATATTCGACCCATCTACCATTGGAATCTGCTTACCAAGATCGAGGCAAACCAATTCGTTTTCCTTCAGTCCAAGCATGGTAAAGTCAAGTTCGCAGAGAAGGATAAATCAATTCAAATTAGTGGAGTGAAAGAAGACGTTCTACTTGCCTACGAGGATGTTTATCAGCTGCTTGCGAAATTGGTAAAGAATATAATCGTTGTCAAACATTCAGTTCCCAGTCCAGTCGCATTGGAACTGCTCAAACCGACTTTCAATAACAAGTTCCTCGATAAATACAAGATGCTGATTCAACAGAATATAGATGCCAATGAAACATTGATTTCCAAGAAAGTTGGTGAAACAATCTTTGAAGTGAATCGTGGTGACATTCTTTTGGAAAAGACAGATTGTATTGTCAATGCTGCTAATGAACAGCTTCAACATTATGGTGGTATTGCTGCTCAGATTGCCGATGCGGCCGGTGTCGAATTCCGTAAGATGTGTACAGACTTTGTGAAGAAGAATGGACCAGTTCCTACTGGTAAAGCAATGGCAACCAGTCCAGGTCGTCTAGATTTTAAGCTGGTGATTCATGCAGTCGCTCCAATTTGGGATAGCAACAAGGATTTAATATGTAAGACACTCTTAACCAAAGCAATTACAGAGTGTCTTAAATTGGCAATTGATAACAAATGTCTCTCCATTTCAATTCCAGCTATAGGCTCTGGCATCTTTGGAATTCCAAAGCCGATTGCTGCCAAGTGTATTATCGACTCTTCATTGACTTTCATCAAATCGAATCCTGGAATTCATAAGATCATCTTTTGTGATCGTGATGACGAAGTTCTTAAACATCTCCATGACGTTCTTGATAGAAGCACAACAAACCCGTCAACCAACTTCTTCAGTATGTTTGGCTTTGGTTCAACAAATTCTTCAACATCATCTATCAAGGAAGCTGTGGAAACACCGGAGCCATTCAAATATTCAAATGCAACATTTGATCCAATGTATCAATGGAAATGGCAAGAGAATGACGGTAGTTATGTATCCTTCGATCCAGATCAAAACTATCAGATTGAAATTGCTTTCCTCAAGAAGGAAAAGAAGTTAGAGGTGCAAGGTGATATCAACATGCAAAAGAATGGTGACAAATATCTCATTGATTTGGTGAATATGACTGAAATGAACACCAAATACATGAGAAATTTACGACCAATCCAAAGAGTCAAGATGCATGCCAAGAAGCAATATGGATGGTATTATTTGGATGCCAGAGGACAGCAAGTCAATCTGAGAGACGTTGGAAATCAGATTAGCTTGGCATTTGAAAGATCAATGAAAATTCGTATCGAAAATCCAGATGCAACAATCAATTTCCAAGATTCAACCATTTCATTGTATGTCAACAATAGAATCACCAATACATTCCGTTTACGTCAAAAATCCTATGAAGAATCGTTCAATGACTATGTTGAAGCCACCAAACCAACTCAAAGAAATTTGGACATTAATTCAAAAGAAGATGAAGAATCAGATTCAGAGATGGAACCAACTCAAACTATTCTGATTAGTTGTCCAAATGAAGAATCTTCAAAGAGATGTGTTGAATACTTAAAGACAGAGATTGAGAGTAATTACCATGAGAAGAGAATTGTCCAGATTACTTCAGATCAATATCAACGTTTGCAACCAGAGCTCAACAAGATTGCAACAAATCATCATTGTAAAATTAAGGAGAGTAAAGAAGTAATCCAACTGGATGGACCAATTCAATATACTTTGAATGCAGAGAACAAGATGATGAAACTATTGTTCTCTATTGTATCTGATGGTTCAATTAAATACCCATGGGGTAAGCCTGGCAAGAAGAACTTGGAGATTGTTTCATTGGTGCAATCATCCGATGAGTGGAACAAAGTTGAATCCAGATTCAGAGAAACTCTATCAAACCAAATTATCAAGATCGAAAAGATTCAAAACAATTTGTTGTGGGAGAAGTATTCAACTCGTCGTGATCAAATGGTGAAGAAGATCAATCCTAAAATGAAGAACAAGAGATCGAAAGTCATGAAATGATGCTTTTCCATGGAACCAGAAACAACGGTCCAGAGCTAATTACAACGATGAAGATGGCTTTGAAACCAGATTCTCAGCAAATGGAATGTGGGGTCTAGCCACTTATTTTGCAAAGGTATGTTGTTGAATTCATTATATCTTAATCAAAAACCTTCAAACTAAAATCATATCTTTTTCAAGAATGCATCATATTCTCATAACTATTCATATTCATACACGAGCACTGAAGATAGTACTAGTATATTATACAAAGTAAAAGCCAGGGAGCAACCACAGCGACAGATGTTCTTGGCGAGAGTATTTATTGGTGATTGTATCCATGTCATGCCAAATCAACCACTTAAAAAGCCACCAAAGAAAGAGACATCCAAAGAATATGCTGAATACTATGACACTGTTTCTGGTGAGACTCAAGGTAAGTTTCCAATTTTATAGTAATGATTTGATTTCAAAAACAAATTAAACTAATTCTATTAATAAATATTTATAATTATAGGCAGTTATGTTTATATGGTTTATGAGAATAATCGTGCTTATCCAGAGTACTTAATTACATACTCTTAAGAATTGCAATGTTGGAGTGTTTAAGTTTTTGTTTTTTATTATTATTACTATTTTATTATTATTTTATTATTATTTTATTATTATTACAAATTTAGAAATAAAAAAATTGTTAACATGTTTAACCAAAAAACTTTTTTCTTAATGTTGGTTTACTTGTTGTTTTTGGGTTATTTGGAGTTTCCCACCAGCTCTTACCCTCTAAACAAATCAAATCAGCGGGGTATAACTTGAAATCTGGTGACTCTATATAACGAATGATCTCAATGACCGATTGACTTCTAAGATCCAACTGGGCGATTTCCTCTACGGTAAACCATTTCGATTGGAGTGAATGTTCATCTTCCGTTGTTTTTGTAGGTGGATAATCACCTCCACTCCAGACAGGACTACACATGAAATAGACAAGCATTCTACTTGGCCAAGAACCAAATTGAGGTGAATTAAGTATTTTGATTATGCCATCTATTTTAACATCTACACCAGATTCTATATATATTCAATTGAATAACCATGTCAATTAGTTAGTTGATTTAATAATTATGTAAATACATTAGACCATTCATTTTCTTTATCTTTATTACCTTCTTTAGCTTCTCGCAGTGCTGCTGCTTGGAAAGTCTCTCCCCTTTCAACTCTTCCTGCTGGATTAAACCACTGTATAGTTGTAAATACCTTAAATTCAATCAATTATTCATTTATTAGGTAGAATGGATAACTTACACTATGATCCCTCTCTTGTACTAAAAGATATTTATTATTATGTTTTACAAAGGTCAAACTAACATTGACTACCTTTCCAATTTTATCATCTTGTTGTTGAGGTTGTTGTTGTTGAGGTTCACTCTGCTTTTCTTTATTATCTGTTGACATACTATCTAACTAACATTATGTTTTTTAAAAAAATAAAAGTGTTTAATTAAAAAAACAATTTTCTTTTTTGTTTCTGTTTGTTTTGCAGTAAAAACTATTTTCAATGAAAATGATCGATATCAGATGATCAAAAAAGACATTAATAATATTGGAATTTATTAGAGCAAAAACAATCTAAATATTCATCAAATCTTCAATATCACTGAACTGTTATCTTTGTTAATTCTAAAACTAAAATATCAAAACAAAAATAAGGATAATAGAAAGAAGAAAAAGAAAAGAAAATAAGTAAGATTTACTCTAAGAGTGATTGAGTTTGTTTGTTTGTTGCGTTGTGTTTGCTTATTTGTCGACAGTTTTAGAAATATATATATATTATTAAAATTTATATATACCTCTGATTGGAACAGGTTTTATTTGTTGAATTGGAACAAACTTCTTTTGTAGTACTCGATACATAAAGAGGCCGTATATGATCAATGCAAAGGTGACAATGAAGTAACCGTCGTGCACTGTTTCAAGCTTACCACCGAGTTGTCGGCATTGCTGGATGATCTGTTCACTGATACCCTTATATTTAATGGTTTCTCCATTCGGTATTTTACAAATATTCTTTGAGAAATAATCTATTAAATATAAAACTGGAAACTTTGGCCATGTTCCACCCATATTTGAAACTAAAAGTGGTATTAGTAGAGTTTGAAATTAGAATGAATCAACAATCAATAACAATAATAATAACAATAATCTAACAATATGTTATTTACACACATACCTGTATTCAGCAATGTAAGATAAGTTCCACCAATAGCTTTATCACTTATCTTTAAAAAGAATGAACCTTGTGCAACTTGCATTGTTGTTGAAACGAATGAACTGAACAGTGAAATCGATAGTAATAATAAATAATAGAACCAACCTGTTTGAAAATTACTTAGTGCTATCATGTTTAAAGATACAACTATAATACCAAGCAAGTATGCGTTGGTCCACTGTTTTATGTTGTTAACAAAACAATTAGTTAGTGTAAATGAATAAGTTTTTAGATAGAACATTTGTTATTATTTTGATTACTTACCAATGATAATGGTTTATCTTTTATCATTTTACTTGATATCAAAGAAAATAATAATGTACAAGGGAATTGAATGATTGAAAACGATGCCAAATCCTCTTTCTTCATTCCTTTCTCCAAGAGACGTAGAGACAATGCATCGTTCGATTGAAAAACTATTTTACAAGTTAAAAATAAGATTGATAATGTTTGGATATGAGGCAGTGTAATGATTTTCCATAGACTCTTATAGATTTGAATGGGTGCCATTTTCGATGAGATATCCTCGACGTCATCCGACCGATCTTCAATAGCGTCGTGTTGTGCTAGCTGTTGTTGATAGTCATGAGTATGGTGATCCTCTATCTTCTTGTTGGTAGCGGCGAATGTCGGTGAGGAAACCTCTGAGAAGACATCCGAGTCGGACTGTCGATCCTCCGATTTCGAAACGGCGAGATAAACACTTATGAGAATATACGCCAATCCCCAGAATACAAAGTAGTTGCTGAGTGTCAGCACACCGGTGTCCTGCGGTGTGATTCTCAGGTATTTATTGGAGAACTCTGCAGAGTTCAGCGCCAGGAAGATGGTGTACGACATGAAGAATCCAGAGGTCAGTCCAATGGTCTGGCAGGTCGAGGCGTAGTGTAGATTCTGCTTGGAGAGAATGGTGAGTGCCCAGCCATCGACGGCAATGTCTTGGGTGGACATCAATATGATGAGGAAGAAAAAGAGCGCCACCAGTGACCAGATCGTCTCCTTGGCGTTCTCAATCATCTGCTCGATGTGCATCGACAACAGGAGAAATGTGACACCGGCCATCAGCTGCATAGGAACGATCCATGATTTACGCCGACCAAACTTTGGCCAGTAGATACTGTCGACGAACGGAGACCACAGAATCTTTAGTGAATAGGGAAATCCTGAAAACGAGAATATACCGATCTGAGTGTAAGTGGCACTCTTGTGCAATAGAAAAGGTATAGTAGAGAATGCTAAACCAACCGGTATACCTTGAAAAAGATCTATAAAAATAGTTGTTAACTAGTTAGAACTATTGTTGATTCCGATTCCTCTACTTTTATTTTAGTCACACACATATATGTTTAAAAACACATACATAAAACTATTAACCAAATTATATTTGATGTATCATTTCCAAATTTCCGAAAAAGAAAATGTTTAACTGTTAAAATCATATCTATATTTCAAAGTTCCTAATTAGCTATTATACTATTATATTTTATGTTATGTCTACTACTACTACTTCTACTCTTTAAAAACAAATTTAGATTGATGTACTACAAGTCATACTATTACACATAAACATAAATATTTTAATAATTTCTAAAATTAACTTTTGTTAATGGAAAAAACGAATAATCATGAAATGAATGCTTAGCAGACCAACCAACTGTTTTTTTTTTTTAAGTTTTTAATATTTTTAATTATTTTTGGAAAATTCAATCAATTCATTTGTTACATACAACTAAAAAAGGAATTATTTATAATTTGACTTTTTTTTTTTAAAGATTTTGATTTGAACTTCAAACTATTTGAAGTATTTATATAAAAATATGTTATTAAGTAAGGTTATAGAATAAAGTTATATATATAAGTTTATAAAGTTATGAAATGATATTAATATTGATTGTTAATAGGTGATGCACTGTCTTTGATTGTTGTCGGTATGGTTTGGGGATGTACAAATCCACTGATAAAGAGAGGAAGTGAAGGTGTATCATCTGTAAAGAAAGATAGTGCAATTGGTCAGTTCATTGGAGAGTTTGTATATCTATGGACAAAACCAAAAGTAAATATATATATTTTTATAAGTAGTGACACAAGTAATACAACAACAACGGTTATATTAATACTAACACACCTTACCTTCTTCATCTATCTTATCTTGTTTGAATAAACAACACACAGTATTTCATACCAATGTTAATTAATTTAAGTGGATCAATAATATTTTTTTATACTTTAAGACATATGGGTATGTTAATAGATTATAGATACAATTGTCAAACAAATAAGATTTTTATTACTAAAACTATTTTAACTATAGATATTTCACTTGTTGTACCGGTATCGAATTCATTGACTTTCTTATTTACGGCATTCACTGGAATGCTACTGGGTGAGAAAACACTAGGTTTGAGTAAGTATCATCTTTGTTATTATTATTGTTGTTATTCATAGATAGACAAGTGCTGTCAGGTTTTAATTTCTAATTATCAGAAAGAGAGGAAATGATGTTGTTTTACTATTACACAATTGTTTACCACTAAAATGAATGAATTATAATTATAAAATAAAACGATCGAAATTTAACTAATGAAACATCATCATTCTAGAATCTTATATAGGTATGATATTTATTATTTTAGGTGTATCAGTGTGTGTATCAAGTCAATAGAGAATAAGAATAAAATAGAATAAAATAAAATAAAATATATTTATAACACACACACACAAGGAATCATTGGAAACAATGACAACAACACAAAAATATTTCGAAGATTCTTTTTTTTTTTTTTTTTTTTTTTAACACAAAAAAAACACCCAAGTTTCTTTTTTAAATTGCACATTTAAATTTATTTTTGACATTCAAAAGAAGATATAAATATAATCAAAAAAGTTATTTTAGTTATCAATCAAAATAGAATAAAATAAATAATTTATATATTTACAAACATATATCAATATAAAATATTAGAATGTCCGAATTATCAGCAGCTATTAGACAACTCATTCAAGCACACAAGTTGGTTGTCTTCTCAAAGAGCACTTGCCCATATTGCATTCGTGTGAAATCATTGTTAACCAAGCTTGGACAACACCCACATGTCGTTGAAATCGACCAACTCCCAAATACCTCCGAATATCAAAGAGCTCTCAGCACCATCAGTAACATCACAACCGTTCCACAAGTATTCATCAATCAAAAGTTCATTGGTGGATGTACAGGTATGTAAATCATGTGATCACAATATAACCAAAAAAGAGTGATGCTTAAACTAAACTAATCAATCTTTACTTTACTTTTTTTTTAAAAATTTTAGACACAGAGAAATTGAACGAACAAGGAAAACTTTTACCTTTATTACAATAAACCAATTTAGTTAAAATTGTTGTTTATTTTTATTATTATATTTACAAGTTAGTTTCTCTTTATTTTGCTTTTTGTTTTTTTTTTTTTTTTTTTTGATGGAAATGATTGATGATTAACTAATCATCTTCTTCAAGTGTTGGAACATCATATACCTTTGCTTTGGTTATGTTGGATTTGAAATCTTTTTTGTTGTTGTTGTTGTCGTTGTCAAATTCTTTCTTCAACTCTTTTGCTTGTTGTTTGGTAGAGTTTGTATTCATCTTTAGATCGTTGTTGCTACTCATATTCTTACCGAATGCACGCTTTTCGATCTTCTCCTCAATGTCCCTCTCGATCTTCTCCTCGATTGCCTCTACCAATTCGTCCTCCAACTCTCTCTCAAGTTCGATCTCTTCCAATCTTTTTCGCTCTTTAGCTAAACGCTGATTTTCAATTTCCTTCTCCAGTCGTTTCTTCTCCAATTCCATCTCCATGAGCTTCTTCTCCTCTTCTTGTTCCATGCGTTTCTTCTCGGCTGCTTCCTCTGCCAAACGTTTCTTGGATGTCTCCTGTGCAAGTCTCTTCTTTTCTGCCTCCTCAGCCAAACGTCGCTTCTGTTCCATTTCCATTCGCTTCTTCTCTGCTTCAGCTTGTTTCTTTTTCTCGGCTGCCGCCAATCTCTGGTTCTCGGCTGCCTCTTCTTTCTCAACGAACTCCTCTAATCCATCTTTAGCAAGCTTGCCATCATTCATTTGCTTCTTTGAGACTGCCTCCTCCAATTCCAATTCCTTTGATTCGATTTCCTTCTCCACCTCCTTCTCTAGCTCAAAATCGAATTGCTTCTCAATCTCTTTATTAATCGATGTACCAGCAAGACTTGTTTCCATTTCCAACTTTGCCTCTGCACTTCTAATTTGATTTAAAATCGAAATTTCCTTCTTCAACTCTTTCTTTAGTTCATCAATCTTGCTCTCCAACTCGACGGATTCCTCATCTTTTTGTTGAATTGGTTGTGGATGATCATTATGTTTCATTGTTTTCGATTGATCCTGGGCATGAACTAAAATAATTAAAAACAATCAAAAATATTAGTATTTAAAGATATTATGAAAATAAATATTATTTTTAAGCTTACTTCGATAATATTGATTAATACAACCATCAGGTAAAAATGGTACTAAATGCTTCAGAGCTCTGGTAATTGCAGATTGACCACTCGATGTTTTATTCCAGATATGGATCATATTGAAATCCATCCCAGATTTCTTTCGAATGGAAACACCACATATATCATCATCAGAATTTAGATATGAACTAAATTGCTCACCAATGACAGATAATACTAATTCATTCCAAATTTCGTCACTATTAAAAAGATTTTTATTATAATTTTAATATTAATAATCCAACTTTTGTAAATATTTTTATCTACATACGTAAAATATTTCTTTACTTTTAAAATTAAAACTCCACCATTTTCATTCTCTGGATCCTCCCTTAAATATAAATAATAATAAAAAAATTAGAATAAAAAAATATTTAATATCAATTCAAACTTACCAAATGGGTCGTACATCTTTTTTCATTAAATGAAAACAAGAATTGTTTGGAACTTTTGACAAATGAGGTAATTTATTAAACTCAGTCCAAAATCCCTAAAAATATAGTATTTAAATTCAAAATTATAAATTTGTTTTAATTTTATTATCAATATTATCATAATATTTACTTGAACTGATGAAAAAGATGAAATTTGCTTCAATGAAGCCAAATATTCTTCTTGAGTAGCTCTTTCTCCGTGGTTTATATAATGGTCTTCCCAAAAACTCCATCCATTTTCAAGTGGCAATATTTGCTCCTCTTCTTTTTTCTTTTCTTGAGCTACAAACTTTACTTTATTCTTTGACTTATCCTCCCTATTTAAGGAAGTGTCTTTAAGAATTTGTACTTGACACTCTTCAACTTCCATTTTTTTAAAAATTATATTGATTTATTAATATTAAAAAAATTTTAAAAAAACACTTATAAATATTTATTTAATTATTATTCACTAATAAAAATTTAAAATTTTATCAAAACAAAGAAATAAAATAATTATTAAAAGGTTTTAAAATTTGAATATATTTAAGATCTAAAGGGACCTTTTGTTTTTCAATTTTTGTTTCTAAATACAGTCTGGAATTAACACAATATCGGATGAAAAGAAAATAGTTGGCTTTCGATTTATTAGGGCAATGAGGACCAAAAATTGGATCTTGATCTTTTTTTCATTTTAAAATAAATAAACATTAAACATGTCTCCTATTGGATCTGGATCCAAATAAGATGGAAAAAAAAACAAAATTTTAAAAAAAAACAAAAAAACCGAGTTTTTTTTGCAAAAGACCCACAACCAATTTAGGTTTTTGCAGATTGAAATAGAAATAATGTTTATTTTATTGTAATATTATTTATTGTCTAGACATTATTTGAATATTAATAATTTTTGAGTATATAATTTTTTTTAATAAGGGAAGATGATTTTTTTTAAATATATTTATTACAATGATTCATTGAAGAAATATTCTAAATCGATTTGAAGGAATTGACGTTGATAGGCAGGGATGATTGGAATGACCGATGGGTCTTGACTGGCAACTGAAACATACATTTGGTTGGCTGTGAAGTCGTAGACTGCTGCATGGAGATCTCCAGTTTCAGCAAGACCAGTGATATCGATGTAAGTTTGGACGTTGATTGCTCCGTGTTGCTTCTGTAAAACTGAGGAGAGACAAGCATCGTTGCTTGGTTGGACGTGTTTATCGATGTAAACAACTTCGGGAATTAATGGATGAGCAGCTGGCTGTGGAGCGAAAGCTGGGAATGGTGTTTGGTCGTCGAAAACACGTACGACTTGGTGTGAGTATTCGACAGCACGGAAATCGTTGGTGGTGTTGGAACCGAGACCAACATAGATGGAGCAAGTACGGTGAGCGTTGTAAATACGATTCAAAGCATCGTCGATCGAGCTGTCGTATTGGAGAATGTCACGGAGTAGGAAATGCCATGGGGTACCGGAACGGCTCGATGTTCCGTTGTAGGCAAACCAATATTTCTCGCAAATAGCGGTTCTCTGTGAGTATCCAGTCATGGTTCCGATGAAACCGGCCCATGCCAACGACGAGAAAGTGTTTCCACCGTCGGTTGGATGTGAAACAATAACGACTGGATGGTAACGGAGTGGTGCTTCTGGGTTGAAGTCGAGAGCACGCAATTGTAAAAGTCCACTGTTGGCAGTAGCTCCACCCCATGCACCAATCATGGAACAGGCAGCCTTGATCAACTCTGGGAACATGTGGAGACGAAGAACGGTCTTGTATGGAATACCACTACCGTCGGCCAAACCTTGCATCTCATCAAAGAAATGTTGTGGAGTAAAATCCTTGGTGAGGACAGCAGTCAAATCGAGGGCTGCTCCAATTCCAGCCTTTTCAATGAGATCTACGAATTCCAATGGCAAGTAGTCAGCGTACTTCTTGACCAACTCGTTGACCATCTCAGTAATGAATCCAAAGAAATCTGCATAGACATTGTCGACTTGTGCTTTCATGAGAGAACCATGTGCAAAACCACGTTGATAAGCTGTACCATATACATTCAAAATATTGACTAGATTGTCAGAGGGACCAGTTACATAGAGTTTACCATGGCTACTGGTATTCACTAAAACTGCTGCCTCTGTATATATTGGATATGGATTTGGTGAACCTGAACACTGAGCATTCACGCCACCACTATAAAATATTGAAAAAATAAATAAAATTGCGGAAAGATATATTACAATTTTCATTTTACTATGAAATTATAATTATTTGTATATGGATAAATAAATATTATTAAAAATAAAAATAAATAAAGAAAAAAAAAAGGATTTCTAAATTTACACCAAATTGTTGATTAAATTTAATTGAATCAATTTAAAATAAATTTAATAGTATTAATTTGATTTGTGTTGATGCGAAAAGGAAGAACAAAAAGAAAATGTAGATATTATTTGTTGTTGAAAGATAAAAAAAAAAAAACAAAAAAGTGAGGATGATTTTTTTGCTACTGCTGGAGTTGAGCTTGCTGGGTGTAAAGAGACAAGCAGATGTTGCAGCGCGGTCGAAGAAGTTTTGGTGGGAATTGGATGATGAAGGATGAATATCTTTTGTTGACGTTAGGTGAGTGAATGACGAGAATTGTGAAACTAGAATTGACAAACACAATTGCACTAAGATATTAATTAAATTTCGATGGAGAAAGAAAACAAAAAAAGAAATTAAATTTGAATAAAAAAAAGATTTCTGAAATCAAAAAAAAAAAAAGATATATCATTTATTTTTTTTTAGATTTACTCAAAAACATTAACCAGCAAAGTGAAAGTGGTGGTAAAATTGATGAAAATTTTCGATTTTGGTCCACATTCAAAAAAAAGTTTCGAATCCTTCAGATGATCGAGCAAAAGGTTAATGGGAACTTAGATGAAAAAAAAAAAAAATGAAACTTTGTTTTTGGAGATTTTTTTTTTTTTTGTTCATGATTACTGATTATTTTTACCTAGGTAAAGTTTACTAATAAGAGTTCGTAGATTAAGATCATTACAGTAAAAATAACAAGAACAATGATTGTCCAATATTACCTTTTTGTTAGTATTTTTTATTTTTATTTTTATTTTTTTGGCACCAAGTTCTATGTTTTCTCATCCTTATAGAGTCTCAATCAATTATTAACCTTTCTAAATATTTAGAAATATAAATGAATCATTGGTAATATGTTTGAAATTTTATGAATATATATTCCAAGTACAGCCATATTTATCTAAACAACAATTCTCCATCATAATTTGAGAAAATAATGAACCCAGGTGACCAGGTTGTTAAAAAAAAAAAAGAAGGTGTGCAGTTTTGAACAAAACAAAATCTTGATCATTTTTTTTAATTTAAAAAAATTAAATTAAAAATAAATAGATATCATATTATTTAGATATATATATTTTAAATTATAAATATATGTTAACAATAAGATATATTATTTCATAATAATAATAAAAAAAGATAATAAGAATAATAATGTCAAGTTTTAAATATCTAGGTATTGTAAATACGATCAAGAGAAACATTGGTTGTACAAAATATATAAATAACAACAGCAGCAGTAGTAATAGTAAATTTAGACATATATTAAGAAGCAGCAGCAGTAGTAATAGTATAGTTTGTTGTATTAGTAGTAGCAACAACAATAAAAGATATTTCTGTACAAATCAAATAAATGTTAATACATCTTCTTCTTCTTCAACTTTAAATAATGAAAATGATAAAAAAGAAAAAACAACAACAACAACACAAACAACATCGACATCGACAACAACTACTACTTCAGAGGAGAAACCAAAATCACAATGTTGGTGTCTAATCAATTGTAAATTAGAATCAAAGAGAATACATGTATCTAAAGTTAAACCTATTCCATGTATGTTTTTAATGTTACAGATATTATTATTGATAATTTGATTATTTTGTTAACAATAATTGTTAATGATAACGATATAACAATTTACAATTTAGATGAAAACGATAAAGGATATGTTCTTGGTGAATATAATATAAATTATGAATCACCATTGTGTGAATCGAGAAAGCAGGTATTGGATGTTCTGGTGCGTGAGAAGGATCAATCGATTCAAGAGCAACTGCTAGAGTCACAGCAACAGAAGAACGACGAAGAGAAGGAGAAGGAAGAAGAGAAAAAGCAGACAAAGAGTTTGTTCAAGACCGAAGAGGAGAAGGAGGAGGACGATCGTGTCTACCCAGTACTCAACGATACCACCACTTCCATCGGACCGTGTCACATCCTCTACAAGAACGAATGGATAGTAACCGTTGTAGAGAGAACTGAAACCGATAACAAAGATAATGAACCTTATTTTGTATTAAAATTAAAAGTAAGTTTATTTATTTATTGTAAAAAACAACAGTTATTATTATTATTATAATTATTATTAAAAGTGTTAAACCGAACTTTTACGAACTAATTAACATTATTATTATTAGACACCTATTAGATTAACAAATGATCTATCGTTTAATATTGAAAGTCTATCGTATTTCTCGTCGATTGAGAAGTTGTTGTCTTTTACCAAGTCGGTGGATTGCAGCGATAAGGAATTCGAAAAGTTGTTCTTGACAAAGTCCGATTCGAAATGGACGAAACAAGAGACAAAGTGGCTGGTTGAGAAACGGCCTTTCTTGAGAGAGGCATTGATGTCGTTGAAGCTGCATCTGTTGCCATCGGTCGGATTCAACAATTGCGGTATCAATTTGGAGTTGAAGAAAGAGGATCGTGTCAAGTGTAAACAAGATTCATCGCTGGAGTTCCCCGATGGTGTCTATCAGCTGTGTCTGGAGATCGACAGTACCGAATCGATTTGGAAGAAGAACCCAGAGACCATCGAAAAGATTCTTTACCTCTACACCGTCATGTTTGACAGTTTAGCATCTATCAACTATATAGATGATGCACCAATAGATCAAGTTTATCTATAAGATAAAGATAAAGATTAAAGATAAGATAATAACCAAAACAAACAATATATGTTAAATATAACTTAAAAAATTAAAAACTAAAAACTAAAAAACTATAAATCTTAACAAATATATGTATACAAAAATTTTAAAGATTATGATAATTATTGGATGGATTAGATAGATATATATACAACCATTGTTTTTCTTTATTAAATTAATAATATTACTTATTATGTTAAAGTTGCTTTTAAAGATTGAATTAATCTTGATGGGTAGATTCTTTTTGATTCCCAGAGTTCTAAAATTAATTGAGTTTGTTGTATTATATTGGTTTGATCTTGTATCGATTTGAAAATAGCTATTAGATATGGTTCTATTAAATCTGAAACTGCATCTTGTTGATCTATTTGTCTTCTTCTTATTAAACTAATTTAGATAGAAACAGAGTTATTAGTAAAAAGTGGAAATATTTATTTATGTTTGAATCAATAAACATAATGACATACCCAAAACATAATAAATCATGTAATAAATATAATAAAGAAAGTCTAAGATATGAATTGGTTCTTGTATCTTGGAAACATTGTAATATAATGGACATGATTGATTTTCCGCATCTGAAATGTAAAAGCACCCAATCTTTTGCTTCTCTAATCGATTTATAGGTGGATGTCAAGTGATCTAATATATAATTCAATTGAATATTCTCCTCTGGTAACATATGATCGAATGGTGGATATGATAGTGTTTGACTTTTCTTATAAATTAACTAGTTTAGTATTAACAAATACTATTAGTAACTTGTGTTATTTAAAAACTATAATAATATTACTTACATCATTTGATTCATAATCATTATTATCATTATGAGTGTGATAGGATGATGAGTAGTATGGTTGTTGTTGTTGTTGATGATGATTATCGTAGATCGATGACATTGGTCTACTAATGTTACCGTTGGACGACGCTATATTTGACATTGGTGGTGAGGATGTTGGTAAATGACTATTTCTTACAGGTGGTGATGAAGATGGTGGTGTTGTAACTGTATTTGTATTGCTAAATTGTTGTGAATGAGTTGATGGAGGTGAAGAAGAAGGTGGTGGAGGAGGAGGAGGAATTGATGTTGAAGTAATATTATTATTAGAAGATGTTGTTGTAGTTGTAGGTGAGCTTGTTGTTGTTGTTGTTGTTGTTGTTGGTGAAGTTGTTGTATTATTTGAAGTGTTTAAAGTATTTAAAGTCGATGCTGTTGCTGTTGGTGATGTAGTTGTTGTCGATGATACTGAAGTTGTTGTTGTTGTTGACTCTGTTGCTGTTGCTGATGTTGTCGTTGAGGATAAAGGTGGAGATGGTGGTGGAGGTGGAGGAATCGGTGTTGGCAATGGCGTAGTTGCAATGAGCCCAGGCATCTTTGCAAACGATTTGATGCTTGCCCAGTTGCATTTAATACGATTGCCTTTGAAGTAGGTTCCGTTGGTCGCTTTGATAGCGTTGTCAGCAAAGTCGTGCTCCGTATACTTTATGAATGCACATCGACCGTCTATCTTTATCGATTCGATCTTACCATACGGTGAAAAGTAGATTCTGATCTCTTCATCGCTGACATCGACCGGAAGATTACCAACCCAGATCTTTGAAACCTCTTGAGTGACAATCAACTGTGTAGTTGTATTCGCAGCAACAGCAGCAGCAGCATTGGTATTAGCTAATACCACACCACCATTTACCGAAGCAGTTGCAACATTCTGTTGTTGCTGTTGTTGTCTAAAGAAAAGTTGTTGTTGTTGTTGATTTTTATAATAATCTTTGCATTTGCATTTGCATATATAACCAAAAATGTTAATATTTTTAAGATTTTTATTTTTGTTTTTGTTTTTGTTTTTAACATTTACCATAGGTAGTGGGAGATGTCGGTGGTGGTGGATATGCTGTGTAATATGGATGATGTATTAGATGTGCTGTTGTTGGTTGGTGTGTAGTAGTATTCAAAGATGGATGTGTATGTGTATGTGGATGTGGAGGTGGTGGAGGTGGAGGTGTTTCTGTTGATGACGATGATGTAATAGGTGGAGGTGGTGGTGGAGGTGAAGATGGTGGAGGTGGTGGAGGTGGTGGCTGCTGCTGCTGCTGTTGTTGTTGTACAACAGCTGTTGAGTGATTCGGATAATATTGCTGTTGATTGATAGGTGTATCATCAATATCCATATCCATTTCATGTGAATTTCCTTCCATTCTTTCTTTTTGTTTTTGTTTTCTTTTTCTATATTTTAATATTATATTATTATATTGTTCATATTATTATAATTATTAATTATCTTATAAATATATATATTGTATATTGAAGTTCTACTATTATGAATCGAATATCTCTTTTTTTCCTTTTTCAAAAAATTTCGTCAATCAAACAAAATGTAACGATTTTTTTAATTTTTTGAAAAACTAAACAATTTTTTAAAAGTTCAACAATCAATTTTCTAATTATAATTACATTCTGATATTATACATATATATTTAACTGTATATATATAATATTAGTTATTGTTTTTATTTAGTTTTAAATTTAGATTTTTTATTTTTATAGTTTTTACATATTTATTTTAAAAATCATGTCAGATGTATTAGCTAGAAATAAACAATATGAATATAAAGCTGTAAGTATATAATATATAAACATTATTACTAATGATAAGCATAACTAATATACTAATGATGTTTTTAATCTAAATATAGAATTCAAATCTTGTTATACATTCAGAGAGAAATCCAAGGGATTTAAGGGAACCCAAAGGAGAACCGGAAACACTATGGGGTAAATTGGGTGGTCAAATGGGAGATAGAGTCAGCTATTCAAAGCCGACAGAGTTACTCGATAGACATCAGCAGTTGAAGCGAAAGAATAACGATAAGGTTGTGGTGGACACTGGTGTTGTACAGAAGAAACAAAGAGGTGGATCGCGTGGCGGAGATGCTTCTGGCGACTCAAATGACCACGCTAGCGGCGGTAGTCATCGTGGAACCAGTAATATTTTGAGTGCAACCGATGTCTACGAAGGATTGTACAGACCAAAGACTAGAGAAACCAAGATTGTCTATGAGCAGTTGCTCAGCTTTGTTCAGGGCTACATCGGTGATCAGCCGCTGGAGATTGTCAAAGGTGCCACCGATGAGATTCTCGCCATTTTGAAGAACGACAAGATGCGTGCACCCGAGAAACGCACAGAGATTACCAAGTTGTTGAAAGGCATGAGCGAGGAGCGCTTTGCCGAGCTGACCAATTTGAGTCGCGCCATCACCGACTATGCAGAGGCGACCGGCACAAGTGGCGTGCGTAACGACAACCTCGACGATCCACACGGTGTCGCTGTAATCATTGACGAAGACGAAGATGAAGACAATCAATCCGATTATGAAATTAAAGATATCGATGAAGATGATGAGGATCAAGATGAAGATAATAATACTGGTGGTGTTGATAAGGATAATGAAAATGACAATAATGGTGAGATAAAGTCAAACGAAAGAGATAACAGTAGTAGTAATGGAAACAACAGTAGTAGTAGCAGTAGTAGTGGTTCACTCAATCCAATGGATATCGATGCATTTTGGATACAGAGAAAGATATCTACCTTTGAATCGGATCCTTTACAATCACAAAAGTTGGCGGAACAAGTATTAAACATTCTCAGACAAAACGATTTGAGAAGATGTGAAACTGACTTGGTTGGATTGTTTGACTTTGAGAGATTCGACTTTATTAAATTATTATTAAAGAATAGAAAAACAAGTAAGTAGTATTTATATATATTAACATGTTATATATATTCCAAGTTTACTAATATTATTATTACTTTAATTTTTTAGTTTTATATTGTACTTTATTAGCCAAGTCAGAAAATGACCAGGAAAGAAAGAAATTGGAAGATGAGATGTCACAGGATTCAGAATTATACAGTTTATTAAATACATTGAAAGGAACATCGATGAAATTGGACTCCAATGGAAATGGTGTCGATAAGAAGAACAATGCTCAGCAGCAAAAGAAAAAGACGGCTGGTATCTCGCCTGACAATATAAAGACACCAAAGCGAACATTGGATCTTGAGGGTTTGAAGTTTCAACAGGGCGGTCACTTGATGACCAACAAAAAGTTCCAATTTCCTGCGGGATCGAAACGTGAGACCTACAAGGGTTACGAAGAGATTCACGTGCCTGCCAAAGTGACACCGTTCGACGATCGTAACGAACGACTCGTCGAGATCAAGGAGTTGCCAGAGTGGGCACGCGTTCCCTTCAAGGGATTCGACAAGTTGAATCGTGTGCAATCGCGACTCTACGAATGGGCATTCAAATCGAGTGACAATCTCTTGTTGTCGGCACCAACCTCTGCCGGTAAGACCAACGTCGCCATGCTCACCATCCTCCATGAGCTCGGAAAGCACATCGATCCAGAGACAGGCGTGATCGACCTCGACTCCTTCAAGATTGTATATATAGCACCCATGAAATCACTGGTACAAGAGATGGTAGCAAACTTTTCCAATCGTTTGGCATCGTATGGCATTGTCGTAAAGGAACTCACAGGTGATCAATCTCTCACCAACAAACAAATTTCAGAGACTCAAATCATTGTCACCACTCCTGAGAAATGGGATATCATTACTCGTAAATCTGGTGAACGTGCATACACTCAATTAGTTCGTTTAATTATTATTGATGAAGTAAGTAAATCAACTCACTTTATAGATATATCTTTCAATTGACTAACTCATTTGTTTTTTTTCTATCTTTTTAGATTCATTTGTTACACGATGAAAGAGGACCTGTTTTGGAGTGTATTGTTGCAAGAACTTTGAGAACAATTGAATCCACTCAGGAGATGGTAAGATTGGTTGGTTTGTCCGCTACTTTGCCAAACTATGAGGATGTTGCCACGTTTTTGCGTGTTAAACCAGAGGGTGTTTTCTATTTCGATTCTAGCTACCGTCCAATTCCATTGGAACAACAGTACATTGGTATCTCTGATCGTGGTATCAAACAGTTGCAACTACTCAATGATATTACTTTTAAAAAGGTAAATGAACGTGCCGGTACCTATCAGATCTTGATATTCGTACACTCGAGACGTGAGACTGCCAAGACTGGTCGTGACATCCGTGATCGCGCGCTCGAAGCCGACATCATTGGAAAACTACTGAAGCGAAAGGACAGCGTTGAAATCTTGAAGGAGGAAGCAGAGAAGACTGCCAAGAGTGCAGATTTGAAAGATTTGCTACCCTATGGTATTGGTATACATCATGCCGGTCTCTCCAGGTCGGACCGTACGCTTGTCGAAGAGTTGTTTGCCGACAACCATATTCAAGTGTTGATTTCCACAGCCACTCTGGCATGGGGTGTCAATCTTCCAGCACACACTGTCATTATCAAAGGCACGCAAGTGTACAACCCCGAGAAGGGATGGACAGAGTTGAGTCCACTCGACGTCACACAGATGTTGGGTCGTGCCGGTCGTCCACCTTTCGATACCGAGGGAGAAGGTATCATTGTAACCTCACAGAATGAACTGCAATTCTATCTGTCGTTGATCAACACTCAACTCTCGATTGAGAGTCAATTCATCAGCAGGTTGGCCGACAACCTCAATGCCGAGATCGTGCTTGGCACCATCCAAACGGTGCGCGATGCCGTCCAATGGCTTGGCTATACCTATCTCTTTATCTGTATGCTTAGAAATCCGCCATTGTACGAGATATCCTACGATGAAATTGCCGAGGATCCCGAATTGGAGCAGCGTCGTCTCGACCTCATTCACACTGCGGCACTCCAACTCGACAAGAATTCATTGATCAAATACGATCGCAAGTCCGGACACTTCCAAACCACTGAGCTCGGTAAGGTAGCTTCGCATTACTATGTCACCAACGCTTCGATGTCTGTCTATCAGGAGCATCTCAAACCAACCATGTCGGACATTGAATTCTTCCGACTGTTCTCACTCTCCTCCGAGTTCAAGTCTGTCGTCGTCAGAGACGGTGAGAAGGCAGAACTCGAGAAACTGTTGGAGCGTGTTCCCATTCCTGTGAAGGAGAGCATCGACGAGCCATCGGCCAAAATCAACGTACTCCTGCAAGCCTACATCTCAAATTTGAAGTTGGAAGGATTTGCTTTGATGGTCGATATGTTCTACATTGCTCAGTCGGCATCGAGAATCTGTCGTGCACTCTTTGAGATTGTCATAAAGAAAGGATGGGCACAAGTCGCCAAGAAGATTCTGGGCATCTGTAAGATGGTCGATCGCAAGATGTGGGCATCGCAATCGCCACTGCGTCAATTCAAGGAAATCACACCAAAGATCTTGAACCAATTGGAGCGTCGTTCCATCCCGATCGAAGATCTCTACGAGTATAATTCACAACAGCTTGGATCGGCCATTCAGAATGCAGCGGAAGGCAAGAAGCTCTACAAATTGATTCACCACTTCCCCAAGCTCGATTTGACTGCTCATGTTCAGCCGATTCTTCGTGGATTGCTTCGTGTCGACTTGACACTCACACCCGATTTCGAATTCGACGAGAAGTATCACGATAACTCGATTGGTTGGTGGGTGATCGTCGAGGACGTCGACGGTGAGAAGATTCTCTACTACGAGTATTTCATGTTGAAAAAGAAGATGATGGAAGAGGATCAAACCATTACTTTCACAGTACCACTGTCCGACCCACTTCCACCACAATACTATGTACGTGTGGTTGCCGACCGTTGGATTGGCGCAGAATATAATCTCTCTGTCAGTTTCAGACATTTAATTCTACCGGAAAAGTATCAGCCATGCAGTAAGCTTCATGATTTGATTCCACTGTCTCTGGATTCACTAAAGGACTCCAAGGCAAAGGAGATATTCAACTTTAAGTATTTCAATGCCATTCAAACTCAGGTGTTTGACTGCCTTTACAAAGGCGATGATAATGCGCTGATTGCAGCACCTGCCAACTCTGGAAAGACAGTGTGTGCCGAGTTGGCAGTGCTCAGAGAGTTGAAGAAGAATCCCAATGCCAAATGTGTATATATTGCACCGATGCAAGATTTGGCGACTCTTCGTTTGCGTGACTGGACATTCAAGTTCCAGAACACTCTTGGAAAGCGTGTTGTCGAGCTCACTGGTGAGCCAATCACCGATAATAAACTACTAGAGAGCGCATCGATTGTTATTGCAACAGCCGAGAAATGGGATATTCTCTCGAGACGTTGGAAGCAGAGAAAGTCGATTCAAAACATCTCGTTGTTTGTCGTCGACGAACTGCATATGATTGGTGGCGGTGCCGACGGTGCCATCCTCGAGATCATCGTGTCGAGAATGCGTTTCATTGCCATTCAAACCGGTAGTCCAATTCGTATTGTTGCGCTGTCATCGCCTGTTGCCAATGCTCGTGATCTTGCAGAGTGGATCGGTGCAACACCCTCGACCATGTTCAACTTGCACCCAGACGTCCGTCCAGTCCCACTGGAAATTCAGATTCAAGGATTCGACTTCCCACACTACAATGCACGTCTGCTAGCAATGGCAAAGCCAACCATCTATGCTGTGAGTCACAATCGTCGAGGACAATCATTGGTATTCGTTCCCACTCGTAAACTTTCGAGATCGCTCGCCAAAGATCTCATTGTCCACGTGGACTCTGAGGATGACATCGACAAGAAGCGCTATCTCCGTTGCTCCGAAGAGGATCTCGAGAAACATCTCCAGAAGATTGAGAGTGTTGCGCTGAAACAAGCGTTGCAATGGGGTGTTGGATTCTATCACGAGGGTCTGACCGCACAGGAAAAGAGAACCGTCGAGATATTGTTCAAGTCTGGCGCTATACAGGTGTTGATTGCCACTCACTCTGTGTGCTGGTCACTGGATGTCTACGCCTCGCTGGTTGTCATCATGGGTACACAACTCTACCAAGGTAAATCGGTGCGTTACGTCGACTATCCAATTAACGACGTTCTCCAAATGATTGCTCGTTCCGGACAACAGGGACGCGATGACGTCGGTCGTTGTCTACTCCTTTGTCACTCACCAAAGAAAGAGTACTACAAGATGTTCCTCAACCAACCACTCCCAGTGGAATCGCATCTCGACCACTTCCTGGCGGACCACATCAACTCGGAGATTGTCACGAAAACCATTGTAAAGAAACAAGATGCACTCGATTACCTGACCTGGACATTCTTGTACCGTCGTTTCACTCAGAACCCCAACTACTACAATCTCACTGGAATCTCACATCTCCACCTCTCCGAACACATGTCAGAGTTGGTCGAGAACACACTGGTCGATTTGGAACAAGCCAACTGTATCACTATCCAAGAGGAAGACGACGGACTCTCACCACTGAATCTCGGTATCATTGCCAGCTACTATTATCTCAAGTATACAACGATCGAGTTGTTTGCATCCTCACTCAAATCCACCACTAAACGCAAGGGAATCCTAGAGATTCTCTCAACCGCACCAGAATTTGCTGAAATCCCTATCAGACACCGTGAAGAGCAACTTCTCCAGCGTATGGCAGCTCACCTTCCACTCAAGATTGAAAAACCAACCTATGGTGAAGCTCATACAAAAGTCAACATTTTATTGCAATCACACTTCTCACGAAAAGCAATCTCTGCCGACCTACATATGGATCTTCAATTCATTCTGGAGAATGCAACCAGATTGCTTCAGGCAATTGTCGATGTTATAAGTAGTTCCAGTTGGCTGAACCCAGCACTGGCTGCGATGGAACTCTCACAGATGTGCACTCAAGCCATGTGGGACAACGACTCGCCACTCCGTCAATTGCCACACATGACAGCCGACCGTCTCGAAGCCTGCAAAAAGGCCGGTCTAGAGTCAATCTTTGATCTGCTGGAGCTGGAAGACAGCTCACGTGACAAACTATTGAGGATGTCAAACAAGGAGATGGAAGACGTTGCAACGGTGTGCAATCGCTATCCAGACATTGAACTATCGTACAACATCCAAGACGAAGACGACATACATGCCGGTGACTCGATGCTCGTCGAGGTGATGGTGCAGCGTGAGGTTGATGAAGAGAGCAACCCCGACCAGCTCAACATTGTATATGCCCCATACTATCCAAAGGAGAAGATCGGTGGATGGTGGGTCATCATCGGTGATCCAAAGACCAATCAACTACATTTCATCAAACGTCTTACCTTTACTGCTCGTGCCAAAGTCAAATTGGAATTCCCGGCACCTGCCATGGGTAAACACCAACTAACACTCTACTTGATGTCCGACTCTTACAGTGGATGCGATCAAGAATATAAACTTGACATCGATGTTAAAGCAGCCAATGTCGATGAAGATGAGGATGAAGATGGTGATCAAAACATGGAAGATTAGATGTGATAAGATCAGATCATAATAAAATTAAAAAAAATAATAAATAAATTAATATTAAAACAAATATTATTATCCAATTCGTCTATTTCAAAATGTGTGTGAATCAAAAAATAGAAATAGAAAGAAATCGATTTCAAAAAAAAAAAAAATAGATCTTCTTTGATCAAAAAAAAAAAAATCATTTCTTTAATTAATCAATCACACAAATATATCATTAATAGTTAGTTATAAGAATGAGTAAATTTAATCAACAAGAATCATATAAATTCTTACAAGAATGTAGGTTAGTCTAGCTCTTATATCAAATAAGTTGGTATTGATTTGTTTATTTGTTACTAACCTGCTCATATTATTTCAAAAGCATGGCAAGTTGCAACTTCAGATAAGAAAAGTAGGTTTATAAGTTTAAAGTCCGCATAAGAAGAAAGAAATCAATTAGCTAATCATATTATAATTATATTAATTAGGAATATTGGTCATTGATGAAAAGTCACATAAATCAAACTTAACTACAACATCGATATTCACAACCGATCTCAAGAAATCATATCAAGCATACAAACAACAGAATTCAGAGAAAAAAGAAAGTACACCTGCTTGGGCTTAATAGCAAGCTATTGCAATAATGGAATTCATCTTTAAATATTAATGGCAGGATTGAAAAGATAGATCATTTGATTGGATCAACCATTAATAATAATAATAATAATAATATATATCTTAAATCGATTCTAAAAATATATATATTTAATTAGATAGATTAACAGATATTATATTATATTATAAAAACAATTTGAAAAGAAAAAGATTAATTTCATTAAATTTATAATCAAATCGAAATCAACCAACAAACAACATAATAAACAAATATTACACTTTTTTGTACATTAAAAATACTGGAGATACTTACTAAATAATATTATATTATATGTATTTGTATGGGCATATTATATATAATCAATTCTTACAAAAGAAATTAAAAGAAGGGTGGGTATGTTTCAATTCATCTCTTTACTTTACTAATAACTTAAATTTGTTACTTCAACAACAAATAATATTATTTCTACTAAACTGTTATACATAGACAGTTTGTAGTTTAGAATCAACTCGGGATATCTAGATATCCGTATGAGATCGGTATTTGATGGGCTACTTGTAACCATTAATCATTAACAGAAAAGAAACTGTTTTTTTTTTTTTTTGTATTTTTTTTTTTTTTTGTCTCTTGAATTACTGCTGGGCAACCTGTTTTACAATTTAATTATTCAGTTCTTAACCAATTACAAGTCACAGTCGTGTGTACATATCCTCTCTCCAAAATCAATAAAAAATTAACAGTTTTAATTTACAACGGGCACTTCTCGCTTAAGTACATTTCTATCAGCTAAGATCTATTCCAACAAATCATTCTTTCCTCAACGATTTAATATTTAAATATGACTCACAATGGATGGATGGTGATCATTGTAGTTTGGTGTTGTTTTGATTTTTTTTTGTTTTGTACAAAAGGGTTTGGATCTGAAATACCCTTCTTTTTTTTTTTTTTTTGTTTAATAAATATCTCAATATTTTTTAAACTACAAATAAACAAGAATGTAGTTTAACGCTGTGATAAACTCGGGTATCTAGATAAACGAAGTAATCTGATGTGTTTGTTCGATATTCATAAGTGGGTCCAATTGAATTGAAAGGGAATCAAACTGTTTGTAAAACAGTGAGCAATTGTAAAGCAGAGGAGGTCTCAACTTTAAACATGTTTTAACCACTTATTCTCCAATGAAAGTTGTTACTTGTTGTTGTTGTTAGGTTTAACTGATTGAAAATACACTTTTGAACTAATAAAAATGGACTTGTATAAGAGAAGTTTTATCTATTTATATATATTTAAAGAGAATACTAATGATCATTGGGCAACTATCGACGATTGAGCGGTACTCAGTTTTTTAAAACGACTAATGATTTAATCTGATTGTAAATATCAATACTGGGTAATATCAGGCAAAGGAAAGAAATAAATATCAATAACCATTTTGTTGATTCAACTGGAGAATCGAATGTCGAATGTTCTCGTAAAGAAAACCGATTACAAATATAACCATGGTTCTTTGCATGGCGGCATTCTTTATTTATCTTTTTGGCTTGGACAAACAACAACATCAATATCTCTTTATTTCTCACCATCGTTATCTCTCAGCTGAGAGGTTTGGATAAGGTTATTAACAAAACAAATCCAAAAACAAACAAAAATATCTTTTTTCGTCTCAATTTCCATTATTGTTACCCAATGGTTGTCGATTAAATCGATTAACACCTACAGGAACCATTTGATTTCAATTGAAATAGACCCGGGTTTTGGTTTGTTGTTTTGTTATCTGTATGAATTATCAGAATATCTAATCGTTCACGATAATGATGATGATGATGATGTTAGTTCGTGTGGGGAAACATAGCCAATCCCAAAAACATGAACCAACATACAATATATCGTTAGCCCCAATCACAGCCACACACACTCGAATGAATGTTACTTTAAACGAACTCTTTACTTTTCCAACCAGGGAGACACCATGTGTGACATTTGACTATTTTAGTAAAAATTAATTAAAACAAATATTCGCTGACATGTGTGTGTGTGTGTGTGATAGATTAGCTTTTAAAAGAAATACCTAATATATCAACCTCCGGGGGTTGAAAATTTAATTATTATTTATCCAAACAACAATCGACAATTTAACATTGAATATCTCAATCCCAATACGGTTGTTTTCCAACCAATCTGGTTTCTGTTTTTACTTATTAACATAATAGACACTTTTGCATGACACCCTAAAAACCTTCCTCAAACTGTGACAGAAATCAATTTAAAAAAGCAAACTTTCAATGATGAAGATGGGGTTTCTTTTTTTTTCTTTTTTGTGGGGTTTTTTGTTGATGGCCAAAAACATCAAATTAGACAACACCACCATATTCAAGAGTCATTTGAAATTAATTAAAAAAAAACCAAATAAACACACACTTTTTGAATTTTATTTTTTTTTTTTTTTAAAACAATCCACCACACATCGATATCGATATTACCAAAAACTTTAAATTTAATTTGCTATCAATCATTTTTTAGAATAATTGTTGTTGTTTTTTAATTATGATTTTGATTGATGAGAAACGGTTTCAGATGAATAGTATGTTTTTTGGAGCTGAAGCCAAACATGAATTCATTCTCACCTTTTAATTAATCCTCATATTTAATTTTTATTATAAACCACCCACTCATTCTTAAAATTGAATTTTGACATTAGCAAAACAAACACCAAACCAAAAAAAATCAGAATTCAAAAGCTGATGTGCCAAACTTTAATAGTAAAAATTGTTGTCCATAAATTTCATTCATTCGACCATCTAGCTTTAGAATCACCCACACTTTTTCAAAAACACAACCCCACTCACACAACACACACAGACACTTCACTTGAATCAAAAACACATGACATTCTCCAGATTAAATTGAATTGAAAAAAGAGTTTGCAAGTGCAAAGCAAAGCAAATGCAAAACAAACATACACCTAACCACACCACCCCACACACATGTTTATAAATATTTTATTTTGTTTTCAGCAGTTATTAATTATTAAGTAGTTTCCAATCCGTTCCGAGGTTTTGAAAGGAAAGGAGAGAAGAAACAAACAAAAAAAAAAACAAAAAAAGAAAAGCAATAAAGTTTGTTTGGTGTTTTATAATTAAATTCAGTTCTTATTATATATTATTTAAACTTATTAATAACGAACATCAAACACACACACAACACACAACACCACCACCTTCAACACTATAGAGTCAAATTCAATTCATACCTTTGAACTCCATTCAGAAGTGTGTACATCCCCAAAGTACACACAAACACACACAAACAAACACACAGATAGGAAAGCATTTATTCCTATACCCCAAGAACTTACTTACTTGCTTACTATTGACCAACTATAGTTAGTGTATACACAAGGAATTGATCAATAGCAACCAACAACAACAAAAATAAGGTATTTCATTACACCTCCATGGAAATTTTGTTTTCTTTTTAAAATCACCAGTCAAAGAGACCACCACCAGCAAAGTTAACACAAGTTCACCACAAAAAATAACTAGTTTCTAGTCTATCATTGTTCAACGAAGTTTCTATAGTTTAAAATCATTCACAAATCAATCAAAGTTATAATTACCCCACTTTTTTTTTTTGGTTTTTTATTTAAACAACATGAATTTCATTTGAAGTAGAACTACAGGTGGATCTTATATTACTTTATAGTCCAATGTTCAAATATTTTTATTTATTACCCTGGCAGTAGTGGGTTGTGTTGTTCAACAAAAATACAAACAAATTTAATTGATAACATGTTAGAGGTTACAATCAATTGAATTCGATCCATTCCAATGCCATTATTTTAAAGTGAGCCAAGTAGTTAGTTTATAAATCCAACTAATACATCGAAAATAATTGTTAACAAATCCAATTGTTATTTTAGTAATTTATATTGTATTTGCTCAAGTTTTTTTTTTTTTGTCTTTTTTTTATATGTTTCAAAAAATTAATATCAACCAGCAGTATCATCTATCATTAACAATACCATTTGTTAATGTCATGTTTTGGTAGGACTTAACCAAACCATCCATTCATTTTCCTTTACGATTTTTCCACATTGGTTTGGTTGTTAGTCATTAAGTAATATTAGAATATCTAATCAATCCTACCTCTCAATTTGTTGGTTTTTTTTTTTTTTTTTTTTTTTTAAATTCCAGTTCTTAACAAACAAACTTGTACCAGCAAACCAAAAAAAAAAAAGAATATCAATTTAATTTAATTATTGAATTATTGACTCTTTTAAGTAAATGAATTGAATATCATTATTATCTTTTCACATTTACACTTTGTTTCTTGTTTTACTATTTCCACTTTTTTACTTTTTTTTATTTTCCAAATCTTAACTTATAACTTTTAATAAGTAAAAACAAATCGATCTACCATTTCAAATATCTAATCTATCGGTTTTACTCATTTATTTCGCTATTCATATTCATAAGTCCATAAGATCAAAACAACTAATTTCGATTAAATATCTCGTTTTTTATTAAAATTTATTTTTAGATACCCTTTAAGTTACTACCAAATTCATTTTAGTAAGTATAGCCGAACCAAATTAAAATTAATATCTTTTGCATTTGTTTGTTTTACTCTTTTTATTTTTATTTTGGAACCCATCATTTCATTAGCAGCAAATCATTCTGTCTCATGCTCTATGGTTGTTGCTACTGATTATTATTTCATTTTATGTTGTAAATTTACTTAAAACTAAAAGATAGCAACAACAACAACTATTAATCAAGAGATATGATTCTGATTGGACAGTAATTATTTCAGCAAACTGATTGGTAAAACAATTGTCGATCTTCACTACTCATAAATTATTGGTGTAGTGTAATGTAGTGTAGTGGAGTGGTTTGTCTAAATATAAACCATAAAAGAGAGAAACATAAACAACAATAACAACTTTCCAACCGACCCTTTTCTTCTATAAATATGCTTGTACATATTTATTATCATCATGTCAATTATTTATAATACGATATCTACCAATCGTACTTGGTTTATAAAATTCGTTTTTGTATAGTACTATTGCCAAATCAGGTTGAAACAATCATCTGAAAATAGTTGCGGTAATACAATACACGCAGAACTCTCTCAATGTTATCGCTCAATTTAATTTTTCCATTCTCTCCTTATCTTTGTTTGGCTTTTTCTCTATCACCATCACCACAATCACAACTCTAACAATTTACCTTTTCAAATGATGATGATGATGATAATTATAATTATTATTATTTGCTTTATATTTGAAGCGGTAGCATAACGAACAACCAACTGAGAGAGAGAGAGAGAGAGAGAGAGAGAGAGAAACCAGCTACAATACCAATAGCAGTATATAATACAGTATAACCAATTTTAATACCACTCATTATCAATAATGTAATAATCATCCATTACTACTATTATTATTATTACTACTAGTACTATTGCTTTATTTAATTATCAACTACGATTTTTATGAGGATAATGACAACAAGCATAATTATTCACCATTTCACACTCATATTGTTATTATTTTTATTTTCACACACGTGTCTACAATAACAATATTCACTATTCACATTAATACCACACCACCCTTCACCCGCTCAAATTATCCTATCTTCTCACTCTAATTCACGACCATTCAAAAGCTTTACTTTCATCCCCTACCCACTTCACTTCGTATATTTAAGCAATCAAAATAATTAATTATTAAAAAAACAAAATTGAAAAGTTGGTAAACATCAATATTTTTGTTAGTATTAATTAAACCACTACACCACTACCACCCTCTTGCTGACACACACACCTTTTAACTTGCCATATAAGCAATTAATAAATCAATATGTTATTGCTGATGAATGCTTGTTTTAATTAAATTGGTGTGTGGGGGTAGTAGTGAGGAAAGATGTAGTAGTAGCAGTGTGTGGTTGGTGGTAATAGTTTAACGTAGTGGTACTATATATTATATTATTATTGTAGTGTTTTTCAAAATATAACAGGACATCTCATATTAGATTCATCATTTTTCAGCATATTAAAAAAAAAAAAAAATTTAAGTAAAACTAAACACAGTTTTTTTAATTTAATAATTAATCCTAATAATTTAATATTTATTTTTTTAATAATAATAATATAAAGAATTTAATTATTGTTTTTTTTTTTTTTTGTTTTTTTCAATAAACAAACAAACAAATAAATAAGATAACAAATCTAAAAAACCATCTACTATTTAGTAGTGGAAGTCTCAGACAATTTGTTATTTTATATTGTTTATATTTATTGTGTGCCAAAGTAACAAAGCAGGTTTTCTTTCTTGCCAACATTAATCACCAAAAAAATATATCAAAAAAAAGACCAACAATTATATTTGTTTTAAAAATATCTTTTTTTATAAATCATTCATACTATATTATTTTTCCTAAATCATAACAAAAAAAAAAACAAAAAAAAAAAAACATATTCCAAGGTCACTACTTTCTTTTTCTTTCTCTTTCCTTTTTTGGAACGCAGGACAAACAAACTTGCATCGCTATTAGTTTTCATTGCTTGTGAAGTGTGGTGTTTCTTGATTGTTGTTTTCCCTAATTAAAGCCATTCCACTCTTTTCCAAATTTAATTTTAATTGGTTTTCAAACTTTTTTTTTTAATTTTTCATTTTTGTTTTTCATTTTTTTTTTTCTATATTAAAGCAATTTAACATTTAATTAATTAATTAACATTTTTAATCAACAGCATTATTTAATTCAATATATTGGGTCTAATATCCATCCCGGTAACCTCAATATATAAATAATATAAATAATAATATTAATATTATTGTTATTTATATAAAATTATTTTATTCAATATATATAAATCTTATTTTTATTTTTTTTAGATTGTAAATTATATTATATATTCTTTACAAATTTTCATTATATATTATAAATATATACATATATAAAATTATATATATGTTTTAAATATATATTTTCAATTTTTTTTTCATATCTATATATATATATTATATTCTATTTTTTTATTTTGCAACATGATTCCAGCTACAGCTTTCATGGACGAATTTTCTGAACATCATCAGCCACAATACCAACACCGCCATCAATTAAATAATAGTTGTAATGCAACTGATTTGATATCGTTTCCTTCTTCAACATTACTTCCAATGTTACCAAACGAACGTTCTCCAATAATGGAATCTACTACTACTACTACTACAAACAACAACAATAATAATAACAACAATAATAATAACAACAATAATAATAACAATAATAATAATAACAGTAATAGTACATTAACAAAATCATCATCTCTTCAATCTATAATCTTGGAGAATTTATCACAAAATGATCAACATTCCGTTGACCAATATGTGATTTATTCGGAAAAGAATGAAAAGAAGAATAATGGTGATAAGAGTATGTTATTTAATTATAGATTTAAATGTTTATTTTAAATTTTACTAATTGTTGTTTTCTAATCAAATGACATCTATTATTTTTAGGATATATATTTATTGGCAACATTCCTCACACAGTTACTAGCGATCAATTTTATCCTTCAATTCATAAATATAATCCAATTAGTTTTAGGATTAAACTCAACGAGAAAGGTCAATCACTCGGATATGCATTCGCTGGTTTTAGAGTAAATATTATTAAATTACCTCTTTTGCATTGTCATAGATATCGATAAGTATTCTAACACTAATTATTTTAATAATTTTAGACTGAAAGTGAGGCTTTGGTTGCCAAAACATCATTACATTTATCAAGTAAGATAAAAACTATTATCTTTCTTTATTTTTAAATAATATTAACATTAACTTTCAATTTTAATTATATTTTTTAGAATGTTTGCACAATGAACTAAAAGTATATTGGGCAATTCCAATTTCCACTTTATATGTCACAAACATTGACACTAAAATAGATCAAAAAGAATTTCTATCAATCTTTGAGTATGTCATTCCTTTTTATATTTTATTTGTTTATCTAATTTAATAATATTTTAATTTATTATATTTTAGAACATATGGTACTTTAGATTCAAAGGATTGTGTATTTATCAATAATTATGCATTTATTAAGTTCAACTTGAGATCTGATGCTGAAAACGCATTAACTGAACTCCACGGTGTCTTTATTGGCGAGAAGCCAATTAAAATCAAATGGAGTGATTCATGTGATCAAAGAACAAGTATACATATCACATTTTGTCCAGCAAATGTAAGTCAAACAAATTAAGCAATCAATTATTATAAATCAAACTTTATTAATAATAATTTGTTTTTTTTTTTTTTTTGTTATTATTGAAAGGCTAAACCAGGATTACATAAACAAATCTTTAGTAAATGTAGAGAATTTGGAAAGATTAATCATTATAACATTCCAAAGCGAGACAATGGTGACTACGAAGGTTATGGTTTCATTCACTTTAAGGATTCACAGAAAGGAGAGATTGCAAGTGAGGCTGCTATTCGCTTTTTCAATGAGAATGAGATAATGGGTGTAAAGATAAACTGCTCCTTCTCAAAGAAGAAGGTTGCCACTTCCAAAAAGGCAACCAAGAACAACAGACACAAGAATAACTTATCTTCACTCAACGATAAGTCTCCACAATCGGATCTTGAACAGTCTTTTGGTAACTTACACCTATCCAGTTCCAACAACAGTATGAATTCATCTAACGGTAGTCTCAGTATCTCTTCATCAAATGGTAGTGTTGGTATTTATAATAATAATAATAATAATAATAATAACAACAACAATAACAGTCAGAATGGTAATTCTCTTCGTAACAGTCAGACAAAATCACTCAATAACAATACATCACCACCACAACAACAACAACAACAATATCAACAACAACAACAACAACCAAAGTTAAGAACATCACAACAAAATCTAACATCTGTGATAGGACAACAACCACCTATCAGACAAGTCACACCAAATCAAATGCAATCAAACAACACCAACACTACCAATAACAATTGTAATAATAATCCTTTATCACCTCCTCTTCACTCTACCAATACCAACCTATGGAGACAACAAAACTCCAATGGTAGTACCTTTAAACCATCACCTTCACCTCCACAGCAATCAAACAACTTTTTATATAACCAACTTTTGCAATCACCTACCCAGTCGTCTGGAAACAACTCTGCCCATCACATTGGTGTAGGATCTGCCAGTGGACTCATTCCATCGCCAGCGACAGTAGGCGCGCAATCCAACGGCAATTTTATATTCCAGTCCCCTGCCTCGTCTGCATCGTCAAATTCATCACCAACTTCACCAAGAGAACAACAACCATGGTCATCCCCATCCCTATTCCATATGTCAACAAACAACAACTCTATAAACACCAATGGAATCGACTATTCACACTTAAATACATCACCATCACCCAACCACCATGTATTTTCTAACAATTCCAACTCTATTAAGCGATTCCAATCACCTGTTGGCTCGAATTGGAACCACGGATCACCATCAACACCCAATTTGAATTTGGATGAGGACAACAACAACGCCCCACAATACGATTCAAATTGGTATCATCACAACAACCACGGAAACGGCAATACCAATGGCAATTCATCAAGGTCACTTGCAAACTCACAAGAGTCAAACAAGTCTCAATTCAATGACTCATTTGAACAATATCAATATATACAACAATTAAAGAGACAATATCAACAATTCCAACCAAACAACAACAACAACAACAACACCAACAACAACACCAATAACAACAACCACAATAACAGCAATGGTCACAACCAAAATAACAGCAATTCACTATTGTCCAATATGGATCAACCCTATAGTGAATGGCAAGATATTCAACAAATCATCTTAAACACAAGACAGCATCAACCTGTTTATTTTACACAGCAAGCACATCAACTCAACCACAACCAACACTCAAGTCATAATAATCATAATCATAATCATCATCAACAACAACATCAACAACCCAAATATCAAACTGCACTAAGCCGCAGCAGTCCTTTTGAGTATTCTTCTACCGGTGATGCACACATCAATGGTCATCAAAACCTTTCGTTGTCAACTCCAAACAAGATAATGCAAAGATCAACAAATGGCATTGATCACCATCATGATCAACCCATTCAATCTATCGGAATCCCTTCACAAACTCAATTACGTTCAAACTTCAACTCTGCTTACAATCAAAATGCATTGTCATTAAACAATAATACCCATTTTTAAATCAAAATAAGGTATACCTCTTCCAAAATTAAAAAAATATATATATATACACACTACACCTACCTTATATAAATAAATGTATCCACACATATCTTTGTAATATATCCAATACAAAAAAAAAAAAAAAAAATCTTCACAAATAGATATATTATAAATTATTAAATTTTATATTTTTTTTTTTAATTGAATAAAGATTACAATTAGATTGATAATTAATTCAAATTTAACTATATTGTTTTTCTCGCCTCTTTTTGTCTTTGCAAACTTTTGATACTGTTTCTAGAAACTTGTGGTAACATAATAAATTGTGAGTATTCATCACTTCTATTACAGATTTTATTTGAAGCTAAAAAGGAACTCTGATTAATGTAACTCCCTCAAATTTTGACTTTGGGGTGAATAAGTATATACAACATTAAGAGTTTGTGATTGAACTATGATTATAATAATCTTTGGATTTATAAAGTATAAATAATTCCAAAAATAAATAAACTAAAATAAACTATTTCGCAATATTGATATTTTCTATATTCACCCCAAATTGAAAATGAGGTCCTATGTCGTGTGTTGTTTGTTTATCCACTCTGGTTGTTCTATCTTTTGAATGCATTTGCTGTCGTATTCTTACAATGTATAATTATATCATTTCAATAATCAAATAATGATTAAATTGAAATGTTCGTAGACTTGATGATGAAAATAAATAATTTTGTCTTTAAACAGCTTGAATTTCAACAATCGGTTTTGAAAAAAAATTTGAATTTTAGAAAAAAAAAAAACAACAAAAAACAGTAACTTTTTGTTTCTTTGTAATCATCTTTTAATTTTAATTTCATAACCAGTCTTTAAAAGTAAAGTTCATCAAGGTTATAAAATATAAATAACCTTGCCTTTTTTCAATTTATCTTGGGAATCATTCATTGCTGTTAAACTGATCACATATTAGATCTAATCTACTGCTATTTTTACATTCCCAAATCAAAAAAAACATCTACAAAAAAAAAAATACAACTTTTACTGTTAGATTCAATTTCGATTCAATAGATATATTATATACAATCCTATCTATCTTTTCTTTCATATATATTTATTTAACATTTACACTACTATCTAGATTATAAAAACAGAATAAAAAATGGTATGAATATATATTCTAATAATACAAAATGTAATAATTACATTTGTCTTTCTTTACTAACTAACTCATCATTTTAATCATTATAATCATTATATATATATATATATAGAGTATGCCAAAGAGTAGTAAAATGCTCCAATTCATTAATTGGAGAATTAGAGTTACTATTCAAGATGGTAGAGTGATTGTCGGTAGATTTCTAGCTTTCGATAAACATATGAATGTTGTGATTTGCGATGCAGAGGAATTCAGACGTATCAAGCAAAAGGGAAAGGAAGATCGTGAGGAGAAGCGTACTCTTGGTATGGTTTTGATTAGAGGTGAAACCGTTGTTTCGTTGTCTGCAGAGTCACCACCTCCCGAAGAGGTCAAAGCCAAGGTTGCACCACAGGTGCCAGGCGGTCCCGGTATAGGTCGTGCAGTCGGTCGTGGAATGATGATGACAAGCGGTGGTGGTGCACCACCAGGCGCTAACAATCCAGTCGGTCTGACTGGACCGGTGCGTGGAGTTGGCTCTGCTGCACCCGGTTCCATGATGCCACAGGGTGGTCCGGTCGGTCGTGGCTTCCCACCCGGAATGATGCCACCTCCACCTGGCGGTCCAATGGGTCGTGGATTCCCACCCGGTATGATGCCACCACCTCCACCAGGTGGTCCAATGGGTCGTGGATTCCCACCCGGAATGATGCCACCACCACCCGGCGGTGTGTTCCCACCCGGAATGATGCCACCACCTCCACCAGGTGCAATGGGTCGTGGATTCCCACCCGGAGTACCACCACCAGGAATCATACCAGGAATGGGACGTGGATTCCCACCCGGAGTACCACCACCATTCCCACCACATCAACAAGAATAAAATAAACTAAAAAAATAAAAAGAATAAAAAAAAATAGTAAATATATAAAACCAACTAAACCAAACTAAACTAAAAAGAAAAATAACAAAAAAATAGTAGGTTGTAGTAATCAATCAAAATGGTTTGGTAAGTTAATCAACTTTTCGAGAATCATAAATTCTAAATAGATTGATCGAGATTTAACAAACAAAAATACATTACAATACAACAATATAACCAACATACATAAATAATATTATATTTAAATTGAATTTGTTTTATAAAATGTTTTTTATCAAACAAATAGAATAAATAAAATCAGATATGGAGATATATTTGATATGAGATCTTTCTTCAAAAAAAAACAAAACAACTACCAAACAAATACAGAAAATTGTTGTTTGTTTGAAGAGCACAATTGTGTTATTCAAAAAAAAATTGGATGGGGTGATGGGTGGTTTATCAAAAAAAATATTCATATAAAAATTGTTTGAAGTTTGAATAAAAAATAGCTTATTTAGGTAAAAAAAATTTTCAATTTAAAAATTTGCTTGGAGATTTAAATATTATTAATATTATAATTAATTGCCACCTTATAATTTTTTTTCAACATCATTACATCGTACACATAATTCATTTAATGTTTACTTTCCTATATGTTTGTATTGAACAAATAATATATAGTAGACATCATCATCAACAACAACAACAACATTCAATAAAATAAATAGTGACTAAAACTAAAAGTAAAAAGTTAACTCTTTAATTACTTTAAACATACTTATATATTTATTTATTACTAGATAAAAGTTATATAATGATTTCTGTATATATTGTTTAGTTATTTGGTTTTTTTTAATAATATTATTTGTTTATTGTTTGCAAGCATATATAAATATTTATAGTTTGGGATATAGAGATAGAAAGATAGAAGAGAAGAGTGTGGTTCATTTGTAATCAATGATGTCGGGTGAAAAACTTGAAAGATTCAGTGTGGAGCAAATGAGAATAAGCGATAGAGAGGAGGAGGAAAGAGTTATAAATCAACATCCTCAAAATGATTCTGGAAGCGATGGCGCCGATAGCGATGGAGAGGTGGGAGGCGGTGGCAGTAGCAGTGGTGGTAGCGATACGAACAGTTGCATAACGAATGCAAAGCGATTGAAATATCTACCAGAGTCCATGAGTAAACTACACTTCAAATCACCACTTGACTATATTCAGGTGTTTCTCGTCACCTCGAAATGGACGAATCTTCTCAACTCGATATCGGTGCGAGAATTCCTGCTGTTTCGAAAATCAAAAGAATTTCATCTTCAGAGAAATACATCGGCTCGATCACCAATGCCAGCTGATCTTATCTTGGTAAATACAGATACAACTATATCCGATTGTTTAAATGTAAGAATATCAATAATTCAACCTTTAAAAATCGTCTTTTCAAATGTTAATTCATTTACTTTACTTTTTCAGATATTTAGAAATAATTCAATCTTATCTGCCCCAGTTATCGAAAGAAGTACATCACCTATTTCGTCACCAATACCAACGATCGATCTTGAACATACAGTTACCAATGTTAACAAAGGAAATAGCTTTCAGTCGGACGAAGATACATTCAAAATAAAAGGTGTTGTCGATCTATTAGATATATTAGCATTGTTATTCTCTATATCAAGAAGACATAAGCAATCATATTCCTACTCTCTGTCTCATGGTAGTCCTCATACATATCAACAATCCATCAAACAAGCTCTAAGTAAATATTAATATAAAAAAACAACCAACCAACTATCAAAAAAAAAAAAAAGTTTTACTTTTTATTAATCTCCATTTAGATCCATTACAATCAACAATAGATAAAATTCCAGAAGATTACTCTCTATTAAGAGCAACAGAGTTATTATTAAAACCAACGACACCCTTTAAATCCCATAGATTACCTGTATTAAATTCAAAAAGTAAGTATTTTTCAACATCATGATAAAGTAGTTCTTGAAGTTTGAAACTAACTTATCAATATAATAGATGAAATAGTGGGATTGTTTTCATTAACAGATATAATGTATATATCGCAAAGAAATATTCATTTATTCAATGGTAACTCTACAAAGAAAACAAAAGAACTTAAATTGCTACATCCAGTAATTACATTAAATTCTGATGCAAAATCATCAGAGGCTTTCTCAATTCTACTTGCCAATAGAATCACAGGTATTGCCATTGTTGATAAAGACAATGGAAGATTACTAACCTCTGTAGATTCAAGAGATTTAAGAGTATGATATCAATTCTTTATATATATATATTTATTTACTAACCAATCTATTTCTATAAAGAATGTACCTATAGATAAAATAAATTTCAGTAATAAGTCAATTTTCGATTTCTTATTAGAGAAATATAATGTATGTTATTTAAAATGTTATATGTGAACTAACAGAATAATAATGATTAACAAACAAAAAAACTTTTTTTTTTTTTCCAGGGAGAAATTAAAACACCTGCTGTTATTAAGGAAAATGAAACTTTGGTAGACGTTTTAAATTTAATGTGTGATAACAATTCACAAAGAGTATATATGGTAGATGGATATTATAGACCAATAACAGTTACAACAATTTCAGATATTGTTGCTGCACTCTTAAATTGTTAAATAATTAACAATTACTATTAAACATTTTCAATATGTATATATATAAAAACAAAACAAACTTCCTTTTCTTTAAATAAAAGTATAGATGGGAATAATCAAAAAAAAAAAATGAACTGGTGTTTTTCAAACAAAACTATTTCTTATCTGATTTATTATCTTTTTTTCCAGTGTTTTGTTGTTTCTTTTCTTTGTGATCATCTTTCTGATTGGAAGCAGCCGCTGCTTGCTTCTTCTCTTCTCTGGCCGCAGCCTCTTCGTTTGACTTTTCCTTTGCCAGCTCTTTCTTCATTTGTTTCTCTTTCTTCTTGGCGGCGAGCAGGTTTGGTGCATGTAGTCTGACGTCTGCCAACATGTTGGCAGAGACTTCTTCGTCCTTGATGTTCTTGATCAACTCTTTTTCGCGGTTGGTGAGATTTGGATTCTGAAGAAGTACTTGTACTGCTTGTTTGGCAGCCTTTCCTCTCTTCTGGTGACCTGGTGTCAGCTTGACCTTGTATTTGTAGTTGGTAAAGATAGAGTATGGGCCGACGACAGGGATGGCAAAGTGAAGGATATCGTGCTCCAAAGGTTGTCCTGTGAGAGTATCAATGTTGGAGATATTATCGGATTCCAAAGCGGGTGCCAAGTTTTCCTCTTCCAAAAGTTGTTTGATCTCTTCTTGTTCCCTGAGCTTCTGTTCTCTCTTTTCTTTTCTCTTTAATCTTTCTTTCTTGACTTCTTCGTTGGTCTCACCTTCGACATCGTCTTCACTATCACTTGAAATATCTTCCTCTACAAAGTTGTCTTCAATCTTGACTTGTTCTTCCAACTTTTCTGCTACTGCCTCTACTTCCTTTGATTCCTGTGTTACATTCTTTGGCGTAGTTGTGGTTGTAGTAGTGGTTGATGGTTTATCTGCTGTTGATTTCTTTTCTGTTGTTGCTCCTCCTTTGTTGTTGGACGATCCACTCTTTGGATCTGGTTTTCCACCCTTACCACCCTTTCCACCTTTAACATCCTTATCCTTTTTCTTGTCTTTCTTCTTATCCTTCTTGGCACCCATTGATCCAAGCAACTCTAATCTCTCCTTTCTCTCTTCTTCATCTTGATCACCATATTTCTCCTTGATCTTCTTCAACTTGTTCTTCTGACCAAGTGTAAGATGCTTGGTTGGCTCTTGCTTTGGTTTCTTTTCTTTGGGTTGCGCTGGTTCTTGTGGTGCAGCAGGTTCTTCAGTGATTCCTTTTTCCAATCTTTCTTTTTCTTTCTTGAGTTGTTTACGCTGATGAGCAGACATTGCTGGTTTTGTTTTCTGAGATTTCGAATCTCCTTCTCCCTCGCCTTCATTGGTAGCTGTTTCTTCTTCATCGTCGTCCTCTGGCTCATGGAAACTGCTAACCAATTTAATACGATACTTATTGCTAGCAGTACTGTCGGTCGACTCTCCAAGTACATTTCCAGTGGCAGTGGTGGTAGTGGTTGTAGTTGTGAGCTGCTCCGATACATCCATACCATCCTTCTCCATGAAGGCCTCCTCTTCTTGTTCCTTCTTCAACTTGGATCTCTCGAATTTTCTCAGTTTCTTTTCAGCTGGTACTTCTTCCTCCATTGGCGCACCTTCATCCTCGAGCTCCAACGCAGCGTTGGAAGGAGCACGCTCACCAATGTGATTGGCAATGCAACTCTCGTCGAGTTTGAACATGAATCCAAATCCCATGACCAGCTGTGAGTGTGGAAGGTAGTTCTTCTTACCACGAATCATGAATGAACCGGTCGTCAAGAACTCACCGGATGGCGCGGTCTTACTGACTTGATTGGCATAGACCCAGTAGGCACTGGTAACTACTTTGGCACTCCAGGCATTACTGTAACACATTGTCATGGTACCAGCTTGGATCAGTGTATTTGGTGGAATGGCGCCACCACCATGATTCTTGATGACACAGGATGTCGAACCAAAAATATCGGCATGCACATAGATATCGTCTTTCTCCAAATACTTTTTAAAGAGCATTTCATTCTGTTGAGCATCTTTACCACTGATCACCAAGTAGTTATCGGAACTGAGGAACCAATGGAACTTTTCAAACCAGAATACCTTACGCATCTGAATCATAGCGGACTTGGCTTTTACCTCGCTCAGCTGCTGTCTTGTCTTCTTCTCTGCCGCTTTCATAGCAAACTCTGCCTGCTGGATAGTCTTGTTTGCCTTCTCATTGGCGTGTTTCTTACTATCGTAATACTCTCTTGCATTGGCATATGCAGTCAGCGCAATATTTACATCGACCAGAGTCGGTTTCTTTTTATCCTTCTTTTGTTGTTTCTTCTCCTCCTCCTCATCGTCGTCTTCATCCTCATCGTAATCGTCATCGTAGTTATCGTTCAACGCCAATTGAATTTGATTCGACTCCAACTTTAGCTTGTGAATGATATTGGCGACTGAGTAGGGATTCTTCTTTTTCTCTTCTTTCAGCAGCTGCGAAAGTGCAGTCCAGTCCATCGAGGCATTGACACCCGACTTGATAATAGTGATACACTGGTCGACCTCCTGCAGATTCGCTTCGATCAACTGTGCCTTTCTGACATTGTCTGCCTCGGCAGCAAACAACGAGTCGATACGACGCTGCTGATCTTCACGAACCTTGTCCAACTTCTTCAGGACGGTCTGCTCCTGCGCGATCCGCTGTTGTTCGACACGCTGCGCTTCGATCTCCGAGAAGAATTGATCTACAGCCTGATCGAAACTATCGTACTCCTGGTTCGGCTTCGAGTGATACTGCTTGTAGAGAAACGGGACAAACTCCTCGTAGATGACAGTGGTGTCGGTCGGTGTCTTTGGCGGACGCAACACAATGTATCCACGCGACTGCATCGTCACATTGAAAATCTTCTGGCCTTCGACAAACGCTTGAATCAGCTTCTCGTTGTTGGCACGATCGTAACTCTCCAACTTTTGATTCGGTGACAAACCGGCATCCAAAAGACAATGCTCAATGAGTTCCGGACCGAAATCCAACGCCTTATTGAAAATCTGTTTGAGATTATCTTTCTTCTCTGATTTCTCCAGTAGTTCATTAATCAACTCTGGTGTAAAAGTAGTTGGTTTCTTTGCTTTCTCAACGGGATATACATCTCCCACCGCAATATTATCGTTCTCTGTGAATTGATGTGTACGTAGAATTGCAATCACCTTGTAATCTCCATCTGTCAATATAATATTACCCTATTATCATTAGCAATTGTTAATATCAATGATAATCATAATAATAATAGTAATAGTAATAATGGATGATAACACATACAATTGAGAATAACTCTATAATAAGATGTTGAGTAGCTACACCCGATCCAAATGTGAAATCAATGATTCTATCTACTCCAAGTTGTTTTACACTCTCTAATCTTTTTGTTTTCAAATATTTTCTCAACTTGAATGATGATAATAATAATAACAATAACAAAAATTAGTAAATCTGATTGATAACTATGTTTTTTATGTAAAATTACTTACGGTGATTGAGAATGGTGCAGGTGTATGATCACCCTTATCTCTTGTAAAGTTTGTACTGTGAACACGAATACCAGATTCAATGATCAGCTGTTTCTTCAACTCTGGTTTCGAAAGTTTAAAGAGAAATACACGTGGACTTAGATCGTATACATTTGCCAATCTCAGACCAATGACAGTTCTCTGTAGATTACTAACTGTTGTTCTAATATCAACTGATGAAAATCTTGTCTTTGGCATTTTTCTTTCTTTTAATATATATATTACAAAAAAAAAAAAAGTTGAAATATCTAAATATTAAAGTGAAGTGTTGTTGAATTAATATTAAAAAACGAAATAAAAATAAAATAACACAACAACAACTATAAACTATGAATATTTCTATTAAATATTTATATTTAAATGTGTGTGTGCTGTGTTGTGCTGTTTTATTAATTTAAAAAAATTGTTAGAAAATTTTGTGAAAAAAAACAAGAAAATCCTCTCCTCAAAATCAAAAAAATTAATTATTCAAGAAATTATTGTTAAATTGATCAATGATGATGATGAGCTGATTCCTTCACCACTAAAAACACTAAAACAAACCTCTTTTTGTTATTGTATTTGTTCCTATAAAGATATATAGTCCATATTGTTTGTTATATTATATTTTTATTTTATACTTTATATTTTAGAAATAAACAAAGAAAATGGAACCTGTATATACATTAGATAATAATAACATTAAAATATGTAATACCAATAATAATAATAATAACAATAACAATAACAATAACAACAATAGTAATAATAATGATCTTGATGATTTCGTTGTTGGTGATGACAATGACAATGACAATGAAAATGAAAATCTCATTGTTGAATCAAATGACAACAGCAGCAACAGCAGCAACAGCAACAACAATAGCAATGTGACTGACAAGAAAATTGAACAATCTGCAATTCGTGAGAGTTTTGATGATGAGCCTGACTATGATGATGAAGATGAAATGGATTACTACGATGACGATGAAGAGTTCTTAAATGGTCCTTCCATTGTTAAATCCTCTCCAGTTCCACTAGGTCAATCCAACCCATATATAGCATCATTATTATCATTAGAAAATAATAATAATAATAATAATAATAATAACAATAATAATAATAATAATAACAATAATAACAATAATAACAATAACAACAACAATAATAACAATAGTAATAACCTTAAATCATTTGATGGCCTTAGTCTCAAAGGAACCGCTGTGAAAAAACAACTTGGAAAACCTTTGGGTAATGCTAGTGAAAAAGAAGAGGAATCTGAAGTTAGAGTTAATTTCACTTCTAAATTGGAAACAGGTAAAATTAATTATTGTTTATTTTTTGAAGATTATATTTATATTGATATTAATATTGATTTAAATTGATATAAATTGATATAGTTGATTTTGGATATGAATTATCATCAATTCAATTTTTGGTTGCACAGGGTATTGAAACCATTGGTGCGTTGGCAACTATGACCGATCTCTCCATTGTATTGGAGGGTATTATCGATGAGGATCCATCGTTGGAACTCATTCAATCGCTTGCCAGAGAACTCCTTTTGAATGCAAATCCAACAGAATTCTATTCGAATCATTCGATTTCTATCGACTCTATCAATACTCATTCCTCATTAGCCAGTAAGTTTTTCTGAATAATAATAATTATTATTATTATTATTTTTCAACATCAATTAAATTAATTATTAATCCATTTTATACTATTATCATTATTATTATTAGTTTTACAAGGATTTGGTGATGATGATATTCAATATATGCAATCAATTGGTGTATTGACATTAGGGCAATTAATTCAAGCAAGTAAAACAATGTTTGAGATTAAAGATGTAAAGTATACAAAATATATAATTTTAATAACAATTTCCTTATACTAATCTTTTCATTAAATATTTTTTAATAATAACTACAGTCACCAAGATTCAAGTTTTTTGCTAGTATGGCAGACAAATTGTTGAGTTTCTCAGTGAATGCAACTCAACTTATGAATGTTAAAGAGGTTTCCGAACAAAAGAAACTCTATGGATATTTCTATTGTAGTAATTTAACATTGAAACATATTAAATTGCGTGGATATATGCAATCTTATAGTATGTATAATAATTATTAAAAAGATAAGGACTCTGTTCATAAATATATATTAATATTAATATTATTATTCTATTTATTTTAGAACATATATTCGAAGATTTTATGAATACTGAGGTAGCAATTAGATTCAATCATCCATGGAGAAAGATTTTCTTCCGTTACGTACAACAAACGAGCAAAGAAATCAAGGTTATAAATCCAACGGATCTCGATGTCTATTCTTACTTGGTATATCTTTCATCGTCTGACTTCTTCAATTGCACCAGTGGTGTACAGGGTATTCATTTCTTCTGGTCACCAATTCTCCAGACTCCAACCGGTGTCAATATTATAGATCTTAAAACTCATAAACAAGAGTAAGTTACTAAATTTAAGTTTTAAAATGTATGGTTTAGTTTTTTGTATTAATATATTTTGAATATAATAATAATAATAATAATAATAATAATAATAATAATAGGTTTGAAAATCTTTTCAAAATAGATTTGACTGCCTGTATGGATAAAGGTTGGAAAATGTATAATGTTGGAACATCACTTCGTAGATTGACTGACCTGTCCGATGTAAAGAAGGAATCATTAAAGAAATCGGCGTGGACCAGCTATAGAACTGGAAATGATCCATATTTAACATTGGATCATGGTTACTTGGTTCCAGAGGGATCCAATTTATTAAAAGATTTCTATACCCTATGCAATGACTACTAAGTATTCAAATCTGAGCTAAGCTTAGCTTGATTCCAGAACGGAATCCGATGGTTTGTTTATTTATCATATTTTCTTTTTTACAAAAAAAAAAACAAAAATTGTAAACAATAAATTAAAAAACAACATGTGTTATTAAAATGAAAATGGTTACCATTTTATGTTTATCTCTTAATGATTATCTAAAATAATTCAATATTCTCAGGTTTATAATCACTTGATTTCCATTTTGAAGTGGAATAGATGAGTTATCATTTTGAGTTTAATCAAAAGTTTAACTTTAATCTCTAATAAAAGAATATCTTTTAGTATTGTAAATTTCTAAACCAATGAGATAGGTTTTGAATTCTAAATGAAGTCTTTTGTTTTTTAAACAATTTAATGAATTGTTATAAATTAAAACAAATAAAACATAAAAAAACAGATCAATTTAAATTACAATAGTTTCCTTATTAGTACCAATATTTGAAGAAAAAGGAATGGAAGAAATCACGTGTCGGATTGGAGTGGTTCTTAGTTGTCAGAAATAATGTCATTATTTTTTTGATATTGAAAATCAACAATATTATTATCAAATATTTAATATTATATGATATAGATTACAGTAAATATATTTAATTTTTATTTTAAAATTTGATCGAATGACTCTATTCGATATAGATTTGAAACACATTCAATTTCAAATTAGTTGGTCCACTCTGTCAAACCTTCTCTCTTGTAGACTTCAATGAATGATGGCATCGATCTCATTCTGTGTACGTATTTGTTGATGTTTGGCCATTGAGTGGCTGGCTTTGGCATGTTTCTTGACCAACGCATCAACATGGTGCCAACGAAATCGACCGATCTCAACTGGTTTCCGAGCAGATGGGTACGGCCGTCGGCAAGCAACGCTTCGATACGATCGTAGACCGCTTCGATACGTGGTCTAACCAGGTCCTTCAAGAAGGTCTCCTTCTCCTTGTTACCACCGCTCTCGACGGGGGCGTAGAACCATTCACGGAATGCCGGTAGCAATGAATTGGCAAAGTAGATCAAGAGCTCTGTCCAACGAGCGTGTTCGTCAGTGCCGACCGCTGGCTTCAAACGCTCGCTGTGCTCCGACAACAACATCACCAAAGCAACACTCTCTGTGTAGACGTTACCGTCGAGTTCCAAAGCCGGTACCTTTCCTTGGGGATTTATCTTGAGATAGGCTTCTCCCTTTTGCTCATTGTTTGACAAATCGATCTTGACCGCTTCGAAATCGATACCCATCTCTATCAACATCCAATGTACACACAAACTTGCAGCACCAGAACCATAATATAATTTGATCTTCATTTTATTTGTTGGTTGTTAATTATAATAATTATTAGTAGTTAATTTAATTTCTAAGTATTTCAATTAATTTTGGATGAAATTGAATTTAAATTAAAAAAAAAATTGGTCAACTTTAAAAAAAATGATCAGAATTAATTTAAAATATTTTGAAAATTGATTAAATTTTTAATCAAAAAAGAACTGAGTTCTTTCGAACGAAGATAATATCTTTATTTAACAGAGCGAAATTTCAAAACCACTAAAATTTCAAAGTTATTATTTGAAATCGATGAATCATTTAGAAGTACTAGTCTTTCCCCACTTCCACACCATTTAACACCATACTTAGTAATATATTGATCAGGATTGAGTAACTAACTAACTAACTTAAATGGAATAATATCTTAACATTTTTAGTTTGTTTAAACAACAGATTCGAATAGATTGTATGTAGTAATGTAATTTTATTTTTTGTTTATAAATATATAATATGTAATAAATCTGTAGAGATTAGATAAATAATATTGTTTCATTAATTTTATAAATGTTAGATCAAATCTATTTAAAATAGATATTAATTAGTTGATTATATAATCAAAGAAAATATTTAGAAAGTCAAAATTTGTAAATCTATAAATAATCTTAGTAGTTTAGTTTGGTAACGTTCATCTATCACAGCACGCTCCAAAAAAATGATTTTCATTTTTTCAAAGTTCACAGTTGTCGTTGATAGTTAATAGTGGGTGGGTGTGCAGTTTTAATTTGATTTTTTTGAATTTAAAAAAAAAAAAAAAAAAAAAAAAGATAACAAAAAAAAAAAAAATACCAATATTAATTGCATAGATTGTCATTTTGACAAGTTAGTTTGTTCTCCCTTTCGCACAGCATTGTTATAACAATGAAAAGTAAGTTATATAACTAGATAATCAATAACTACAACAAATACTACAGATACGATATAATTACAAGAAAAGTAACAAAATAAAGAAAAAAAAAAAAAGAAAAAGAAAAAAAAAGATATCAAAAAAAAAAATAAAAGAAAAAAAGAAAAGAAAAAGGAAACCAACCTAAAAGTTCAAAATTAAATCATACAACAACAACAACAACAACAACAACACCAGCAGCAAGGCAACTATAATATCCATCTTTTAGATGATTTAAGATTTATAAATAAAAATAAAAATAAAATAAAAATTTCAAGAAAAAAAACAAAAAAAAACAAAAAAAAAAAAGATCATATAATTAGAGTTATAAATAGATAAAGAAAGAGGTGTTTAGTTTATACATCTATTTATTATTATTATTTTTATCTATAGTTCTTAGATTTTTTAGTTTGTTTAAATATTATTAGATTGATGAGTTTGTGTTTTTTTGTTTTTAAGATTTGTAAAATAACATTTTTATTAATTTCTCTCTTTCTTTTTTAACAACAATTAGATCAATACAGTGATGAGGAGAACGACATTGAGGGTGAATTAGATAATGTTGAAGATTCACCTTCACACAATAATAGCACCACCACTGCCACTGCCACCGGCGGTGAGAATGGAAGTGGCGGAAAGAGTAGCAGTAAGAAGAGACCAAAGAATGACAAAGACGACGACGATGAACATCCCGAAGAGTATAAAGATAGTAGTGAGGAGGAAGAGGAAGGCGAGGATGCATATCAGTACGATGACTTTGTAGTGCCTGAGGATGACGATGGCGATGACGATGCAGGTGACAACGACGATGGCGAAGATGATGACGACGACGATCAAGAGGACGAAGAAACACTGAAGCGTCGTGAAGAGCGTCGTAAACGTCGTGAAGAGCGTCACAAGCGTCGTGAAGAGAAGAAGAAACGTCAAGAACAAGGTAGACTTCACCGTCTCAAAAAGTTTAAAGCCGGTGACGACAGTGAAGATCTCAGAGAGAAATTACAACAAAGTTTATTTGGAAATGGTAACTAACTATCAATATAGCTAGCTGGCTTGACAGACATTCAATTTGCAAATTCTAATTAATGTTTGTTGTTCTATTATTATTATTATTTTATAGATGATATTCTTGATGAAGAGACAAACGAAAATGGATATGAGAGAGAGAGAGATGATGATTATATGGATAGAGATGATGATTTTGATTCGGAGGATGAAATGGATGGTTTCGTTGTGGATTCACACGACAAGCCTGTCAACCTGAAGAATAAGAACAGAAGAGGTCGTGTCAGACAATACGAAGAGGAAGACATGTTGTTGGAGGAACGTCCAAAAGATACACTGTCACTCATCAAGGAGCAATACGAACCATCTCTACTCGAAGAGAAACATTTCACCGATGCAGACGAAGAGATACGTAAAAAGAATGTACCAGAGAGATTACAAGTAAGTGATCACTTTTGATTTGCACACATCTTTACTTTTAAACGAAGCTTATTAATTATTAATAATCTACTTTGTTTTAGTTGAGAAAAGGAACACCATATGCAGGTGAAAGACAGACATACGAAGAAGCAGAGTGGATCTATGAGAGTGCATTCGATAATAAGGAAGCAAAGGATTTGCGAATGATTGAGACTATCTCGACGATATTGAAGTTCTTCCAGCGTGATATGCTGGAGGTGCCGTTTGTTTATACCTATAAGAAGGATGTGTTTGAACCAATGACACTTCAAGACTTGTGGACGATATTCGATCTCGACGAAAAGTGGAATCATATGATGACCTCAAAGAAATCGTTGGAGTCGTTCATCGCTGCCAATCCAAACTTGGAGCAGTATCAGCAGTCGTTGCGTGAATGTAAGAGTGAGGAAGGCATTGCCGATCTCTACGATCTCTTCCAGATGATCAACGGTCCAGAAGGTTTCAGAGTAAAGTCAACCACCACCACCACCACTACAACTGTGGTCGATGACGAGAATAACAATAACAACACAGCAGCCACTACAGCAATAGCATCGACACCAAAGCTGAAGCGTGCAATCAAGAGAGATTTATATACAGTTTATTCAAAGGCAGGACTGACAAAGTTCCTTCCGTACTATGGAATCAGTGCGCAAGAATTTGGTATCAATTTGATGGATAACTACATGTCGCACGTGCCCAACGACCACTTTGACGACCCGTCGTCGTGCGCCATGAAACACATCTGTGTCGAGTGTGGCAATATCGATTCTGTGCTGCGTGCTGCGCGCTATCTGATGGCGCACGACATTGGATTCGATCCAAACGTTCGTCAATCGATTCGTATGATCTACAGAAAGTATGCTTATCTCACCACGACACCGACTGCCGTCGGCCAAAAAGAGATCGACGCATTCCATCCCTATATCACTGTTAAATCGATTCGCGAGAAACCATGTCACATCTTTGACGACACACAGTATCTGTTGATTCTCAAGGCGGAGCGTGAAGGATTCGTCAAGACATCGATTGGCATTCCTGAGCACGTCCACGATAATGTCATCATCCCCGAGATGGAAGCACTCTATTTGAGCAGTGGAACCAGTTCGAATGCACAGCAATGGAATGCCGAGCGTAAGCAAATCATTCGCGATACATTGAATATGTTTTTGTACCCCGTTTTTGAAAAGGAGTTGAGGAACAAGTTGTTGACAGAGGCAAGCAATCGTGTTGCTTTCGAGTGCGCCATGAAGTTGGAGGAGAAGTTGCGTGTTGCGCCATGGCAACCGAATCAACAGAACGACGACGACGAAGAAGAGGATGAAGCCAAGACATTCAACATTATGTCTTTTTGTTGGGGTAGCGAGAAGGTGCCAACCATGTGTGCCGTCCTCAACTCTGACTCTGAGTTGCTCACACAGACCAAGATGGACTTTTTATGTGACAGAGTCGGTGACTCCACACTAAAGAACAAAAAGCAAGACGATGTCTCAAAGTTGACCAATCTCTTGACTGACTACAAGCCAAGATTGATTCTCATCAGTGCCACCGAGATGGAGAGTAAGCGTTTATTTGACGAGATCAGAGATCATGTCACACGTCTACACTCCGACGGTGTCTTGAAGTTGTCGACCGAGATCTACTTTGCTTCGCCAGAGATTGGTTTGTCACTGCAAAACTCTCAACGTTATTTCGAGGAGTTCCCAGAGTTTCCATCGGTATTGAAGCACGCTGTTGCTGTCGCACGTTGTGCCCTCGATCCACTCTCTGAATACTCGAATCTCTGCACCGATAACAAGGAGGTGCTCTACCTCAAATTGCATCCACTCCAAGAAATGATTGGAAAGGACTACCTCTTGAAACTCCTCTATCGTTGTTTCATCAATGTCGTTAACGCTGTCGGTGTCGACATCAACAAGTACGTCAAGAACAAATTTGCTGCGTCGCCACTCCAGTTTGTTTCGGGTCTCGGTTCGAGAAAGGCACAGGCGCTACTCAATGCCGTCTTTAGAAAGGGTGGTTATGTATCGTCGCGTCAATCGATAGAGAAGATTCTCACAAGTCAGGATGTTGTATATAGAAATTGTATAGGATTCATTCAGATCCGTGAGAAATACTTTGACAATCAGAACATCAACCCGCTCGACGACACTCGTATCCATCCGGATGACTATCTCTCTGCCTACAAGATCGCCGCCGATGCACTCGACCGAACCGTTGACCAAGATTCACTCAACGAAGATGTGATGAACGACTGTGTTTTCGAGGTGATGAACGATCCCAAAAAGCTAGAGTCTATCGATCTCGATGCATTTGCCGAGCTCCTAGAGATCCGTCAGAACACACAAAAGAAAAAGTTGCTCTATGCCATCAAGAATGAGTTGACATCGCCATTTGCTGACATTAGAAACTACTTCCAACCACCCAGTCCCTCACAGATCTTCAGTTGGTTGACCGGTGAGACCGACCAAACACTGAGAATCGGTACACTCGTCTCTGTCACCACCTACAAGAATCTCGACGGAGTCAAGTGTCGTCTGGAGAACGGATTGGAGGGAACCATCCCTACCGAATGCATCAGTGAGACCAACGATGTAAAATCATTGCCCAGAGGCCAGACATTGAATTGCCGTATTCTCTCGATTGAGAAAGAGCGATTCCATGTCACCTTGAGTTGCAAGCCCTCGGATCTTGCCGCCGAGAAATGGGAGGATATTATCTACAATGAATTGAAATACAACGGAGAGAATACCTATTTGATACTTGGTGAGGCTCCAAAGGCACCGATTGCAGCCAACACCAAGAAGCGACAGTCGGTTCCACAAAAGATAAAGAAACAAAAGAGAACCGTTGTTCATCCACTGTGGCACTCATTCACCTGGTCGGAAGCAGAGAATCATCTCAAGGACAGACCTGTAGGTGAAGCACTGCTGCGTCCAAGCAGCAGAGGATTCGACCACATCACTGTGACATTCAAATTCTCTGACAATGTAATCATACACCACGACATCAAAGAAAAAGACAAGCCAAATCCAGTGAGTTTGGGTCTGTCATTCTATATTGGCGAGGCCAAGTACGACAGTCTCGACGAAATTCTTGGAAGACATGTAGAATATATAATCAACAATGTTAATAATCTCAAGGAACACAAGTATTATCGAAGTGGAACCAAGTCGGAAGTCGAGGAGAAACTCAGAAAAGATAAACAGAGATTCCCCAAGTCGATTCCCTATGCTTTTGCAATCTGCGAAGAGAAACCAGGATACGTTTATCTCTACCACGTTCCCAATCAAAACCCGAGATACGAGTACGTTTTAGTGAAAGAAGATGGCTATGAGATTAGAGGAAAAACATTTGGAACGGTCGATGAGTTGATACACTACTTTAAGAAGAACTACCAACAGATATTAAAGACACCACTCAGCGGTAATAGCAGCAGTAGCAGCAGCAGTAGCAGCAGTGGAACCAACAATAGCAATCAAAGATTGCCAACCAATAGCAGCAATCAATCATCATCATCATCATCGGCATCATCAGCTTCACAACAGCAACAACAATCTCAACATCAACAACAACAATCATATTCACAACCGAAACCACAACAACCAGTGTACCAGCCACCTGTTCAACCAGCATATTCTTCACAACCACCACAACAAGTTTACTCACAACAACCATTCCAGCAACAACAACAACAGAGACCACCACAACAATATCAACCACAAGCACCACAACAATATCAACAACCATATCAAGCACAACAACAACAATACCAACAACCTCTAAATCAACAGCAACAACAACCACCACAAAACTGGAGAGCACCACCCCAACAGGGAATGTATCAACAACCACCTCCCAGCCAATACGACAGAAGACGACAAGACCAATATCAAGAAACAAGACCTCCACCTCCACAATACAATTATGGTCCATCTGGCTATGACAATAGAGACTATAGACAACCACCTCCTCAACCATACCAACAACCACCTCCACAGCAAGGTTATCCACAACAACAACAGCCACCACCCTATCAGCAATATGGTAGACCAAATCAGCAATGGGATGATCACCAAAGTCAGTGGGATTAATTTAAACAATCCATTCCAAAATCCGGTAAAATTAATATGAAATAATAAATATAATCAATTATCTGAAAAAAAGCTCCATACATTTCCTAGAATTGCAATTACTTTTAAAAATTTTCATTTATTCCTTTGTTTATTTTGAATTATTATTATTGAGTTTCAAACATATAGGTTCCATCTTAAAATGGAATTGGTATCGAACTATTTGTGTCAATTGATTGTGTTTCAAGATCAAATGAAATGCTGGTTCAAAATTTTTTGGTAAATAATCAGCTTTCACCAGAGGACAAAAAAAAAAAAAAGTTGTAATCAAATCCAAATAACACTGATTTGTGTGATATTTAAGAAATATTATAAATATTTATAGTAATTTTATTAATTTAAATTGCTTCGGTAGCTGACATTGTGGTATTTGGTGCTGCCATATCGTTGGTAGTTTGATCTAATTCATCTGTAATAGTTGAAGTTGTCGATGTTTTGCTTAGAGATGTTGATTTTATATTTGTATCTACATCATCCATAATTATATCTTTGCTATTGACTATCTCGGTTGCTTTATCTATTTGATTGACAATGAAAGAATCTTTGGTATCATTGCCTATACTGTTGTTGTTGTTATTAATGCTATTACTGATGCTGTTACCATTGATATGATTACTTGTAAATGTGGTTGTTGAAGTTGATGATAAATCGTTATTATATATAATTGTTTGTGATTGTGATAGTTGTTGTTGTTGGTTTGACTGTACAGTTGATGATGTTGAGTTTATCTCTGGTATATTTGGTTCTGATTTTACTCTTTTGAGTCTAAGTAAAAGTGGTTTATGTAGTGTTTGTTTTTCTGTTTGTTTATGTTGTTTAGGTTGCTGTTTAGGTTCTTCCTCGTCTCCCATGAGCACACTTGCTTTCCAAATGAATGAATTGTCATTCCACCAGGCATTGACATTGTCAACGATCATATCACCATCTGACTCATCATCGACAACTGTTGACTCCTGCTCTCGTTGTTGTTGCTGCTGCTCTTGCTCTTCCTCAATATGTCTCTTTCTACGACCAGTTTGTCTCTTTGGTGTTGTTCCACTTCCACTGCTACCTGCACTGTGTGTTAGATTCGGAGTAGATACCGATCTGTTGTTTGCAAGTTTTCTACGACTTCCAACATGATTTTCATGACTCTCTTCACTCTGATGTTGTTGTTGCTGTTGTCTAGTAAATGAACGAGTTCTCATTGGCTTATTTGTAGGTGTTGTTGTTGTGGTTGTGGTTGTAGTTGTGGAAGTTGACTTGTTATCTGCTGATTTTCCTTTGGAAATATCACCTGTTGATTTGATCCTGGATATCTTTCTTCGACGAAGATGCTGCTTCTCTTGCTCGTCGTCAGTTCCGTCACCATCGGCCACCTCTACTTCCTCACGATGTCGATGTTGATGATGGTGGTGATGTTTCTTCTTACGTTTGATCTCACCATGCCATGTTGGTCCCAACAGTTTAATATACTTCTTTGAGAAGACATAGCTTGGCAAGAGCTCCTCAACCGTGCAATTGAATTCCGGCGACACTTTCTTACGTCTCGACACCGGAGTAGATTGAATTAGCTGGAAGAATCTATATCTCTCGCCAACCTCACAAACTGCATGTCTCTTTGCAATTGCTTCATCGTCAGTGTCATCTTCATCGATAGAGTCAGATTCATCATCTTCACCACCATCTTCTTTCTTACTATCGCTATTGCTGTTGATAGTTGTTGATTCATTTGATTCATCAATTTGTGTAAATTTCAATTTCGGTTCTTTAGATTTGAGAGCGGCAGTATCGATATGTTTCAATTCCGGTATTTCCATACCTGCATCGATATGAACATTGATATTTTCATTATCATCACCTTCATTGTGTGGTTGTTGTTGCTGTTGCTGTTCAGGTATGGTTGGTGTTGTTGACGTTGGCTTGTCAATGATATGGTCATCCTTTTCATTGTCATTCTCTGCGATTGGTTGAAGACTGTATTCGGATGGTGTTTCCAAGCTTGACAGTGATGATCTATCGGCTAGGAACAGAGGTGATGGCATTGAGAGATTCTGTTGCTTGTTATCGAGTACGGTTGAGGAAGCAACTTCTCTCCACTCTGGTGTGATAATCTCCTTGTACTGAACGACAGGTATATGAAAGTTGGAACCAACGTTCAAGACGACATCGTACGAGTTTGAACCACCACCATTTCTAACTCTTCTTCCTCTTCCTCTTCCACGATTGTAGAATCCACTGTCAGAATCAGAAGACGAAGATTCCGAAGTAGACAACTCATCATCGAAACTAGATTCATCGTCATCATCGTCATCGTCGTAGTCATCATCTTGATTATCTTCTATCTCATCGTCATCATTCAAAGCTGCTTGCATTACTACTTCCTCCTCTTCATCCTTCTTTCTTTTGTTGGAAGTTGTCTTTTTCTCTTTAGTTTGTTGCTTTTTACCTATTTCCTTCTCCTTTTCTTTTTCTTTATCCTTTTCCTTTTCTTTATCTTTATCTTTTCCTTTTGTTTTTTGTTGTTTACTATCTAAATTTGATGATGATCTTGATCTTCTTTTGTTTCCTGTTGTTGATGTTACTTGTTGTTGTTGTTGTACTATTGATGAAGTCTCTGCTGACTCTGTTGTTGATAAAGATGACGATGCTGATGACATGGAAGTGGCGTTGGTAGTAGTTGGTCTTCTACCTCTCTTTCTTCTTCCCTTTTCATTGTTGGCAATTGACTGCTCTGAATCTTTAGTCTGTTGTATCAGTGATTCGCTCAAAGATATCTTTGGCGGTTTTGGCTGTGGAATCGTTACAATATCAATCTCACCATCACTCTCACTCTCAAACAGGTGGAATCGCTCATCATGCTCCTGATCGAATCTCTTTACTCTTGGTCTCTTTGGTCTTCTCTTACTATATTCATCTTGATTCGATTCAATTATTGTTTGTTCTAAAACATATAATTAAAATGGAATAATTAGTGATCATTTTTCATATTTTTCTAGAGACTGTGTTGTGTATTACCACTTACTTAACTGTGATTCAAATTTATAATATTGTTTGTCCAATGTGTATAATGGATGAGTTTCAGTTTCCTTTCGGATCTGACGTTTTCTGAGGATGGGAGGTTGTCTCTTGATCATTCTTCTCAGTTTCTTGGGTAGCACCATTCCGTCGGTTCTCAACGATCCTTGCCTATCAATTTCTTCTTCCTGACCTGTTTCATCGTTGAACACCTTCATCGTACCTTCTATTTCAACTCTTTCTACTTTCTAAATATATTTTTGATTATTGTTGTTATTTACGATAACTATGATTAGTACCAATCATTCGATTTGTCGAAAATAGATAAAGATTGATCAATATCAACTTACTTGTTTTGATTTTCTTAATTTTTGATATGATTGATCACAGAGATAACCTTGATACTGTAGATCTCTGATTTGAAGTTCTAGCCAACGACATCGCCAAGATAGATCGTTGTAGTCTCTCCTCCAAAAGCTGAGTGATTGCATATCACCAGAACTGCTGCTGCTGCTGCTGCTCAATAACGACTCGGCACCGATATTGAATACTGACTCCACCTCTGACTCTGTATCAGTATCTTGATCTTGAATTCCACTGATACATTTTTGAAACAATATTATTTCATCTTTATCATTATTGTTGTTGTTATTTTTGCTATTGTTTGTTGTTGTTGTAGTTGTAGTCGTTGTAATATTATCATTTTTATCTTCCACTTTATCTTCTACTTCTTTTTTAAGTTTATCGTTAATGACAGAGGTGGAGTTTGTGGGAGCAGTATTTACAGTATTAATGTTTGTTGTGGTCGTCAGCTTCTTCTCCTTGTTGCTATTGGAAGTCACTTGGTTCATTCAAACAAATTTGGTTTGTTATTATTTCTCCAGACTAACTAAACTAACTAAACTATACTACTATCTTATCTATCTATCTAACTATCTATTTTCCTTTTATCTATCTTATCTATATCAATATATAATAATAAACAACTACATTCATATAAATAAATCTATATACTAATAATACTAATATAAATATATATTATAATTTTGAAATGAACTAACTATAAACTTAGCTTAGTTTTGCTTTGTTTGCCAAACGTATTTGATTTTTTTATTATTATAATAATAATATTTATTTTGTTTTTATGAGGTGTTAATGTTGTATTTTATAATAAATAATGAAAAAAAAACAACTAAAAATAATGTTAAAAAAGATAGACCAAAACAAGACGATCGTCAAATTACACAAATACACCGAATTTAAGCCAAAACTTTAAAAAAAAAAAAAGCAAAAAACTAGTTTCTTCTTAAATTAATTTTTATTGAAGTGCAATAAAATATATATACAATAAAATTTTTAAACAAGTGTAGAAAATTATTATTACTCAATTTTTATTCACTATATAAATAGAATTATCTTTTGTTTTTTTTTTTTTTTTTTTTTTGTTTAGATGAATGAAAAATAAATAAAATAAAAATAAATTAATTTAATGAAGTTGTGGGGTTCCAATCCATCAATGAACCTGAAAAATATCAAAACAAACAAAAAAAAAAAAAAAAAAAAAAAAAAGATGTGTCATTTTTTTTAATGTGGGTATTAATAATTTCAACCTAATCAAGATTGATGAAAATTTATAAATGACATAAAAGAAATATGTTATTTATTATTATTCATTGATTGAATTTTAATTTTTGAGAAATAAAATTTTTTACAAAAAAAGAAATAAAAAAAATAAATTATTGTTGTTGGTTGTTCACCATTTCCCGATTCATTTTCATTTGATTTCATTTTGATCAATCATCATCATCATCATCACAATTATCTAAATATTATACTACATTATGAGTACAAAGGAATCAGATGAAAACAATGATGTTTCGCTAGTTGATGGAAGTACTAAAGAGGTGAAACCAACAACAACAACATCAACAACAACGACGACATCAACATCAACAACAACAACAACATCAACCATTACTGCAAAACCACAAGTTAATAATAGCAATAGTACTAGTAGTAATGACGATGATGGTAGTAACTCTGTATTCCTATATAATGGTGTTTGGGCATATAATTCAACCAAAGACAATCAATTATATCTATTCGATCAAACAAAGAATGAATGGATTAAAAATGTATGTATAATTGATGATGATCATTATCATCAATTCAATCGGTTAATTAATTATATTTTTGTTACTAACATATAACTATTATTTTTATTATAGACAGATATAGTTCAATCTAATAATAAGAATGAAAATAATAGTAATAATAGTAATAAGAATAATAATAATAATAAAAGAGATAAAAGTAAAATAACAGGAAAGAAATATAATAGAGATAGAAAGAATAATAAGAAAGTTGAGAATGGCGATGATCATGATGGTGAAGCATCGAAACAAGAAGAAGAAAAGTTTGATATTGTAGATTTGGTCGTTTCAAATATACCTCGCGATCCAAGATTACTTACGATCAACGATTTATACCAGTATTTCAGAAAGGCTGGATTCATACAGGAGAACGACCATGGTACTCCGCTGATAAAGTTTTTTATGCTTGAAGATGGTGGACGTTCCGGCGAGGCAGTGATCTCCTTTGCCAGAAAAGAGTCACTCCCCCTGGCAATTCAGCTATACGACGAAACAGAGATTGTACCTGGCTACACAATAAAACTATCGATAGCATCAGGCGATCAAATACAATCACGATCAATAGTATCAAGTGGTGATTCAGTAAATAAGAAAAAGAAAAAATCAAATGGTAGTGGTGGTGACAACAGTGGTGGTGGTGGTAAAAGTGGTGACAAACGATCGGATCTAAAAAAACAGATGGACTATGGATGGGAGGAATCAGAGAGTCGTGTCGTCGTGCTCAAGAATCTGTTCGATCCAGTGGAGTCTTGGACCAATCCAAACTTCTACGAGGAGTTGAAAGAGGATATCGAAATGGGTTGCCAGCGATGCGGTGAGATTCAAACGGTGACCGTGTTCGAGAGGAACCCGGAGGGTGTTGCCATCGTAAAGTTCAAAGACTATGAGAGTGCAGAGAAGTGTGTCGCTCTAATGGAAGGACGTTTCTTTGCACAGCGTCAGCTTAAAGCAGAGTTGTACGATGGATTTACCGATTACCACGTTGAGGAAACCGAAGAGGAGAAAGAACTCCGTATAAAGGTTTGGGAGAAATATCTCGAAGAACAAGATCTAAAAGAACAACAGCAAGAAAAAGAAGAACAAGAACGACAACAACAACAACAAGAACGAGAACAAGAAGAATAAAATCTATATTATATTGTATTGTGTATATTATTAATTATTTTTATTGTTTTGTTTTTTATTATTTTTATTATATGGCATTATTTGGAAAGTTTCTAAAATATATTTACTAATATCTTTATTATCACTTATACCATCTTGTTCAGTTATATTTCCTATTCAATTTGCTTTCAAGAATGTTGGTCCAATCCTTTACTTAAATAAAGTTGGTATTTTCAATGTTGTCCAAAGTTGAAAAAAATTGTGGATATTTGAAAAAAGTTATTATAAAAAATAAAAGAAAGAATCGGCACAATTGTTTCTCGAGAATACTGTCCCCGATGCCATCTACTTGAATTACTTTGCCGAGAAGCATGGAAAGTTCTGAGATGTGAGATGAAATTTGTCCCAAAAGTAAACGTTATCAATGGCACTACCAAGTGGGTCACCTTTAGCCTCAAGAGTACCAGAAAGTTGGGATATCCACCAAAGATGAAGATTGGATATTAAGCACCATCGATCCACAACAACTTTACTCCAATCCCAAATGGTTCAAACAAAGAAGTTGCCAGATGCCCAGCCTTCATCAGCAAACTTACAAAGAAAGGATTGAAATACACCACTCTAAGAGGATCTCAATAAGCCAACGATACGTGTTGCTTCCACCACTCGTGCTGCTGCCACCACTGGTATTACTGCTAACACCCGTGTTGCTGCTGACTCCCAGTGCGATGAGGATCATGATCGTGGAATTACCTTGGATAGCAGAGAGTGCATCAACAGGATCCTTGACAAATGGCTCTTAAAATTTTTAAATAAAAAAAAAAAAAAAAGTGGTGACTCGCCACTGTCACCGTTTTTTTCTTGTGTCGGTTTTTTGTTTTACGCACTTGGTTTATTTGACTTTAACTTTTCTACAATTGCATCTACCAATCAAAAATAGGATTTTTATCAATTATTTAATGATATTTCGCTCACAACCTTTATTCATCCAAACAAAGTTATAATTTTATAATATCATCAATACCAAGTCATTATCTTCTTCTGGGTAAGATACCTACCTCTTGGTGAGAAGATCGATCTCGATTTCTACTTTACTGTCTCACTTTCTTTTTCTGGAAAATTGATACTTTTTTGACATTCATTAGATAGAACATTTAGTCTCTCTGATCTAGCAATGTTCTCGGCTATACAATCTGTTAATCATCATATTTTATTAATACTATCTAAATCAACCTATTAAACTCTTGTTTTAAAATCTTATTATCCAATATAAATGAGATATAAACAAAATATCTTACTATTTTGGATAAAAATATAAGTTTATATTTATTTATTCAATTGAATAAATTAATTTAAACTAAAAAAATTTAAAAAAAAAATTTCACTTGGCAATCATACGTAATCTTGATTTTTTAAGTAGCTGTCTCCTTGTCATTTGCTCACCATCTGGTAGCGTAATTGCTTGTTTGTTGTTCGAAAGTGTTAATCCAATTTCTCGGTAAACCAATGTTAGTGGATGACCTAATCTTAATGATTCCAATAATAGTTGTTGTTTTATCATTCTCAAACCATTATTGAAAGTCATTCCAAGATTATAATAGGGTTTATAATTCTTTGGATCACATTCTATCGATTTCAAGTATAATTGTTGTTTTGTCATTGATTGACCGTTATGAAGTGTGATTGATTCACCAACTGAAAGTGTATTTGCAAGGTTATTATATGAACTTGAATAGGTTGGATCATATACTATCGATTTCAAATATAATTGTTGTTTTGTCATTGATTGACCGTTATGAAGTGTGATTGATTCACCACTTGAAAGTGTAGTTGCAAGGTAATGGTATGATCGGGAATTGGTTGGATCACATTCTATTGATTTCAAGTATAATTGTTGTTCTGTCATTGATTGACCGTTATGAAGTGTGATTGATTCACTAATTGAAAGTGTCAATGCAAGGTTATAATATGGTCTGTAATCGGCCTGATCACATTCTATTGATTTCAAGTATAATTGTTGTTGTGTCATTGATTGACCGTTATGAAGTGTGATTGATTCACCTCTTGAAAGTGTAGTTGCAAGGTTAAAGTATGAGTTGGAATCGATTGGATCACATTCTATTGATTTCAAGTATAATTGTTGTTCTGTCATTGATTGACCGTTATGAAGTGTGATTGATTCACCACTTGAAAGTGTTATTGCAAGGTTAATGTATGATCGGGAATTGGTTGGATCACGTTCTATTGATTTCAAGTATAATTGTTGTTTTGTCATTGATTGACCGTTATGAAGTGTGATTGATTCACCACTTGAAAGTGTATTTGCAAGGTTAAAGTATGAGTTGGAATTGATTGGATCACATTCTATTGATTTCAAGAATAGTTGTTGTTTTGTCATTGATTGTCCATCATTAAGTATGATTGATTCACCAATTGAGAGTGTTAATGCAAGGTAATGGTATGATCGGGAATTGGTTGGATCACGTTCTATTGATTTCAAGTAAAGTTGTTGTTCTGTCATTATCTATATAACTTCAGGTATTTTTGATCTGAACTATTGGTTTTTATCTAAATATGATTCAAGAGTTTATATATTTTTTTTGAGTTTTCAAAATAAATTGAGCAAGTACAATGATTAAATTTGGGTTGAAAAACATTGGGTGCTAAAACCATTTGAATGGGGGACAACTCAAACCACATCAAAGAAAAAAAAAAATTATGAAATTTTTTAAAATGAAATTTTTTTTATTTTTAATTCAAATATTTTTAATTTATTATCATCTGGAACTTTGTATCCATTAGTATTTCTACGAGGGATCAGATATGATATTTTCTTTTAATGATTTGAGTAAAAATAGTTTAAAAATATAAATTTAATAAAACATTTTTTATCTCATATCTTTTTTAATTTTTAATAATTTTAAAATTATTAATTTGTGGTTTTTTTTTTAAACTCTTAGCTGAGAAACTCCCCACAAGGGGAAATGAAGAATTCGTTTCTGAAAAGTATGGAGTTTCAATATCACTTTTAATAAACTATTACCAATATTCTTAAAGGTGGCATTTAAGTACTTAAATGTACAAAATTAAATAATAAAAAAATTTTGCGCTACTCTTACCAAAGTCACACTCAAACAAGGAAAAGGTCAGCTGTGCTTGAAGATGTTCGATATCCTCACGGATGGTGATGAAGAACTCACTAAAGTCGTACTCTCCAAGAGAAGAAAGAGAAAGAGAAACAAATAATAGATAAAAAGATGAAAAAGTTTTAAAATAATAATTTAATCAAACTAAAAAAATTAATTTTATTTGAAAGAAAATTTAAATAATTGTTTTTTTTTTAAGTTGATGAATTCATTAAAGATATTATATCTTTGTAAAAAGCAAAAAGATCGATGGTCCATGGTGGGTAGTCGTTGAGATTTTGGAAATCTTTTTCAGATCAATTTGGTACCGAGGATGGACATCACTCTTTAATATTGGATATCAAATGAAACTACCGATCAACAACATCCATTTGGTCTAATGGTTCATCTAGTTATGGTGAACAAGGAAAACCAAAAAGTGAAATTGGTACACAGATATCAGAAGAAGTCACCTCTTTTGATTCGCTCTATTACAGTTGGTGTTACTACGATAAAGAAAGAAATTGGAGGAATTCCTGTAGACAATCCAAGAAAGCTCAAAATCTGGTTGGAGAGCTCATTCATAATTGACTTCATTGATGGAGAATGCCAAGGAATTAAAGAGTGATGTCCAGACTCAGTACCAAATTGATCTGGAAAAGATCTGTAAATATTTAAATACACATTTACATTGTCAAAACTGAAATTTTCAAAAGATTCTATACCATCATCTATATTTGCAAATATATGTTTCTTCTAAAAAATTTAGATGAAAAACTATTTGAATTATTTGAACCCATTTAACGAATATTTATAGGTTATCTTCTATAAACAAATTGAAGTTTGATGGTATAAATTGTTGAAGTATGTATCTGTTTTTGGGTAAATATTATTCTATTCCAAAAAATTTTTAAAAAAAAAGACAGAATTCTATTTTTATTATTTTGTTTAAATGGCACGATTCTTACAAAATTAATATATATATGTTTCACTCCTTTAAAAAGTGTGCTCCAAATGAATAAATGATTTAATTTTATTTTATTTTATTTAATATTATTTTAAATTAACAGCATTTGAATTAAATTTTGGATAATTGATGTAAGGTATCACTTTTAAGTTTTTAATTTTTACATACAGCAATGATACTAAATCATTCAACTAATTAGTGCCGGAAGTTTCAGTTAACATTAAAACATAGGAAGTCTGACATTTTTTTATGAAAAAGCTGCTATCAGAGGAAAAAAAGGTTTCAGTTTGCAGATTGTAATATTTTCTAATATAATCCAAGATAGTTAAAAAGAGATGTGATAACTAACGTTATTCTCCTTTTTTATTTATATATAGTCGATTTCTATATCATTTGAAGCTATTATTCTTTATCAGAATAATCGGTTGGTAGGATGGCCATCATGCCTATGACATAACTGCGCATCAGAGTATATATGACTTTGATTAGATTCTTCACCAATGCGTTCGTCTACAGACTGACCTGATTAATACATTACGACAATATTATCAATTCCTATAATCACGACGTCGTCTTTATTCATCTCTCCTTACCTTATCATCTAGAGACTATGAATATATTTTATAATGTCACCTTCCTTCTAATCTATAGCGACTATTACGATTACCATATGATTTAAACATTTATTATCATTATTGATTATTAAGTTCATAATTATGAACAATCAACTATTATCCAATGATATTATTGCTAGAGGCATTAGTAATGAGAAATAGTAATTTAATATAAAAAGATGTTGACTTTGTACAAGTAAAAAGTCTAGAGGAACAAGATCTAAAGAACAACAATAACAACTAGAAAAAGAACAAAAACAGAGCAAGATGAATAAAATCGATTATATATGGTATAAATATTATTTCTGTTGTTTTTTTTGAGCTTTTATTTTATTTACTTTTTATTATTATTATTATATGGCATTATTGAATGTTTCTAAAATATGTTTACTAATATCTTTAATATCACTTAAACCATTCATAATTGCGTCTTGTGCAGTTGTATTTCCTATTTGATTTGATATTCAATTTGATAATAACATGTTAGAATAAAGGTTGATCAATCAAGAATGCTATGATATGGGTCAAGTAGCTTACCTTTAGTTTGTATACGTAAATTCATTTTATTATCTGATGGATGTGGAATACTGTAACCTGAGAAATCAACTTTTGGACTATAAATGTAATAGTTAATAACTCGCTGAAGCACAAAACGATTGAATATTCTTACTTTTTCATTAAAACATAATGTAAAGCATTTCCAAGTGTATGATCTTCATCTACAAAGATAAAAGTTGCACAATCTGGTCTATCTGAAATCTAATTCGATTGAAAATAGCGAGTGTCTATTAGTTGGCGTTGCACATCTTATTACTTGATTGTAAAGTCTGTCTGTCTAACAGTATTTTAATCAATCATAATACTTACAACTTCTACTTTATTGATAACATTTGGTGATTCGATTTTAGTTGGTGCTGTATCTGCCATTTTCTTTTATTCTATATATATACACAAATTGATTTTTAAATAACTAATTAAATCTAAATAAACTGTACTCGTTTTTTTTAGCAAAAATTTTTTTTTTTTAAATTAATTAATTTTTTGACAAAAAAAAAACGATCATGCATAATAATATGTGAGTGTTGTAATAAGTAGTCGATTAAAATAAATAATAATATGAATGATTTAAATAATGAAAATAAAGATATATTAATAGATACTATTAATAATAATAATAATGAAAATAATATAGATTCAAAGTTGTTGGAAGTTGAAAATAATACAGTAACAACAATTGATAGTAAATTTAAAAATAGTTCAACAATAGAAGTGTATTCGAGTGTAGATGAAGTGTTATTTGTACCACAGAATGCATTTAAAAAAGATAACCCAGCAACAAAGAAAGCAGGTTCCATCTTTGAAGTGAGCAAAGACGATGTTTGGAAAGATGAAGCTGTAGAGTTCCCATCGGAATTGCCTTCAAGCATATCATGTACACCTTTCTTAAAAGCATTTTTATCTTGTTATTGTAAGATTATTATATTTTCTATCTTGAAATCATCTATTATATTTATACTGATCAATAATTAAATAAATAGCACCTTCTGGAATGATTAGAAATTTATATAGATTCGGTGAATTCAAATGTGATGTTGAAGCAGAAAACTTTAGAGATTGTACAAACCTTTCGATTACATCGTCGTCAAAGAGACAGGCAGAGCTCGACAAGATATTGACACGTAGAAAACAGGCGAGTGAAGAAACAATCAAGAATCATGTTTGGAAAGAGAGAACAGAGCCTCTGGAAAACGATTATTTCGGATACAATATAGATCTTGTCAATTTCATAGCAAAGAGTAGAGATTCGAAATATATAGAAACTTTGAGAACCAATAATGCTAAAGATTCGAGTTGAAAATTAAAAATAAAAATACAATGATTTTGTACAGATTTATTAAAATAAAATTGTAGGACATAGAAATATACTTTGCCAATTTCAAATTTCTTGGAAAATTTTTTTAGCAAGGCTATAGTTCTTTACAAAACAAAAAAACAAAACCAATCTTGTTTTTTGTGAAGTTACTTAATTTAAAAATGGTTACTTTATCAATAATAGGCACGGCAGGAAGAGACAAAACCAAAAAATTGACTTTAGATCACTTTAATTATATGCACTACATTGTAGAACAGTTTATCGACAACAATAATCTTCTTGACAAAGAACAAAAAAGCGAGCAAAAAGATACAAAATCACTTACACTGGTTAGTGGTGGTGCAGCATGGGCAGGTAAATAGCTATCATTAATTAGTTTATAGAAAATCTATTAACTAACTATATATTCTATTATTCTAAATTAATTAGATCATGTAGCTGTTGATTTCTTTTTGAAAAAGAGTGAGATCTACGATAATGATACTTTGAAATTGATATTATATCTTCCTTGTAAGATTGTGATTCAAGATGGTGAACACAGATACTACGATTCCGGCAGTAAGGATTGGAGAGTCAATCCTGGAAAGATGTCAAATACCTATCACAAAGCATTCGGGAGTGTAATTGGAAGAGATACCATTAAAGAGATAGTCGATACTAAAGCCACACTAGATACAACATCAAAAGGGTTCCACGCTCGCAACACAAAGGTATCTAAATCAGATTATATCATAGCATTCACTTTTGGAGCAGGTGATCAGCCTGAAGCTGGTGGAACGTTAGATACTTGGAACAAAGCAAAAACAACAAAGAAATATCATTACTCACTCCTAAATCCAATAATACCAAATTGTTTGTCGACGTACGATAATATAAATTCATTTGAATCACTGAAAAGAAAGGATTTAACAAAAGATAATGTGTTACCTGATGACGATGAGGATAAGATTATCTCCAAAAGACAAAAACAAGATAAACAATCTCTTATCACGAACTTTTTAGGAGTTTCTAACTAATGTTAGCACCGATTTCCCTACATTTTATATTGTGTTCCATTTCCCAATTTGTTTTTGTTTAAAGGTAATATAATTAAGGATAGAATTTCAACTTATTTTTTTTTCCTTTTTACTTTATTTTTATCTAAGGTCAATAAAAATGGTCAAAGGTGAACCTGTTCTTGCAAGAGATGAGGTACAACTAAATATAATTTAATAAAAAGAGACTAAGACAAAGAAACTAATTAAAACAATGAAGTTAAATATAAATATTTTTAATGATATTATTATATCATGATTAGAACTAAATGTTAACAATAAGATAATAATATTATGTTATTTCCTATTTGTTAAATTTTTTTGAGTCACAGATGTGTGCAAATTCTGTGTTTTTCCTTTTTCAAAAAATTTGCTATTTAAAACAAAAAGATTGAAAATTTAGATTTGATTAAGAATCCAGGGTTTTTTGATAAACTTCAAAAAAAAAAAAATAAAAATTTTGAATTACTTGTGCAGCTTTTAATATTTATATTTTTATTTATTCTATTTATCAAATATAGAATGTCAACATATAAAACTATTAGTGATTTAAAACTAGAGGATTTTATCAATAATGAAACTTTTTCAAGACTCAACCAATCTTCTTTTCCATCTTCATAATATTATTCAAAGTTTTTATTTAAAAAATATTAATAATTTAAATAATAGTAATTTTAATAATATTTCTATTTATATAGAAGAGAATCTTAATAGTATAGACTCTAAAGATATCTATAATCAATCAGATCAATTTTCAAACTTTACTATATTGTAAATAGATTATGTAATAAAAAAGATAGAGATGAAACAAAAGGAATAAATAAAGTATTGGAAAAGGGAGAAATATCTGTATTGGAAGTTGATAAAAAAATATCACTAGAAAATACAAAGTGAGTATCATTAAAGTTTTAAAAATAAATTTTGTTTTAAAATCAAACTAATAATAATTTTATATCCAGGAAACAACTTAAGGTGTTTATTAAGGAATATAGGGAGAGTGAAGTTTTCAAATCATTACCTATAGATCAAAACAGCAATTATGATATTTCTCAAGTTCCAAAACAATATTACTTCTGGATCCGGTGGTGCTTCACTGAGAGAATATGGAGACAAATCTAAACATTCAACTATTTGCAGTACTAGTAACTATCACAACACTAGAAGAAAAGATAATCATAGAAAAGATATATTAGCGACAGATATAATTAATATTTATACGATCTACAAAAAGAAGTTAACAATAGTCAGTAGAAGGATCATCACCAAAATCAGTCCAATCATATCATCCAGACGAAACCACTGCCAAGTCGATATCTTCAATAATTTCTCCCGAATGCCACTTCCATCAGGTAGCTCGCAAGATACTAATGCTAGCCGTGCAGTTCAACAGATGACTGATTTTGAAAAAACCAATCTCTCCATATTCTCTCAGTGAAGCACCACCGGATCCAGAAGTAAAAAAAGTATATCATATCCCTTTTGTTATTTGCTGTATGATCATTTGTATCATTCTATACCCTGTTATTTCAACTATATCTTTCTTTTAATTTATTTTCAAAAAATGGATGAATTAAAAAAATTTCAATTGAATTTTCGAATTTTTTTCGAAAAAATAAAATATATATAAATTTAAAAATAAAACAAATAATTGAATTAAATTTTAAAATAATAGATTTATGAGTTCAAATAAGATAATATGAAGGTTATTTAGAAAAATTATTTAAAAACTTATTTTTTTTTTTTATATAAATAAAAAATATGTTGCAGTATAAAATGTTTTTTTTGGGTCAAAAAAAAAGGCTAAAAAATTCATGTTTTATGATCTCTGTCACACAAAGTTTTGAAATTTTTATAAGAGTGGAAGCAAAAATTAGTGTGGTGAAAGTCGAAAATTAATGTGGGATGGTAAAAAAAAGATTAAACTGTTGTGATGAGGTGGAAAAACCAACAATTTCAAAAGATTTACTGATGTACATTACTAAGTTCTCCACTTCAATCACTGTTTATTGGTACACATCCCTTTTAAAGATCGAGAAGCTGCCAAAGAATCTGTTGATAAAACTAGATTCGGTAAGCATCATAGTTTAAAAAATAAAAAACTAATTTTCCATTTCAAAAATTTGTCAAAGTTAACTGTTTTTTTTGATTAATCTTTTTTTTTTCACATTTAGTTATTGGTGTTGGTAGTGGTAATTTGACTCATATTCAACGAATGAAAGGTGTGAAATATAGTCCTGCCACGGAAAGAATCACCGAATCTCTCCAAAGATACAGTTTTGATTACAAACATCAATTTCCAACGAGTTCAATACATCTCAGGTAGGTTTTACTGTTTAATATCAATTGTTTTTTTTATATTTTTATTAATTATTTTTTTTAAATTTTTAGGTTTTTGGTCCAAACATCGATAAACTAGAAAATGACTTTGTTTCAGCAATCAATAAACTAGTTTCAAACGAGTGGACGCAGGCAAAGAAAGATGAAGAGCTCCATTCGTTATATAACCTAGCCAAGGTCAAACCCCCAGGAGAGAGTAAATCATACAAAAGAAAATATTTACAATAAATAACTCATATTTTATTCTATTCTTTGAAGTAAATTTAAATTACATTGGTCCTGTTGTTTGTTTAAAAAATGATATTGAAATCAATCCATCTAAAAATTGATGGATTTAATTTAAAAAAAAAAATTGTAATCGATTATTGCCAACTTGAAATGTAGTTGGTTTGAATGTTTAAAAAATTAGGTGAATGGAAAAAATATTTTTTAACATAACGTTATGTTGTTTTAAACTTCTGTTAATGGTTCTGGCTCTGTTTGGGGTTCGTCTTCTCTTTCCAATGGTTCTTCGGTTGCCAATGTTATTGTAGCCAAATGTGCTTGACTCTGGTTGATCGATAGGTTTAGTTTGGATTGAGTTCTCGATGGTGGTGAAGAAGTTGAGACTCCACTCTTGGAGCTCTCCGAAAGCATAGTCATACGCTGATCTCTCTTTCCGCTGCTGCTAGTCGATGATTTACTGCTGGAAGAGAATGAATTACCGAGTACCTGTAGGACCCAAAGAACTTTCTTGGATTGATAGAAATTGGTCACGACGCTGGGATCGATTCCAAACGCCAAAAATCCAATGATTCCCAGACTCGAAGATGAAATACCCTGGATTACACGAACTGCATAGTCTGGCAATACAAATTGACAGTTTTCAGAAGTCAAGAGACAAAATACCCAACTCTCCAACTGTGCAGCATAGACACTAACTTGATGCTCAGAATAAAATTTGAAAGCAATAATGCATGCAAAATCAAATAGTACTACCAACATTACAAATATTAATTTTAGCTAAAATTAAAGTTATCAAAACTTTGTTAGAAATAATAACTATCAAATTATATTATTAATAATACATACATTATATATTAATACTTGTTTTTGTTTTAAAATTTTATATAACATAAATATTTTTACTATGATATAACTAGTAAATAAAAAACCCAAAGCCATAACAATCATTGCTGGAACTGTGAAAAGATAAATTGAATTATAAATTAATATTAATATAAAAAGACTATATTAACTTATTATTTAATTACCATAAAATGCTCCTAATTGCCATTGAGAATCCATGATCCAACAGTTTGGTGTTATATAATTGGATGCAAACTGATGAGTTGCCATTGGAAGGATTGTTAATATACATATGATTGTCCATATAGTTATAGTATATCTTCTATAGTGTTCAATCTTTTTCATTCTAATGGTTACAAAGTAATCGTAGAGAATCATTGTCCAGAAGAAAATGGTAATCAAAATACCAAATTGAAAGAAAAATCCATTTATTCCACATCTAGTATCCTTTTGAACTATATATCTATTACCATCACATCTGAAATAATCATTTGCAGTCTATTTTTTAAAATTAAAAATCTATTAATAAATTTCATTTAATTGATATATAATTGTTCTGTAACAACTTACACTCTGGAAGAAACAAATTGAAATCAACATTGATCCTATTGCAAAGAATAGAATATTTCCCATTGTATTAGTAATTTCATTTGGTAATACACCATTAATTAAAACAAGGAGTATTGAACAAAAGAAACTGATCGAGTGCAACACCAATGTCATTACTTTGACATTGTATTCTTTTTGAGGGGTATCTACTTTGAAAGGACATGGAATTGCACAACTTGAATCACCCAATAAATAATATGTATCTTCATGTTTTTCACTTTCTGGTACAAATGCTAAAGGTGATGGACAAACTATAATCATTACAATAAGAAATGTTAAAGATTTGATTGAATAGCAGTAATAATTTTGAAACTTACAAGCTGGGATACTAAGTGTATAGTTTGAATTACATTGAATAGACTCTGTGATATTATCACCAGTAGTTAGAGTCAAGTTATAGTATGTATTATTTTGTGGATAGACAGGTTGTCCGAAACTATTGATTGTACTACAATTCATAATTGGAAGAATACCCGGATTATAGAAGGAACATTTTCCAGAATTGTCTGCACACACTGATTGACATGGGAATGATGGAAAAGTAATTGATTCATTACTAAATTGTTTTGTTACACATGGAGGATATAACTATATAAAAAATAAAATAAATATAAAATAATTTTAGAGATGCTTTTAAAACATACAGTTGAACAAAGTAACAATAATGTAGAACTTCTACAAGAATCATTATCTAAACTTTGAGAAGTTGCCAACATTTTAAGTTGTGTTTCTAAAAACAGTTGAGTTACACCACTTGAAATATACACAAAAGTTGTGTTGGGAATGGTTGTGTTACAGATCGATAGGCTGTCGAGTAGTTCGCATTTTCCATTGATATCATATGATCCAAAAACAGAATTGACTAGAATCGGTTTGGAAAAGTGTAAAAACTTTTCGTTAGATCATTAAAATTATCAAACTCCTAATTTCTCTCCAATACCTACTCGATAGATTAAATATGACAAACAAGAAAAAGTAAAAATATATATTTAGAGATTTCATCCAATTTTATATGAAACTATGAACGAATGATTATATATGGTTTGACGGAATGAAAACGATCGTTTAACTACAACATAACAACAACAACAAAATAGTTAATCGGATGGTCGATTGATTAGTTTTTTGATTAATGGTTTATTAAATTTTCTAATATCTATTATTGCTATTGCTATTATTATTTTACTAATCAAAAGTATGGTATTATTTTTATTCAAATAAAAAAAGAATTTTGATTGATTAAATTATAATAATAAATTAGTAAACTAAATTTCTTGAGAATCGATTATTGCTAGGTTATTGTGAGTTGATGTTGGGTTTTGGTTCTGTTGCATGTTAACTTTAGTCTGTTTTTTTTTTTTTGTTTTTTCTTTTTTGTTTTTTTTGTTTTGTTTTGAAAAGTAATAAAGCTACTTTTCAATGCAATTTGATTGGAGCTCCATACATCATCATTGTCATTATTATTTTATGCTTAATAATAAATATGGTTTGTATGTTCACCACACACAAATGATGATTAGAATCGCCTAAAACTACAAGCAAACACACACCTATGATTGCCCATTATCTCGTTTTGTTTATTTTATTGTATAACTTTAATACTACTATCTCTCCAGAGGGAGTATGATGATCACACCAAAGAAGCCTATGCAATAAAAAAAATCAAAAAATCATAATTTTTCCCCCCTTTTTCTTTTGATTTGCACCTCAAATCAAAAAATGGTTTCACACTGTTGTCTTGTTTAACCAATGATGGTAATATCACCCAAGTCCTATCAAAACACCAAAAAACAAAATAAATCATCGTACCCCCACATTACATATGCCTCATTGCAAAGTGATAGGTGACCAACCGAGAGTGAGTGTCTTTCCGTGTTTTTAAAAATAAAAATAATAACCTAGGTGGTTAGTGTGTGGTGTCTTCAAATGCAAGCATTGGACTGTGTTGAGCTGTACTAAATTTAAGGGCAAGATCATTTTTAATGGTTGGTGCATTAAACTTGAATACCAAAATTAGAATGCATTTATAAGAATAGAATTTTTTTATTACTACTTTTTTTTTTTTTTGTTTATTGTTTTGTTATGTTTGTATTTTTCTCGATTTGGTGACGATGAATTGAATTGTTGGGAATTATAATATTGTTGTTTCTGATTCATGTTTCTTAAAACTTACTATTTTTAAACTTTAATAAATAAAATAAATTTCTACAACTTTTTCTCTCTTGAAATATAAATAAAAATAAATAATAATAATAACTGATACAAAAATAAATCTATTCTTTTTTTTTTTTACATTTTTTTTTGATTGTTATTTAATTAAAAAAAAAATAATAATAATGAGATAGTACCTTTATGTTAATGATATTTAGTTGTTGGTGTCAAGAGTGAGGAGAATTGGTTTAGTTTGGTTTGGTTTGGTTTGTTATAAAGCTTCTACTACTACGACTAGTATCTTCTGTCGTGATCTCTTTGGTCGTAATCACGATCGTATGATCTATCATCTCTTTCACGCTCTCTGTCACGTTCACGATCTCTTTCTTCTCTATGATTTCTGCTGTCTCTGTCGCGATACTCTCTGTTGTAGTCGCCACCACCTCTTCTGTCTCTGCTGTACGGTGATCCTCTACTGTCTCTGCCATCTCTGCTGTCTCTATCTCTGCTGTCGCGATATCTACCACCGCCACTTCCACCACCACCGTAATCGCTTCTTCTTCCATCACGATCTCTATAGTTATTGCTGCTGTTATTATCTCTATTGCTATTATTATTATAGTCTCTGTTATTATTGTTGTAATTGTCACGTCGTGGTAGACGATAGTCTCTCTTGGCGGTCTTGTAGTATTCCTCCATGTGTGCTCTCAGCTTGGCGTACCCGACATGCTTCTTACCTTCGAGATGACTCATTGAACGCTTCTCCTTATCACCTACAAATAAAAGTGCACCACAAATATCACATACCGACATCTTTTTATCGTGGGAGCGGGCATCCTCCTCGATCTGCATCTCTGCCTTTTGTTTCTTTAGGTCTTCGGCTTGAGTCATCATATCCTGTGCTTCGGTGATCTGACCCTCCTCTCCGAGTTCCTCTGACTTTTTGAGCAACGCTTGAATTCTCTCTTCCATCTGAGTGATAGCTACCTTTAGTTCACTTGGAGTATCTTGCAGACCCTCTTCAGCAGCCAACTTGGCTGCATCAAGAATCAATCTTTCCTTATTTTTCTTAACTCTATATAAACATGTTTTATTATTAGTTACAAGTTGTTCATGGATATATTCATTTTTCTATTATATATGTATATACTATTAAACCATACTTTTTATCGTTATCAGTTATGATTTGATCCATCAATCTAACCCAATCTCTTTCATAATCATATTGATCTTTATCTTTTGATGCATTATATCTAAATAAATAGTAGTAGTAGTTGGTTTGTTAGTTAGTTAGCTAATTAGTTGATTAGATTATTGTTAAGTAACAAATGTATTATACATACTGTTTAAGACAATCTTCATCGTGTAGCTTTGTACAAGGTCCTAAATCACGTATATTTGTATTGGTGAATAATTCGTTTGGACACAAACCACATAGAAAATATTTACATATTTCATGATCCGAGAAATGAGGTTGTCTCTTTGCTCTCTCCTTTGGCTATATTATGTTATTATTATTATTATATATTTATTATTGAACAATCGATAAATAAGAAATTAATGATATCACAAATAAAGAAGTAAAAAAAAAAAAAAAAAAAAAAAGGTAAGTTAAATAGTTAGTAACTTTATTTGTTATAAAATAAATGTTAATCTTTAAATTAAATAGTAGTAGTATTATTTTATTGGTAGGTAAAGTATATATAAATCCGATGCTTCATTCACTCACACACTCACACTAACTAACCATTCTATTTCTAGATATTTATATAATAACACTGTCTGATAGGTTGATTCTCTAGACTGTAACTATATCATATTATTAAATAAATATACTTACCAACATATTTCTATCTTTACCAAGGAGTTCGTCAAGTTGAGCTCTAATTGCGTCTGACATCTTTTATAGATAAATAAATAGATAGACAGTTGTTTGTTTATATTATTATTATTGTTGTTGTTGTTGTTTTTAAAAAAACAGATAAGTAGTAAACTTCACTTATTAATGTTTTGAAAAATGTATTAATGAATTTGGAATTGTTTTTTAGTTTGAAATTTGTTTTTTTTATTATTTTTATTTTATTTTATTTTTAAAAAATTTTTATTCAAAGATTGAATTTTCAAAATAAAACTAACTCATAGAAATAATCATCAAACTAATAATAGTATTTAATTTGCTACAATCGTATGGTATGTTTTAAATAATGTAAAAAACCAAAAAAAAAAAAAAACAAACTATTCCGAAATTTAGTTTTTTTAATTTTTTTATAAAATTAAACAATAATAATGATAACCACCCCCAATCAGTTCCCAAAATTATTAAACTGATAGGAATCATTTTATTCTACCGGTGCATTCAAACATACTGCAAAAATAAGTTAATCATATTATAAAATTTATTTAGATTTGTTTTTTTGTTTTTCATATTGATCAAAATTGTTTCTCAAAAAATTTCATTTTGATTAAAAATAATCTGTTCATTATCACTTGAATATCTTCTAAACAATCAGTAGTTTAATCTCCTCACTAAAAATAATAAGAATTCTTCAACCTCTTACACTAAAAAGAAATAATACATTAATAAATAAATCATCATTGTCTTCATATCATATCATAGTTGAAAAGTATAAATCATACTTTTTTAATTATTAATATTAGGTTAAGATCTTTGGTGTTGTTTTATTTAAATTTAGTGAGATAAGATAATAAGATAAACCCTTTTCTCAGCCAACCTGAATTCAAATAGTTGTAGAGGTAGTCATAATAATAGAAGTATTAGTAGTAGTAGAACATTAAATTGTTATATAATATTTATATTGCAAAATAATGTATCCACCAACAACGGAGAAAGAACCTCTCCTCCTCTCTGATAGTGGTGGTGGTGGTAGTGTTGGTTATGATGCCAATGACAATAGCAACAACAACAAAGACAACGAGTGTTCTAAAGTAAAAATTGTGTAAGTTGTCATATTTCATATTGCATTAATCTGATTTGTAGTTTAATTTAAAATGGTTGCGAAAATTAATTCAACAAATATTTAATTTTAAATGTGAATCATCTTTGCTTAATTAATTAAACATGTTTGTCCAAGTGTGATATATATTTATATATATATATATATATATATATTGTGTGTGTGTGTATATAAAAACTGTGAGTTATTTATTGGACAGGTTGATATAAACTTATATCAACCTGTCCACAAACAACTAAAACATATACCAGTGTTTATCTAACACTTTTTTTGACTTTGGTATACATACAAATAATACAACCAAAAAAATAGCATATAAAGAAATAAATAACATATAAGCAAATAAAAAAACCCACTGCAAGTGCATACGGAATGATAATATCGATTTCCATATCATAGTGAAACCAACGCAATTTGTTATACTGTTTTAAAAATTTTTCAATTGCACCATTGTTATTTTAAAAAGTAATTGTATAATTCCTAAATAAATAAATATTGTTGTCCGATTGCCATATTTTTCAACCATTCCTTATCATTATTCTTAATCATTTGACAAAAAAGGGTTGAACAAAAGAATAAACATTTAAAATTTATTATTTTGGTATTGTTTTACTTTGTTTTGTTTCATTTGTTGTAACAAACTTCATTAAATGGGATAGAAAACTATGACTGTGGACGTAGAATTAAAAACATTTGCTGATTTAGAAATTTACAATACAAAAAACAACAGTGATTCTGCTATTTTAACCAACGATAAAGCTCAACATGACAACGAACTAAAGAAGAATACACTGGGATTGGTACATTGTATTGCAATGTCCATTTCTGGAATTGGTCCAACATGTAAGTTATGATCTTAACTTTTATTATTACAAAATGAATTTTGATTAATTAATATCAATATTTTTTTTCTTCCAATTTGGAAAATAAATATATATGTTTAGGTGGTATATTTTTTGTGGTTGGACAAATTGCAAAGGTTGCAGGTGCAAATGTACCATTTACTTTAATGCTTGCCACTATATGTTGTTTATCGATGGCATCAACAATCAGTACTTTTGGAAAATATGTATATAGTTCTGCTTCTTTCTATTGCTATGTATCCGAAGGTTTAGGTGGAACAACCGGTTTCATTACTGGTTGGTTCATGCTTGTAGGTTATGGAATATTAACTGTCCAAACTGTTGTGTATGTATTTTATTATTTACTTTCAAACATTTTTTTTTGTTCTAACTCTTTATTTTTTTATCTAAATTATTAATATAGTCAATTCAGTAGTTGGACAGCCGATGTATTTACTAATAATTTGAATATCGATTTCCCATGGATTGCTTGTGCTGTTTTCGTGCTGTTGTTCATTGGAGCACTGGCATTCATTGGTATTAACCCTGCGTTAAAAATAAGTTTGGTGTTGGTTAGTTGCGAAACAGTGATATTGCTGGTGCTCACTACTATCATTGTCGCAAAGGGTGGTGACCAGGGAAATTACCCACTGGCATTCACGCCAGTCGGTAAATACAGTGGTGGATTCTCAGGTCTGAGTAGGGGTTTGGTCTTCTCGATTCTGGTATTCGTTGGTTTTGAAACCGCTGCCATTTTGGGTGCAGAGACTAAAGATCCTAAAAAGACGATTCCTCGCGCAGTCGTCGGAAGTGTTTTGATAACTGCAGTCTGGATGATTTGGGGTATGTACGCAGTGATTGTAGCGGCTGGTCCATCCAATGCTTTTACACTGTACGAAGCAATACTCCTAAATATAATAAATAAATACTCAACTCAAATATTAAATTTGAATATTTAATATTTATTATAAATATATATCAAATATATTTTAATATAAATATTAAATAAATATAAACTTTATTAAATTTATAGATCTATAAATTAAATAATTTTCTAAACCTCGATCGGTTATATCAATAAAATTATTATTAAATGTTAATATAACAACACTATGTGAATGAATTGAAGTACGATATAATTGAATTGAATTATTTAATTTTATAATAACACTAATTAACACATTTTTCACTTTGACATACAAAAATACATATGTATATATTCATATTTGTATGATTTTTTTGAAAAATACAAATAAAACAAATTATTTTTTTTTCATATACATATAGTTCATTGACTGTTTATACCATTATAAAAGGATCAAGATATTAAATGAATGTTTAGGAGTTGAATTGATTCGTGGTGCGTTGTACTTGTACGGAATTTAATTGGTTAACTTAATCTATTTGAAAAACATACCAGTGTGTAGAAATTTCAAACTACATATGTCATACTATATGTCATACAGTCATTGACTAATTACATATATAATAAAATAGTTATATCACAGTCTGTGAGACTATATAGTAGTCGGTGTATAGTATTTAAATTGCTAATACACCAAAAAATACATAAAGTCAAGTGATTAAAATCAAAAAACGTTTTATAAACTATATATGATATATGACATACATATTCACATGTGAAATGTAGTATAAATTTTTTAATTTCAATAGTATTACTGATATTATTTGATTTATTATTTAACTCTTGTAACTATTTGAATAATATGTTTTCAAACACTAACTTTGATCATAAATTTGGTATATGTGCGATGGGGAGGTAAATTCAAGATTTTGAAAAATATTTATCAAATATTTAACAATATTTAT